CCTAACCCTAACCCTAACCCTAACCCTAACCCTAACCCTAACCCTAACCCTAACCCTAACCCTAACCCTAACCCTAACCCTAACCCTAACCCTAAGGGGCCAAGGTGCCGGTGCTGCGGGTGCGCGACCAGTGGATGTGGGTGCTGCCCCGAGCGGTGCTGCCGCTCATCGTGCACGGCAGAGCGCAGACGCTGCTCGCCCTGGAGCTGGGCCCGGTCGCCGCCTTCGTCTTCTACGGTAAGTGCACCCCCTCTGCCGCACGTCACACCTCGCATGTCACACCTCGCACGTCACACATCTCACTTTCATGCACGCAGCGCTGGCGTTCATCCTGTTCAGCTCGAGCGCCGTGCAGGCCATGACGCGCATGGGCGCCGCGTACGGCTACTTCGACGACACGGCGGCCCGCAACAACGTGCCCGACGCCCAGTCGTGGCGCGTGCTCGGCGGCGTCGCGGCGACGCTGCTCGTGCGCCCGCTGCTCGGCGTTGCCGTCGTGTACCGACAAGGGGCACCCGCGGCAGAGCTCTCGCTGCTCCTGCCGCTGCAGCTCTTCGTGTACAGCTGCGTGCTCGACGCGTGGTACTACGCGTACCACCGCGCGATGCACGAGGTGCCGTGGCTGTGGCGCTTCCACCGCCTGCACCACGTCGCCAAGCATCCGACGGTGCTGCTGTCGCCGTTTGCCGACGGCGAGCAGGAGCTCATGGACATCCTCGTCATGCCGCTGCTCGCGTGGGCGTGCTTTCCCGTCAACTTCCCGACGTGGCATGTGTGCCAGTGCTTCGTCGTCTTCACCGAGCTGGCGGGCCACTCGGGCGTGCGCCTGCACTGGGCGGCGCCCATGACGGGCGCGGTGCTGCGCGCCTTCGGTCTCGAGCTCGTCGTCGAGGACCACGACATGCACCACCGCCACGGCTGGCGCACGAGTGCCAACGTGAGTGGGACCGCCCGCAGCGTGACACGCTCGCTGACGCCGCCGCAGTACGGCAAGCAGACGCGGATCTACGACACGCTCTTCGGGACGACTCGCCCGCGCGCCGAGGGCACCGACGAGCACGTCGACTGGGCGCGCGCGGTGCCCATGCTGTGACTGGTGCTCGTGACAATGACATCTAGATTGACTCGCCTGAGTGTGTCGCCCTCACCCCCCCCCTCTACGCCTCTCTTGTGCCCTCTAGATGTGCTATCCTGCGCTAGCCCTCGAGATACCGTCCCACCACCTCGAAGCTCGCAATCATGATGCCGCACGCCGGCGCGACCTTGGCGATGCGCGGCGTGAGCCCACGGAAGAGGCCGGCGCCGCCCTCGCGCTGCACAATGTCGCGCAGCGCCTGGGCCATGCCCGGCTGGCGGCGCTCGCGCAGCGACGCACTGAGGCGGTCTGCAGCGGGCGTCAGCATGGCGCGACGCTGCCGCACTTGCCACTCACCTCGCTGTTGCTGCGCGGCCGCCCCCTTGACCTGCTGGCGCGTCTTGAGGAGGTCAAAGGGATGCGTGACCACCGCCGCGGCGCTGCCCGACGTCGCGCCAGCGACAAACGCAAGCATGAACTCGTCCTTGCCCTGCTGCACGCTGCCCTCGCCGAGGCCACCGCCCGTCAGCGCGCGCTTGATGCCCTCGTAGCCCATAAAGTAGATCGCCGAGAAGGGCACGTCGCGCCAGAGCGTCGCCGAGAGGCCGCGCCAGAGCACCGTGACGCCCGACGCCGAGACCTCGCCGCGCAGCGAGACGAGCAGGCCGGAGAGCGACGTGCTGCGCCCGGGCGTCGTGGCCTGCAGGCGCGTGCGCACGAGCTCGAGGGGCGTGACGAGCGTCGCCGAGATGCAGCGCGACAGGCCGCCGGCGGCGAGCGACGACAGCAGCGAGTGCGCCGTGATGCTCGACAGCGCGTCGCCGCCAAAGTCTCGTGGTGGCGGCGCTCGCTCCCACGAGAGGAACAGCGAGCGAAAGACGTCGTAGCACGTCATATAGGTGACTTGCGACGGGACCGTCATGAGTCTGCCGAACGAGTCAGCACACCGTGTCGCCTGCGTGAGCATACCACTCACAGAGTCGGACTGAGGCCCCGCCAGAGACCCCGCGCGCCCTCGCTCCGCCACACCTTCACGACACCATCCGCAAGGCCCTTCAGCCGGCGGTCGCCCGCATGGTGCTCGAGCTCGCGCGCAGCAGCGCCACGATCGGGAAACGCGCAGGCAGCCGCCGTGCTAGCGTTCGGCGGTGTGGGCGCAAGCTTGCCGGCCGCCGCTCGTGGACGCTTGGGCCGCAGATGTGTCGGAGCTGCTCGCACCGCGGCTGACGACCCAGACGAAACGCCAGGCGGGCCCACGACGATGCGCGGGTCGTGCACGCAGGCCAGCGCCGCGTCCGCGTTCGAGGTGAAGAACGTCGCGTGGCAGCACGTGGCCGGATGTGCTTGTGCAGCGCGGAGGGCACCGCTCAGGCCGACGGGGGCCGACGTCGTAGTCGGCGCCGGCAGTGGATACGCAGGCGCGCCGACGAGCGTGAGCGACCGTTGCGACGGCAGAAAGAGCGGCTCGGGCGAGTTCTGCATCTGCAGCCGCGTCTTGATGACGTCAAACGGCGTCACTGAAGGTGCAGGAGTCAGCTCCCGCAGGGGGCATCGCATGGAGGCGCTGCCATGGCCAACGCTTCGAACTTACTGGTCAGGCTGGTGGCAATCGCGCCCGTGACCGCAGCGACGGCCTTCTTGCCGCGGCTGACGGGCCGCCGCGGCGTCTCCTGCACGTCTGAAGCATCCTTCTCTGCATTCTTCGTCCGGGAGCTGCTGCTCGCGGCCTGCTGGCGCTGGCGCAGCAGCTGCGCCTCGTCGGCCGCAAAGTCGAACACCTGCGACGCCGCCTGGGCAGACGCAGCCATGATCGAGCAGCGGAGGAGCGAGCGCGCTGCTGATTAGCCGGCTGCCTTGCTTGGAGCTTCGGGCTCGACGTCTGCGAGTGTGGATGCTGTGCGGCCCGGCAGGCGTGGTTGCTGAGGTAGACGAGGAGAGCCCGGCTGCAGGAGCGGAGTGGAGGTGGCGCGCTGCTCTTCTTTGCTACAGCTGCGCGACGCCGTCCAGTGCGAGACGCGTGGCAAGGCCAGGTAGATCAAAGACAGATGCAGCGGTGCGGTCGTGAGCGCTGCGGCGGACTTGAGTGAAGAGACGGCAGCGGCGGTGTGGTGGATAGGAGGAAGGGGCAAGGCGAGGCCCTGCTGACAGTACGGCGGCGCGGCGCTGCAAGAAAGCGCGCGCAGCCCGCCGTGCCGCGGATTTTGCGGCCGCCAGCCCGCACGGCGTCATCGGCCGCCGCGCCATCAGCGCATCAGCTGCGACCGCACCGCACCGGTGGCCGACCCAGGGTGTGGAGGCGCGCCTCGCCAAGCGTGCCGCAGCCCTCGCCCGCAGTGAGAATGCGGGGGTAGCGCAGCTCGCGGCGTCGCCGACCACCACCACCATCACACAGACATGTCCTCCGCAGCACTGCCGGCCGACATCGCACAGGGCGTCACCTTCGCCGGCGACTGGCGCGCGGCCGTCGCGCAGTACCGCGCCTCGGCGCCCGCCGTGCCGGCGTCGGCGGCACTGCCTGCTGCGCCGGCGGGCCTCACGGCGCCGCTGGCCCACGCCAACGCCTGCGCCTTCGCGGCGGAGGAGTGCTGCCCCAGCGACAGCGAGCCTGGGCCGACGTTTGCCTCTCTGCTGCCTGCAGACGCAACAGCGCCGCTGGAGGCGCTTGCCGGCCCGGGCGCAGACGCCACCGCGCTGCTCGAGCGCCTGCGCACGGGCGAGGTGAGCGTCGCAGACGCGACCGAGGCCTTTCTCGCGCGGGCAGCCCTGGCCCATGCGGCGACGGGCTGCCTGACGTCGCTCCTAGCCGACTCTGCGCGTGCGCGAGCTGCCGAGCTGGACGCACTTCGTGCCGCAGGAGGTCCCGTGAGTGTGAAGCGTGCAACGCTCAGCACAGGAGGTCGCCCGCCGGTAGCCCTCGGATGGCGCACAGCTACCCCTCCGTAGTGCACACTCTGACCCCTTCTGCAGCTGCCGCCGCTGTTCGGCCTGCCCATGTCGGTCAAGGCACACATCGGCGTCCAGGGCACGCGCTCAGACCGCGGCATCCTCTTCGACGTGCTGGCGCCTGCGAGCGTGGCCGAGCTGCTGCGGGACGGCGGCGACGTGGCGCGCTCCGTGACGCCAGCAACGCTCGAGGCCATGCGCACGCAGGGCCCGCACGTCCAGACAGAGGACGCAGCCATCGTGCGGGCTCTGCTCGAGGCCGGCGTCGTCATCATCGCCAAGGTGCGCCCCCCCCCTCACCAGCCAGCATCCGCTCACGCCACGCAGACGACAATGCCGCAGACAGTCATGCAGGTCGACACACGCTCGCACCTGCACGGCGTGACGTTGAACCCGCGCAACCTGCACCTGAGCCCCGGCGGCTCTTCCGGCGGCGAATCGGCTCTGCTCGCTGCAGGCGGCAGCGCGCTAGGCCTTGGATCTGACATCGGTGCGTCTGATGCCATGCAGGCTCGTCGCAGGCTGACACCCTCCACAGGCGGTTCTGTTCGCCAGCCCGCCGCGTGCGTGGGACTCTATGGCATGCGGCCTACGTGCGGCCGGCTCCCGATGCGCGGCGTCAGGAGCACCATGGCTGGCGCCGAGGGCATCGTTGGCTCGCTCGGGCCCTTTGCCCACTCGCTTCGCGACCTACGTCTCATCAGCAAGGTGCTCCTCTCGGGTACGGCGGGCGGCCCCACGCCGCCGTGGGTGCTCGACCCGCACGGCTGCCCGAGATGCCCCTGGAGAGAGGTGCTACAGCCGAAGAAGCTGCGCGTCGGAGTCATGCGCTGCGATGGCCGAGTGAGGCCCACCCCACCCGTTCGTCGGGCCATGGACACCGCCGTGCAGCAGCTCGCCAAGGTCGCGTCCGTCGAGCTAGTCGACTTCAGCCTGGGCTCTCTCGGCTCGGAGGCGTGGGACCTTGCGCGCGAGCTGTAGTGAGTCCGCTGGCCGGCGGTATCTCGGCCACGCTGACGCCGAGCGCAGCTTCCAGGAAGGCGGTGCCGTCGTCCGCGGCCTCATCGAGTCGACCGGAGAGCCGCTGCTGCCGCTCACGCAGGCGATCCTTGGCGCGCCGGTCCGTGACCACACCGCAGGCGAGGTCTGGCGGCTGGCCAGCCGCCGCGAGGCGCATCGGCGGGCCTTCATGGCGCTATGGCAGAGTGCCGAGCTCGACGTGCTGCTGTGCCCGGCGGCGCCTCTGCCGGCGCCTCGGCCAGGCCGGGTGAGTCTCTCTGGACGATCAGGCGTGCGCACATCGACTGACAACCTTCTCAGGTGCGCTACTGGGGGTGAGTGCTGCTGCATCTCAGGACTGAGCGACCCAACGCCCGACCCGCGCACTCCACACGGCTGACGTCTCCGCTCTGCCTCGCGTGCCGGCCACAGCTACAGTGAGCAGCGTTGACCATCGCGCCTCCAGCCATCTGCTGACCCCGCCCAGCATCACACTTCAACCTGTGGGACATGCCCGGCGTCGTCTTCCCCACTGCGACCACCGCTCTGCACACGACAGACGCGCACTGGGAGCAGGAGCTCGAGAGCGTGCCGTGCACAGGCGACGCGGGCGAGTTTGACCAGGAGGTGCAGGCCGAGTGTGCGTGGCCGTCGCCCTGCGCCGCCGTCACCCGCACTGACGCTGCTGGCACAGACGAGCACCACAGGGCCGTCTTCGACGGGGCGCCCGTGGGGCTGCAGCTCATCGGACAGCGCTGGATGGAGGAGGTGAGGACACAGATGCCCGATCAGCAGCATCCATCGACTGACCATGCAGCCATCGCACAGGAGCTGCTCGCCGCCGTCGAGGTCGTCGCTGGCGCCGCAGGTCTCGGCGCAGGTCTGTGAGCCTGTCCTTGTCGCCGGCACCGCATTGCAATGCACACATCACACCGCACGCCTCCAAATCTGCCGCTGGGCCGGTCATGACGCTGATCGCGAGCCGTGAGGCACTGCATCCACACATTGCCCCGGCCTCTCGCTCATCGCAAGCGCACACTCTTGTCTCCTCCTTCCGGTGCTGTTGGCGCTGCTGCGGCAAGAGGTGAGATGCATTGCGCCAGACAGCACTGCAACTGCCGCAGCCCGGCGGGGGTTCTGTGCACGGTCGCACGCGCGGAACGGACAAAACGTTGGCGCCTGCATCGCCTGCCTGGCGCGTATCAATGGACGCGCGCGCTGCCGCGCTACAATGCCCGCAACTACGCGCAATTTTGACCTACAACCGCACGCGACGCAGTTTTCTTGCACTGGCATCATCACGCTCGGCGCTACCGATGACTCTATGTAGGCCCGTACTCGGAGCGCAATCGCACCGCCGAGGCACCGAACAGCGCAGCACGCCCGCTGTGCACATACCGCGTACAAGCTACAGACAAGTGCAACCAACTCGACCAGGGATGCACTGGACGAAGTAGTCTCACTAATACAAGCGCTGCGAAGAGCCGCTGTGGCCGACTGCGCAGCCCACCTTAGGCCCGAGGAGGTCAGAGAAAGCTGCTTCGCCTGGCGCCGCCGTTGACACGCGCTTATCCACTGCACAGCAAGGTCAGACGTCTGTACGCTTCCTCCTCTGGCCTAAGGGCGTCACGAAGCGAGCGTAGAGGCGTATGGTGTTGCTGTGCGCAAAGACAGGCTCGTCACGGACATGCGCCGGCCGATCGGGTGTTCAGGACTGACAGGCCTCCGTCCACGCTGAATGCCTGTGTTGCCCGTCAGTGGATACACGTCGCTGAGCCAATCAGAGCACCTGAGCATGACGGCGAGCTTCTGTTGGGATGAGTGCTGCAGGGAGGGAGCGATGCCGTGCGGGGCGGCCGCTCTGCGATAGGAGGAGGTTGAAGAGGGCCGGCGCGCCGCGGTGGGTAGGAGCGCGGCGCGCGGCGCGGGCCGAGACCGACTCCCGCGGTGCGAGTGCCGCGCGTCTTAAACCCGAGCCGCACCCGCGGCGCGTACTGCAGCACCTGCATGACCCTGCATTGGCGCCTTGCACTTGCGGCCCACTGGCCCTCTTTGTCATGCGCGCAGCAGCACACGCGAGCACGATGGACAGACAGCGGAGTCCGAGAACGTTGAGCCATTGGGGTGTGTGCACGAGTACAGAGTGTGGTGTGGGGCTGGAGACGACGCAGGAGAAGCAAGGCGGACAGGGACACGCGGGGTAGTGTGAGGCGAACAGGCGCGGGGATGATGATGAGATGAGCGAGACCGGGTGATTAGCGGAGCGGGGGGAGACAGGTAAGAGCGGGAGGAGGCGCCAGGGGCGGCGCTCATTGGACGTTACAGCCGCTGCTGAACCACCACGTGGAGCGGAGCTGCTCGATCCAGAAGACGACGATGCGCAGGCGGATGCGCGGACTGCGAACTGGCAGCAGGCGCGCCTTCTCGTGCTCGTCGATGGGCCTGGCGGGGCTGCGTGTCAGCATGGACCTGGCACGCGCACAAGGCGGACGACTCACATGACGGATGCCATCCAGAAGCTGAGGCGGGAGACTTCGTTGAGCGGCGGCATCGGGCCGTACGTGTGGTTGAGACGCGTGACGAGCCACGGGGCCGTGCCGGAGCGGAGCTCGGTGATGAAGGACTCGCAGATGTCAACCATCTCGCGCGTCGACGGCTCGGGCTCGTCGCTGGGCTGCGGCGGCAAGCCGACGCTCTGCAGCTGACGGGCCTCGTAGTTGTCCTCCGTGCGCGCCGAGCCGCTGGTCGCGCTGTCCTGCGATGGTGCGCGAACGAGCGAAGCGCTCGCCTCGTTGGAGGCAGGTGCCGACACGGCGCGTGCGTCGTCGGCGGGGTTCGCAGAAGCATTAGCGCGGCGCTTGTTGCGCTCCATCGCCGCCTTCTCGAGGGCCGCTTCCTCCTCCGGACCGATGTCATCGATGGTCTCGATGCGCCCAACAATGTAGCCGTCGAGCCCGCCGCTCTCCGCCAGACGGAAGCGCTTGGAGCCGACCGTCTCAATCATCGAGCGGCCGTCGGGCAGCATCTGCACGCTCTTGATGTCGAGCAGCGTGCCGTACTCAGACATGCCGCCGGAGCCGTCACGAGACGGCAGGACCATGCCGAAGCGAGGCTGGCCGCTCTCGACGCAGCGCCGGATCATGAGCCGGTAGCGCGGCTCGAAGATGTGCAGAATGGTGGGCATGCCCGGGAAGCCGACCGTGCAGACGAAGACGGGCGTGGAGAGACTTGCCTCGCGCTCCTCTTGCTCCACGCCAGCCTTGCGCTCCGTGTAGAGCCGGCGCATGCCTTGAAGCGACGCCGGTAGCAGAGCAAGCGAGGCTGCGACATCGCCAGCCGGCGTGGCGGGCTCGGCGTACGTCGAGTTGAGCAGCTTCAGGATCGAAGCGTTGGTCGGGTGATCGAGGAAGAACGAGAAAGGCGGCATGCTCGCTCGGCAGAGCGGGCATTTGCTGCTGTGGTCCAAGCTGCGCGACAGGCACGACCGGCAGAAGGTGTGACCACACGGCGTCGTCAGTGGCTCGTGGAGCAGGAGGTAGCAGAGGTGGCACTCGAGCACATCGAGCAGCTCGCTGTGCAGTTTGTCGAGCGAGGACTCGTCGCTGACTTGTGCGGACGCGTGTGACGCAGCAAGACCGCTGCCCAGGGCTGAGCTGTCCGTCTCCCAGTCCGAGTCGCAGTTTGCCACACGGTGCGAAGAGGCGCTAGAGCCATGCGCGACGAGAGAGGCGCCGAGTCGACGCTTCTCGCTGGCCTGAGCTCTCGAAGCACGGGTCTTGCGTTCTTGCGCCGCGAACCACGCTCGGTCGGACTGCGGTGATGAGTCGCGACCAAATGCACCACCAAAGTCGTCGTCGCTGCCCTCCTCCTCGTCTTGAGCCGCTTCGGCCTCGGCGTACTCGCGAGAGGATGCTGCGAAATCGGCCTCGTCGTCTGTGGTGGTGTCGTAGTCGCCCGAGACCGCGTGGGCCGAGTGCCATGAGACCAGACCGGAGGCGCCGACGGGATGACTGTCCTCGAGCGACTCTTCGTCGTCGTCGGAGTCGCTGTCCGCGGCGTGGATGCCGCCGACGGCGCCGGACTCGCGACCTTCCTCGCTGCCACCGAGCATCGACAGGAACTGGTGGGCGATCGGGACACGGTCGTCTTCTTGTTGAACGGTCGACTGCCGGCGTGGAAGAGCGTTGAGGGCTCTGCGCGGCGCCTCGCCCGACATGAGGCTGCGGCGTATCCGACGGCGACCACGAGAGAGCGCTGCGGCGCTCTCGCGGTCCCGTCGGGCAGAAGCGGCATTCTGGCGCTCGTTGGAGCGACGTGCGGCTGCCGACAGCTGCTGCACTGGTGACGAGACGCCGACCGCAGCATGCTGCCGCAGCACAGCAACGGCTTTCGAAAGAGTGACGTCGGCACGCAGGAATGTGGCCGTCGAGCTCGTGGATGCGTCGTCATAGCCGAACGGCTTGACCGCGTAAGCGCTGGTCTTGCCCTTCGCCTGTGCAGGAATGACGCTCAGGCTCAGGGCCTGATCCGGCTCCGCGACGACGAAGCCGTCCATCGGCGGGAAACCGGGGCCTTGGCCCAGTGCCGACGCGGACGAGGCGGCCGCTTCATCGCCTGCGTTCAGGTCGGGCCCGAACATCGCGCGGTGCTCGGACCAGATGCCGAGACCGCGTCCGATGGCACTGCGAGGGCATTGCTCGACGGCGCACGGCACACTCATCGAGCAGAGCGGCAGCCGCGGAGGAATGTGGGCATCTGCTGGACTCGGCGCACTCGAACGAGGTGCAGCGGTGCGTTGGACGATGCAGCGCAAGCAGGTGCTGTGCCCGCACGGAAGCGTGACGGGCTCGTCGAACGGCTCTCGGCACACGTCACAGGTGACTTGTCCGAGGATGCCGAGGGCAGCCTGCTGCGTGCGACGAACAGACCACGCAAGCGAGCCCGGAAACGACGGCGAGGCAGAATCGGCTGTTGCAGCCGCGCTGTGTGACTGCGCCGCAGTACCTCGGGCTGCCGTCAGGTGGGCCTGACCGCGTTGACTCGAGGTCGCGGCAGACGATGCCGACGACCGTGCGCCGGGAAGGCCGGACGAGCGACATTCCAGCGTGCGTTTTGCTTCTAGGATGCGCACCGGCGTGTGAGGACACCAGGTCGGGCAGCACGCTCTGCGTCGCGAGCCAACTCACCTTCGGCACGACTCTCGTGACTTCCCTGCTGTCCATCCTTGAGAGCAAGTGCAGTGCGCCTGGCGCTGTCGGCGCCTGCCGAAGCCACCTCAGCAGCAATAGCAGCATGCGTCCGGCCTGCTTCGCCACCGAGCGAGGCGCGAGCTGCGCGAGCCGCGGCCTGTCCGCTGGCGACTGCATTGCTGGCGCCATGCTCCTCAGCCGAGCCCAGCAGCGAGCGGCCGGAGCCGGAGCCACCCGAGGGCAGCGCAGGCGCTACCATGGCCCTCGGTGGCGGCGGTGCCGCGAAGAAAGGCAGCACGAGCTGTGACGGGCGCGGGGCAGAGCACGCGGAGCAGTGAGACGGATGTCACCGACGCGTACGCCGTGCACTGCTCTGGCTGAGGTCCAGCAGCAGGTGGCGATGCGAGAAGAGCGCTGGCCGTGGCGAGTGCGCAACAGGCAGCTGCGGCGCCTATGCGCGGCGTGAAGGTGCGATCGGGCGTCGCACGTCTGGCGCGAGAGCGAGCGCGAGTCGTGGCACGTGCGGCGAAGAGTGAGGCGCGAGTGTGATCGCTGCGCAGTGCGAGGTGAGAGATGCAGAGGTGTAGCAGACGAAGGGGGATGAGGGCGTGGTGAAGGTAGAGGTCGCAGCTGCTGCCGCCGCGACCTGGACAAGTGGCTGACAGCGCCTCCGCTGCCGCCTCGCCGCGGGCGGAGCGCCAGTCAGCGTGAGGCGCGCCACGGCCCTCCGCCGCGTCCGCCGCGCGCGCAGTGGCTGACTTGACAGACGCAGCCAGCAGCCGCCGCCTGCGGCCCTCTCTCGCCGCCCACATCTGCCTTCTCGGCGCAAACAGAAGCAGCTGCGGCGGCGCAGGAGCCGACGCATCTCTCCAGAGCGCATGCTGCGCCGGCCGCAGCTCGGCGCGGAGACTCGTCTCTCGCGGCGTGGCGGCGGCGGCGGCGGCGTGCGTAATCCAGCCGATGGCTGATGCGAGGATGATGCGGCGGCTGCATCGCGGCCGCTGGCGGCGTGCGTGTGCCTGCCTGGAGTTGCTGCCGCCGCGCGCCGGCAGTGCGGCTTCCAGCCCAGCGTGCAGCTGACGATGCATGATGCGGCGCAGCAGCGGCAGCACGCGGCGGGCAGCACTCGGCCACGGCGGCGCGGCGGCGCGGCGGCGGCACCGCATGCACTCGCACACGTCAGCCGCGAGCGCCGAGCCGCGCACCGCGTAAGCACACGCGTCCAGCGGCCAGCCATATTCGACCCGCAGCGCCGCACGGCGTCGAGACGGCGAGCAGCGCAGCGCACCATGCACGCCAGCGCCAGCGGCAGCCCGCCTTCTCTCCGCGAGCTAGACCCGAGGGCCTGGCACCCTCTGCATCTCACCGCTCCACGCACGTTGAGGAGCATCTGGCGCAGTCGAGTCTGGGCTGCTGGCGTCGAGGCTGCTGCTGCACGCCGGCGGTTGCCCCGGCCTGCCCAGCGGCTGGTACAGACGCGGCCCCGACGCCGCCGCGCCTCACAAAGCCCCGCCCGCACCGGCCGCTGGCTGAGCCAGCACGCAGCATCGCCGCAGCATGCAGCACGGTGCTTCTGGCGTCGTGGCGCATGCTGTGCTGCACAGGCGGCCCCGACGGAGGAGGAGGCGTCTGACTCAGCGTGAGGGGCACACGCGCGTCGGCATGCGGCGGGCTCGCCTGTGCCGCAGCTCCACGCGATGAGCAAAGCATGCCGCGGCGTGGCGCCCGCGCCCGCTGCGCCATGAGACACGCCTGGACCTCGGGCTCGCTGAGCGCGGCACTCGACTGCCTGCGTCCCAGCGTCCTCCGCACGCACAGCACTGCAGACAGACGTCCAGACGGAGCCACGGAGGCGTCTGGCGACGCCTTAGCTCAGCGCCGGCCGGCGAGCCGCGCCTTCCAAAGGTCACTTGGACGCGCGAGGAGCACGGTCGAGATCCCCACTCTGCTGCTGCTCGGTGGCTGCGGCCCACCGCCTGTCTTCATCGCTCCCACGCATGCAATCAAGAGACTGCTCGTGGCGAGTCTGCCCGCCTTGCGCATGGCTGCAGCGTGGCGGAGGTCGCTGCAGATGCAGCATCTCAGGCACGCCCTGTCGCGCATTGGATCTCAGCCGCAGCTCGCGACAGTCGAGTCCGGGCCGCCATCTCACACCGCCAAGCACTATTCAAGGAGCAGCAGCATGCAGTGGGCAACGCAAAGGAACGAGGGCTGCTGCCGCCGCTGTCTCCTGTGCTGTGCCATCCGATGCTGGGTGGTGAGCACAGGCTCGCCCGTGCGATACCGAGAGAAAGGAGCATGAGACACGATCCGGCGCCAGCAGCGGAGTGAGGCGAGCGTGGGCATGTGTGGCGCTCGCTGTCTGCGCCGACACCCGGGCGCCACTCGCGCCACGCATTCAGCCTGATCGTCAAATCGGGCGCAGTGACAAAGACGCCCGCCAATGCGTGTGCCAGGCGGATGTCACACACGCAGCTCTCTGCGGCGCCGGAGCTGCGTGCCAGATGATGCATTCCAGGTATGGGGCTGCCTAGGTCGAGACGTAGCCGTCCAGGCCGTCGGGCCCAAAGATGGAGTCAAACACATCGCTGCCCTCGACGCGCAGCTCGCCGACGTCGGCCGCTTCGGCAGCAGCAGCCGCCTCCTGCGCAGAGGCGCCGGCGGCAAGTGCGTCGGCATGCCGGTCGTCGCAGCGGCGCTGCCGCTCGAGCGCCCAGATCTCCTCGAAAGACGCCGCCAGATGCTGCAGGCCGTAGAGGTAGCCGCTGTCCGGGCCGTCGCGCAGCTGCGGCGGGAAGCGCGCCACTGGCATCGACGACGACGGAGGCTGCTCGTCGTCGTGCGCTGGGTAGAAGAAGTCGGAGCCGGTGGTGCAGTGCGCAAAGTCGATGATGCGGATGTTGATCTCGCCACGGCGACGGCGGCGGCGCGGCGGCCCCGAGCTCGGCACCATGGGCGAGCTCTGCGAGAGTACCGGAGACAGCGCGGGGCTGCGGCTTGCCGAGGACATCGATGCAGAGACGGATACCAGAGACGCCGGGTTTGGCGAGGCGCTTGAGACCAAGGCGGCCTGCACGCGCGGGGAAGACAGGTGCATCGACGACATGGCGCTGCCGATGCTGGCGCTCGACTGCGCCGCGATGCGCGAGTCCTGCTCGTGCGTGGGCGCGCCCGCTTGTGCCAGGCGTCTTGGGTCGTCGGAAGCGAGCAGCAGCGGACTGGCGTCGAGACTGTCCAGCAGATTCGGCGAGAAGCCCGCAGTGCCTCGGCCCACGCGTGCCTCAAACTCGGCCTCCAGCCGCGCCTGCGTCTCCTCGTCGCCGTCGTAGATGAAGAGAAGACTGCTCGCATAGAAGCGGTAGCCCGCTAGCACGTTGATGAGAGCGGCTAGGCGATACAGCTTCTCAAGGATGACGGGAACATGGTGCAGCAGCAAGCGGCGTCCGTCGTGGAAGAAGCGGCCCAGCGCTCGCGGGAAGTCCTCGGGCGCCACCTTGCGGCCAAAGTACTTGTCCTGGAACACGTACGTGCGCTGCAAGGCGTCGAAGACTTGCATGCCGCAGATGCGCACGCCGTGCGTGCGGCTAGTCGTCTTGTCGCACTTCTTCGTCTGGCTGCGCCGCTTGGCGTCGGTCGCATCCAGGCCGTACTGACGCGTGCCCATCTTGAGATCCAGCACGCAGGGCGAGCGCAGCCGCCCGGTCAGGTCCTCCATCAGCAGGAACTGCTGCTGGCGGGCAGGCGACGGGTCGGGCCTTGCGCTCTCAGAGAGACGCGGCTTCTCGGAGGGCGCGGGCTCGTCGAGCGGCTTGCTCGAGTCTGCCAGGCGATCGGCATCGTCCATCTCAAACAGTGGCTGCTCGACGGACTCCTCGCGCGATCGTGCAGGCGAAGCTCGTCGATCGGCAGACGACGGAACACCGGCGGACGAAGACTGCGGCTGTCGGACCTTCGACGAGCGGCTCGGAGATGCACACGCGCTGTGCTGCTGCTGCGGCGTCGAGACGCCCGAAGTCATGGGCGTCAGGCCAAAGGCCGCCCGGCTGTTGAGCGTCAGCGCTGCATCGCTGTGCACGCGGCGGAAGCGACGCGGAGACTGGGCCAGCGGTGCCGTGCGCGGCCCGTCGTGGATCGGAGCCTCGCTGCCGTCGTCCGCCGAGGCCGAGAGGCTCTCGTAAGCAAGCTCTGGCGCATCTGATGCGTGAGCGGGCATGGCCAGCCTATCGGAAGCGCCGCCAGCGGGCATATCACTGCGTGACGGGTCGATGTTGACGGCAGGATCGTCACTTCGTGGCGCAGGTTGAGCTTGACAAGGGGTATGCGGATGGCGCACCGTCTCAGTCAGCGGCGGCGCGCCCGCCTGCTGTTGGGTGGTGTCGCGAGCTGCAGCTCGCGCGCTGCCCTCTTCGCTGTCCTCCCAGGCCTTCTCAAGGCGCTTGCGATTGCGGCGCGCGCTCTTGCGAGTCCGTGACCACCCGTCGTTGTCCAGCTCATCGTCCTTCAGCAGCGGGCTGCTGAACACCTCGCGCAGCACTTGCTCTTGCAGGCGACGATTGACCGAGGTGCAGCCTCGACCCACGATGGATGCGCCGCCGCCTGCGCCTTCGGCGCGCGAGGCACTGGAGACCGAGCCAGTTGCGTCGGCAGACCGCAGTGAGCCGCGCTCTTCATGCGCTGCGTCCCATGACCGTGGGTGCGCAGAAAAGTCGTACGCCGGTGACACGTGATGCTGACCGCGGCTGCCTGGCGTGCTTGCCTGCTCGTCCGGGCCCAGTCGTGATGCACCTGGTGTATGCGCGGCACCACGCGGTGTAGAGTCGGTGCCCGGGCGCAGACGAGGCGACGGCAAGGCGTCGGCACTCGCGCTCAAGTGCGACAACGAGGCATGGCGCTCGAGCGAGTTGCCCGCGCGCGCGTGCTCGTGACGCGGACGGCTGGCGTTGCGGCTCCGCGACGGCGTGGCGTTTGCACTCTTGGTGGTGCTGCCGGCGCTGGCGACGCCGCTGCGGCGCAGCATCCACTCCGGGATGATGTGGCGGTTCTGGTCGAGCGCAACTTCGGGCACCTCCTGGTCGTGCTCGTCCTGGCCGTCGAAGATGCGGCGCTTCGGCGCACTCGCTTGCTCTGACACGCGCCGCGAGACCCCTGAGCGGCCGCGACTGGGCGATGCGAGCAGCTCGGCCTTCGAGCTGCCGGCATCGGGCTCGGCCTCGACGCCATCGGGGTCAGCGCTCGTGCGATCGACGTGCCGGTAGGTGACGTTGAGAACGCCGAGGTACTGCGGAATGAAGGAGAGCAGGCGCGGAAAGTCCCTCTCGATCGCCTCGTAGAATTCGTTCTCTCGGCTGACGAGCGGCTTGCAGACGGCGCGCCGCGAGAACTGGAAGATGGCGCTGTGGCCGCCCACCTGGTTGTTGTACGGCTGCAGCTGCACCACGGTGGGCGGTCGGCTGGCGCTTCCGCTCCGGGCCAGAGCAGTCGACCACGCTGGACTGCGTGTGTCCCGTGAATCTGCCCGCGGCGACATGCCGGTGCCAGCAGATCTAGGCGAGGCCTCGAGAGCTGAGCGTGCAGAGGGCGAATCGTGGATCTTCGATCGCGACCCAGCGCACTGCTGCTCGGTCCGTTGCCCGTCGCACGATCCGTCTTCGCTGCCTCTGCGCCCGTCTGCTTCATCATCGTCCTCGTCGTCATCCTCAAAGTCATCTTCTCTGGAAGACGAGGCGCCATCCGACGATGAGCCGGAGCTGAGGCGCTCCGCCGAAACACGCTGCCACGAGCCGCCGATGCTCGTGTCCACGGCAGGCTCGTGCAAGCGAGGAGCGGCACACGAACGTGCGATCGAGTGGCTCGCCTCATCCGCGGGGAGGCGTTCAGAGCCGGACCGACCCTGCGCGGGTGCTGCCTCCTGCATGCTGAGGGCACTGCCGGAGGATACTTGATCTCTGCCGAGAAGCAGCGTAGAGGGCGTGGCCGGGCGCAGAGCAGTGGCCAAGTGAGCTTCGTTCTGCTCGGCAGTCGGCCGTGCAAGCGTTGGAGCACTGCCTTCCGGTCGGAGAGGCGGGAGCGGCTCGTGCAGCGGCCGAGGAGCTTGACCGATCGATGGAGAGGTCAGCGCCACGCGCTCAGCGGCGTCTTTGGGAGCAGCTGAGCTGGCGGCCCGCGCAGTCGCTGGAGTCGTCGTCTTGCGGCGGCCAGGCAAGCCAGCCAGGGCCTCGCTGCCGCCGTCGACGTCCTCCGCATCGTCTCCAACAGACGTAGACTGCGAGCTGGTCTCCTTGAACAGCTGCAGACTGACGCTGGCCTTCCGGCCGCTGCTCAGCATCGCAGGCGGCAGCGTGAGATCGAGGTCGCGTGGAAGGCCACGGCTGATGTCCGTGTCGGGAAAGTAATCGGCGTCCTCGCAGTCCTCGTCCGCCGTGGAGCCAAGGCCTCGCCCGGGCGTGCTGCGTGCGCTCTTCGGAAAGAAGAGCGAGGGCGAGAAGGTGTCGTGGCCTGCACCGCCGGAGAAGCTGGCTTGCCGGCCGCCTTGGGGCTGCACTGCGCTGTCTGAGGAGCCTGAGCGCTGGTGCGAAGACGGCGCTCGCAGCTGCGCGCGAAGAGCACCACGAGGCTGTGAGCGCGCAGGAGAGCGCTCCGATGTGAACGGGTCCACAAACGATGGAGAGTGCACCGAGGCGTCTCGTGGCCGCTCGTGCGAATGTGCATCATCGGCTGCCCCGGGCCCCGCTGTCTCTGCCCTGGCTCCCGCCGAAGTGCTGGTTGAGGGAGAGGCAGTCAAGCGGCGCTCGTCGCCAAGGCTGGCTCTGTCCATGCGCAGGGCAGGCGAAGGCAGCGCTTCCGGGACTTCAGCCGGCCGCGCGCTGTCGCGCCGCTGCGACACGTCGTCTCTCGGGCTCGACACCTTGGCGTCTGTCGGCTTCGCGCCCATCGATGCGCCAGCGAGGCTTACAGCCTGTGCATGCTGCGACCTTGACAACTGCGTCAGGACTGTGCCGCGCGAGGGCGGAGGCGAGAAGACGCTCGACTCTGGCACTGGCACGCCGGGCGGCAGGCTGATGTGCAAGCCCGAGCTCGACACCGGGCTCAGCGTTGCACCGGGAGCATACACGGCCTGAGAAGGCTTCGACTCGAGGATTGGCCGTGCCGATGTGCTGCTTGGGCGAGCCGTGGAGGCCTCCGCGCTGGCTGCGTCGGACGCGGCTCTCGACGCATCACGCAGCGCTTCGGCGGCGGGCGACTGGCTCATGGACGATGGGCCGGTCTGCCTCGGCACATCCATGAGCAATGAGGAGGGTCTAGACAACGAGCACCAGGCAGCATCAGACAAAGCTGTACATGCAACGCTGCGAGCCGGCCCACGCGCACACGCCCATACTCACCAGGCTTGCGGGCAGGGTGCAGCCTCTGCGGCGTGCGGAGCAGCGCAGCCGCCGTGCACCTGAAGCGGGCAGTGGAGAAGTGTGCCAGGCGCGTGTGAACGCGCTCGGCTGAGCACAGTGCGTGGGTGTGCGGTGCGAAGGAACGACTGGCGGTAGGGCAGGAGCAGCGGCAGGGGCTCGTGGGGCGCGGCGCGATGCAGAAGGTCAAGGAGCGACGGCACGGCCTGGTCTGACGGACGGCGGAGAGGATGCGTGTGCGCGGCGCAGAGCAGCAGGAGACGGAGACGAGGAGCCGGGGCCGGGAGCGTGAGAGAGGCGGAGTCGGGAGGAGGTGGAGAGAAAGGCGGAGCGTGCGGCGCAAGAGCCCGACCTCGACGTCGAGGAGGCGCGGCGGCGGCGGCGCGACACGCAGCACCAGCGCGCACCTTCGGGCCGCCGCCGCGGGAACAGACACGCAGCCGGCGGGCGAGCCGCGGCACGGCAGCGCAGGCGGCGTGCCGTTGTCCTGATGCCGCCGCCGCGCTGCGCCATGCTCGATGGCGAGCCGGCTGGCCCCTCTCGCCTCCTCTCTGTCTCGAGAAGGCGCCCCTGATGCTGCGCCCGCCGTCTTGTTACCACTAATCGCGGCCCACTGCCGACCCGAGAGCGAGCTTGCAAGCGCGGCCCCTTTCGGCGGGCCTGAGAGCGTCCGGAACGTCGGCGCCCCTGTCACCAGCGAGGCGGCGCCCAGAGATGCGGGGCTGGACGGCGCGTGTCCCTTTGTGCGCTGCATCTGACAGCACCCGCAAGCATGCCCGTCCCCTCCAGCATCAGAGCAGGCTCGCACAGCTGTTCAGTAGCTCCGTACTGAACCCAGTTCCCACCGAACTGGCATGCTGCACGCACTGATGAGCAAAGTCAGAGTGTCAGCGCTCGCGGGCGCGAGGTCAGCGTGGCCGGCTGCGGCCATGCCAGACATCTGCATCCATGACCTGCCAGCCTCAGTTCAGCCGAGGAAGCATACGAAGATTCTGCCTCGCTGTGCCTCGATATTGCAGCTCACTCAGGGCCGGATGGGCCGCAAGCGCATGCGGATGCCGAGCTCGCTGTCCAACGTGCGCTGCTGGCGGGACCGCACGTGCGGACAGGGGGCGGCTGCGCGCCTAGGGACGCGCCCAGCATCAGCGACAGCCGCGCGCCCGGCACGCCGATGCGCATGGTGCAACGCACCGGTCCGCCTTCTTGACGCTCATGCTCAAGCACGTGGGCCAGCTCCATGGGCTCCTCATCTCCGTGCTCACGGGCCAGGTCAGCACACACATCTGCACAGTAGATCTGACGTGCGCTGGTGGACAACTGCGTTAGAAGCCGAGAGCGGGCGCCCTGCAGCCCAGATTCAAGATCTCGGCGGGTTCGGTGGCCCACGCCAAGCGAGTGGCTCACCTTCAATGCAGGCATCCAGGCGCAAGCCAGGCACAAGTCATACAAAAGGCAGCGTAGGCCAGCTTCCGCACTGACAAGCCCTCAGCTCGCAAGAAGCCGTCGGAAGCAGCTCGGACTGTCGGGCCCGAATACGCCGCGCTCGCCGATGAGGACGGGCCATCACCACACCTGACGAGAACTCCTCCCATGCGAACTAGGCTCAAGGACGCAGATGTGTACTTTGGCATCTCAGTACAACAAGAGCGGAGCAGGTGGGCGGGTCGAGGGAGCAGGACGGCCCTTCGCAGCTCTCCGGCGCAAGGTAAAGCCGTCTGGCGGACAGCGCCGACTGGACGACGTGGAGCTCCGGCCGCTTTACAGCAAGGCGCCGGCAAGCAGTGCAACGCCCATCGCGGCGGCGACGCCCAGCGAGTCGACGCCACGCGCCGCGGCAGCGTTGGCAGGGGCCCCGCTGCTGGAGCTCGCGGGCGCGCTCGTGCTGCGGCTCGTGCTGCTGGTGGGCGCGCTAGTCTGCGTCGTGCTCGTGGTAGCGGGCGCGGAGGTGGACGTCGTCCTGCAGGGCAAGTCAGTCTACTGTCACTGCCCTCCGAGCGCCACGGCACGCACGAGGTCGAGGCGCCGGGCACGCCGCTGGAGCCCGTCAGGCCGTTGGGCGCCGTGGTGGTGAGCGGGGCGCCCGAGTAGGAGTTGACGTTGGCGTTCGACACGCCGTTCTGGCCCATGCAGGCGTTCTGTCGAGGTCACAGGGGTCAGTGCTGCGGCATGCGGGCAGAGCGGCGCCACGCACGTTGTTGAAGTTGACTGCATCGACATCCTGGATGCCGGGGCACGGGTCGAAGCAGGCGATGAGGCCGTACTGCTTGTTGCAGATGCACTGCCAGTCGGTGCTGCGGGGGGCTGCGAGTCAGTGCGCGTTCACGGCGAAGCTGTGTGGCCTCGGACTGTCTTGCTGCGTCGTGCCAAGCCGAGCAATGCTTGTCGTGTCGCTCTCAGCCAAACCTGCCGGCTCGCCAAGCAAGTGCAGGAGAGGAATGGCACAAGCAGCCGGGCGTGTGCGGCGCGCATTTGAGGCTCGCTGCTGCACACAAGCCTCATGACAAGCGATGCGGGCCCCGTGCGAGCCAGCGGCGCCCATGTGTCAAGCCTGCGCACGACGCGGCCATGGCGGCCCCTCGATGGACTGCTCCGGACGCAACATGGCGTGTCCTCGGGCCCAATTACAGCGCAGCACACTCACGAGGTGCACGGCCCGCCTGCGCGCGTCGCCTCGTCCTGCTCGACCTGGGCGAGGCAGGCAACGATGCTGTCGCGCGTCTCCTGCGGGCACGTCGCGCCGGGGTCGACGAGTGTGGCGTTGGGGTCGGCCTGCGCGCGCGCGAGGGCGACAAAGGAGGCGAGGAAGGCGGCGACGAGGGTGACACGCATGGTGATGAGCTGGCGGTGGTGGCGGCGAGGTGGTGGTCGGGAAGCAGGCAGGCACGGGTGAGGCGGACGCAGCACAGCACAGCGAGGCGACGCAACACCGACGCCCAACACAGCCGAGCGCAGGCGCGGCCCCTGATGCTGTGCCTGAAGCGCTGTGCCAAGGCTTGTGTTGCGCTAGCGCCGCGGCGCCCCGCGGTGCCTGTGCACCCTGACAGGTGCAGCATGATCTGGCATCGGCCAGGCGCGCGCCAACGCCGCCTCCGCATCTCCGCCTCGCTGCTCCATCTCGCCTCGCCGCCGTGCTCTTGGATGCGGCATGCTGGGCCCATACTCGTCCACGTCCAGCTGCAGAAATGCTGGTTCCTTTGCGTGTGAATGCCGCGCCTGTTGCTTGAAGCGCAGTCGCAGCAGGCTGCCTTGCTTGTGCGGTGCGAGTCACGCCGCTCCGCTCTCGCATTTGGTGCTGATGTCGCCTGACATCGCAGACGCCCGTCAAGCTGCTTACAGAGGGCCGAAGCCGATCGCGATACCTTGAAGAAGGCCTGCAGGAAGCTGAAGCGGCGTTGATGCCGTTCTCTCCGGTGGCTCTTTGCTCGCAACTGCGAAGCATCACATGGTGCCTCCTCTCACGCCTCAGCCTGCGATCAAGTGCATCACCATCGCCTTTCTTGCACCATGGCACCCGCAATTCAACGTAGTTCTGACAGTCGGTCCTGCTGAGCAGCTGCTCGTGGCAAAACAAAGCAGAATCCGTTGCTGCGTTGCCGCTGTGGCTGAGCCTGATCGAATCTCGAGCCCTCTACCACCAGTCTATGCTCTCGGCGTGTCGTGCATGCGCCTCGAGCCCGTCAGCGCAGATGTACGATCCAGACATGCCAGTATCTAGCCAGCGTGACATTTCAAAGTCAAACGCTCTTGCCCTTGCTGTCTCAGAGGCACGGCCTGGCAGCCGGAAGCTCGCCTGGTGCTGCATGCGAGGCGGCGGCGCGGCACGGAACCGCGAAACGCGCAGCGATGCCGCTCCGCATCCAGATGCGCGCCCGCGCGCGCGCGCGCGCGCGACTGAGCGCGGGGGCGGAGGCAGCCCGCCGTCGCGTCTCGTCTTGCTTCCCACCTCCATCCTCCACCTCCCGCCGCAGCCTTCACATATCGCACACACGCCCCTCCTCAGTCACTTGAGCTGCATCTCACCTCCTCTGCCGCACCGCCCACTGCCCGCATGAACATCGTCGAGTCGCTCTTCGGCCGGCGGCAGACGCCGGCCGAGAAGCTGCGGGCGCACCAGCGCGCGCTCACCAAGGCGCAGCGCGAGCTCGACCGCGAGCGCAGCAAGCTCGAGGCGCAGGAGAAGAAGCTCATCGTCGACATCCGCAAGAGCGCGCGCGAGGGCCAGATGAGCGCCTGCCGCATCCAGGCGCGCGACCTCGTGCGCACGCGCCGCCAGGTGCAGAAGTTCTACCAGATGCGCACGCAGCTGCAGGCCGTCAGCCTGCGCATCCAGACGCTGCGCAGCAGCACGCAGATGGCCGAGGCAATGAAGGGCGCCACACGTGTGAGTGCATGGGCAGGCCTGGCAGTGCTGCGCTGTGTGCGCGAGCGCGATGCGGCGTCGGCCATGCCCCGCTCACACATTGCCTTGCACAGGCGATGGGCACGATGAACCGCTCCATGTCGCTGCCCGCCATCAGCCGCATCATGCGCGAGTTCGAGCGCGAGGCCGAAATCATGGACATGAAGGAGGAGATGATGGGCGACGCCGTCGACGAGGCAATGGACGATGAGGAGGTCGGCGAGGAGGAGGAGGGCGATGCGATTCTCAAGGAGGTGCTGGACGAGATTGGTGTGGGCCTCGGGCAGCAGGTGAGTGGAGTGTGCCATGCGACTGCCGTCTTGCCGCTCATGCGCTACTCTGCAGCTTGCCGATGCTCCTCTTGGCGCGCTCTCGTCGCCGACGGCCGCGCCTTCGGAGAAGATTGCCGTCGGCGTCGGCGAGGGGGCTGGCGCGGCGCCTTCGGGCGCAGGCCCGAGCGGCGGAGCGAGCGGCGGCGCGGCGCGGAGCGACGAGGACGCTCTGCAGGCACGGCTCGATAGTCTGCGGAGGGATTGAGCCGTCTCTCGCCGCCAGCTTTCTTTTCGGGACGTGTCAATGGGCATCTATCTTCACCAGCGCCTCCACAGTGCGCCTTGAGCAGCCTCGCACACCTCGCACTCTTCACTCGAGGCAAACGTCTCGTCGCCCCTCCCGGCGACCTCATACGGCGCTGCGGCAGCATCTGGTAGGGCAGGCCGGGCGCATCTCATACAGTCTCCGCAGCTGCGCTCTTCGACTAATCTATTCGCAGGAGAAACGAGACAGCGTGACTAGGAGTCTAGATGGGTTCGTCGCGCGGCTCGATCATGACCTCGTTCACCGCCACGTGTGCCGGCTGGCACAAGGCATACACGATGGAGCCGGCGACGTCCTCGGCGTCCAGCACCTTGGCGCCGGACGGCTCGCCGTACTTCTTGAGCGCCTCTTGGTCCGTCGACATGCCGAGCAGCCCCGTGGCCACGTTGCCGGGCTGCACCGACGTGACGCGCAGGCCGCTGCCGGCCGTCTCGACGCGCAGCGCCTGGAGTGCCGCCTCGACGAAGAACTTGCTGGCGGAGTAGACGCCGAGGCCGGCGAACACCTTGCGGCCGGCGTCGGACGAGATGGCGACGATGTGGCCCGTGCCCCGAGCCAGCATCGGCGGTACGATCGCGGCAAGACAGTGCAGCAGGCCCTTGCAGTTGACGTCCACGGTCCGGTCCCACTCCTCGGCCTGCACGTTGGCCATCATGGTGAAGTACATGACGCCGGCGCAGCTGATGAAGAAGTCGATCGGGCCCAGCTCCGTCGTGGCGGCCGCGACGAGTGCGTCCACCTGCGCCTTGCTGGTGACGTCCGTCTCCTGCAGCAGGACCTTGGTGGTGCCGCCCGAGGCTTGCGTGATCTGCTGCCGCACTTCGCTCAGAGCATCGCGGCGGCGCGCGGCGATCGCGACGTGGGCGCCCTCCTTGGCGAGCGCGACTGCGACCGCCGCTCCGATGCCGGACGAAGCGCCCGTCACCACCGCAACGCGGCCAGCGAGGCGGCCCTTCGGTGCCGCGGCCACTCCAGGCAGCCCGTTGGGCACACGCGAGGGCGCGTGCGGCAGCCAGCCGCGAGCGTAGAAGTGACGCGCGTAGACTCGCCACAGCGCGTGGTCTGTCCGCGGCCGCTCGACGCCGAGCACGTTCTTGAGGATCGTCTGCGTTGCCGTGTCGTCGAGGATCGGCACGTCCTTCAGCACGTCGGCCGTCGGCAGGCTGCCCTTCAGCACCGACGTGGTGAAGGGAGCGTCGGACTTGCCGAACTTCTCCGTCGTCTTCGACGCCACCTCGTCCTGCCACTTTGCGACCCACTGGTCCCACGGCAGCGGCTTCGTCGCGTAGCCGATCTGCCGCAGAATCTCAAAGACCTGCGACGCGGGCAGCGGTTCCTTATCGCCGACGTGGTACGTGAACTGCTCGCGCTGGACGGCGCTCTCGTTGGGCTCGTCGCACAGCGCCGCAATCGCCTCGGCGACAAAGTCGACCGGCGTCATCTCGCAGCGCCAGCCGTCAATCTCGGGCGAGTAGCCAAGACGAACAGACTCGACGATGAGGGCGTTGAGCATGTCGTACGGGTTGGACGCGCCGCTCGTGCTGCTGCCAGCGAGCGTGCCTGGCCGAATGATGGAGGCCTCGATGCCGCGGGCGCGCGCCTTCATCACGAGCTGCTCTGCGACCCACTTCGTCTGGCCGTAGCCGTCTGGAATGCGCTTGATGACCTCGTCGACGTCGATGTTCGTCTCCTCGGGCCAGGTCTGCAGCGCGTCGGCGGTGCACGTCGAGGCCGGCAGCACGCCGTTGCTCGACACGTGGTGCACGGTCGCGCCGCCGATGGACGCCAGGCGCAAAATCTCGCGCGTGCCTCCCACGTTGGCAGCACGCAGCGCGCCGTAGGGGTACGCCAGGTTGACGATGGCCGCACCGTGCACGATGACCTGCACACGCCGCGCCAGCTCGGTGAAGGCCTGGTGCGACAGACCGAGGTTGAGCTGGGGCAGGTTGCCGGGCAGGATCTCGATGCGGTCCAGCAGGCCGTCGTGCCAGAGCCCCAGGCCCATGAGGTTGTCGCGGATGCGCGCCATGCCGGCGGCCTCGCAGCTCTTCGAGGGCTGCGAGAAGCGCACAAGACAGATGATAGTGGCGTCGGTGCGCTCGATCAGTGCCTTGAGCACGAAGGCGCCCAGATAGCCGGTGGCGCCGGTCAGCAGGACCGCCTGCGCCTCAGAGAGGCGGGAGCGACGGCGCTGTTCGGCAGGCGCGCGGATGTTGTCCGCCAGCTCGCAGTCGGCGCGCAGCACAGCGGGCAGATCTGCCTCAAGCTCTGCCAGATGTCCGTCACGGGCTGCCCGGACTGCAGCCATGTGGCCCTCGAGCGAAGCCTTGACGGCAAGCGCGCTCAGCGGCACGGGAAAGCCAAAGGCGCGCGTGAGGCGGCCGGCCAGATCAGCCAGCGTCAGCGAGTGGCCGCCGAGGTCGAAGAAGTTGATGTCCGTGTCCTTGCCGGCGATGGCGTCCTGCGGAATGTTGAGCGAGGCGGCCCAGGCCTCGACGATGGTCTCGAGCCGGATCTGGCGGGCGCCGACGGCGGCTGCCACGGCGGGCGTAGGGGTGCCCGGACGCGTCATCGGCGGCGGAGGCAGCGCCTTCTTGTCAATCTTGCCCGACACAACGTGGGTCGGCAGCTCGTCCATCTCGATCCAGGTGGAGGGGATCATGTAGTGCGCCAAGTGGTCGATGAGCACCTTGCGCGCCTCGGAGCTGCGCGCCAGCGGCATCTCGATCGACGGCACCACCCGCTCGCCCGGCGCCTCGGTGTCTCTGACGATGTATGCCACGAGACGCTTCTCGAGACCCGAGCCGTGTCCGACGACCGTGCATGCGCGCACCGCGAGATGCTTGAGGATCGCCGCCTCGACGGCAGCCGGCTGCACCGTGTAGCCGCGCGTTTTGATCATGCCGCCGATGCGTCCCGTGATCTCAACGAGCCCGCTGGGCAGCACTCTGGCAGAATCACCCGTGCGGTAGAGGCGCCCTCCCTCCTTCGAGAAGGGGTCCTGCAGGAAGGCCTGCGACGTCGCCTTGGGCATGTTGAGGTAGCCGCGGGCGAGCAGAGGGCCACCGATGCAGAGCTCGCCGCCTTGACCGGGCTCGACGAGCTTGAGCTGGTCTCCGCTGAGATCGGGGTCGACAATGTAGACGTGCTGCGGGCTCAGCAGGTAGCCGGCGGGGCACACACCGCCGTTGGTGGTTCGTGCACCACCATCTCCGTCGGGGTCGAGCTCCATCATCATGCGCGAAATGTCGCCAGCCGCAACCTCGTGCGACTCGCTGATGCTGTACACGTTCAGCAGGCGCACCTGCGGCGGAAGCGTCTGCGTGGCGCGGCGGTACAGGTCCGTCGTCACGACCTCGCCGTTGAGCCACAGCGAGCGCAGGTCCGGCAGCGGCAGATGCGGCAGCGGCAGTTTGGCGCTCGCATTGACGTCAATGTTGACGTTGCGTGCGAGCACGATGGCCAGCAGCGTCGGCGTCATGAGCGTGTCGGTGATGCGCCGGCGCGCCAGGAAGTCGACGAGCGCCTCGGGGTCGTAGCTCGCCGAGTCCGGCACGGCCACTGTCGTGGCACCGCGCAGCAGCGGACGCAGCATCTCCCAGATGAAGAAGACATTGCACGCCACGCGGTCGCCCGGTCCGAGCGGCGAGACGTTGAAGCGCAGGCTGTACGAGCCGACGGCAGCCCGGTGCGGGTTCGCGATGCCCTTCGGCCGGCCCGTGGTGCCCGACGAGTACGAGACGAAGGCCAGGCGGTCGAGATCGGTCTCGTGCGGCAGGTCCTCGCCATCAGCGGCTGCACCAGAGAGGCTGAGAGCGTCGCTCTGCGGCCGGTCGAGCACAATGACGGGCACCGGCGTCTCGCCCGGGCGACCGCGCGCATTGACTCGCTCGGCCTGCGCCGCCTGCGTGAGGACGACGGCGGGCTTTGCGTCCTTGATCACGTCCGAGAGCAGCTGGTCCGGGTACGCCAGCTCGAGCACGAGAAAGGCGCCGCCTGCACGCATCGCTGCGATGGCGGCGATGACATAGTCGGCGCAGCGGCCCATGAGCACGCCGACGAGCACGTCGCGCCCAACGCCGTGCTCGCGGCGCAGGCGCAGCGCGAGGGCGCATGTCTGCGCCTCGAGCTGCGCATAGGTGAGCGTCTTGCTCTCGTCTTCGAGCGCCACGGCATCGGGCGTGGCGCGCGCCTGCGCCTCGAAGAGCGCCACGAGGTCCTTGCTGGTGTCGAGCTCAGACATGCTGGCAGAATGCGTGCGCGGAAGCGGGCGAGAGGGCGGCGGCTGTGGCGCGGCCAAAGATTAGAGCGCCTGGCGCTGCGGAGGTGGGCACTGCGTGCACTCTGGTGCGGCTGGTGGTCAGGCGAGAGCGAGTGGGCGGCTGCGGTGGGGCTGGGCGGTGGGGCTCCGAGGGCGAGCGGGAAGAATGGAGACGCGAGGCAGGCCGCGAGGCTGCCGCGCTCGGATCAAGATCAAGATCCGGGCCTCGCCGCTCACGCCGCGCCGTGAGTCCGAAATCAGAATTCCACGTCGGGCGCCACCCCCTGGCCTGAGCTGCATTTGACTCTGCCTACACGACAAGCGAGCAAATGCGAGGCTGTTGCACTGACAGCAGCTGGGGCTGCAAGCTGTCTGAAGCGTACATCCTCAGCTGCGCTGGGAACGCCGGTCGAGCGTCTCAGGAGGAGCAGCAGCAGAGCAGGACACGTGCGATCACGACATCTGCTGGCGCACTTTCACCGCCCCACCCCGCACCAGCGCCGCACGGACAGCGCCGTCGCTCTCCGGAGCCCTCGCCGGCGAGTCCGACGCACATCCCGGTCGGCGTGCAGGTCATGTGTCTGTGTCTCTGCTGCAAGGCGAGCGCTGTCCGGTCTCTGCAGGGTCCATGCAGATGCTTCTCCGCAGGCATGGCCGTTAGAAGGAGGTCGCTGTTGGTCTCGCCCACTCCCGAGTCCCGGCGGCGCGCGACACGACGAGGTCCAAGTCGCGCGCGTTGCGGCGCGCGCGGCTCTGGTCGGCTCCACTCGCTCCCTCCTCTCATCTTCCTCCACCTCTGCCGCAAGTCTTGCCTGCTCGGCGTCCTCGCTGCCTGTCGCGGCCTTCACCGCACTCGCTACTCTTGCTGTCAGGGCGGAGGCTGGGCCGGCGATGTCTGCGGACACGAGGCCGCCGCCGGGCGACGGCACAGACGCACACAGCGCTCCCGAGCACCCGGCGGCCGTCCCCGTCGCCTCGAGCGCGGCGCAGCTCGCAGCGGCGGCCGCTCTTGCCTCGGCAGAGACGTCGCAGGCGGCGCACCGCGCATATATCGCGCACGCCGCGCCACACCTGCTCGACGACTCGCCCGCGTCGCCGTCGCGCTCCCGCTCGCCGTCCATCTCGGGACGCGGCAGCCCAGCGAGCCCTGCCAGCGAGAGCGAGGGCGATGCCGCATTCGCCTCTGCTGCTGCTGGCAGCTCCGCGCATCCCATTGCCGCTGCCAGCCCGGCAGGCCGAGCCTCTGCTTTAGCCTCATCCTCGCGACACAAGCTGCCGCCCGGCTATCGCGGTCCGCCGCCGCGGCCCGGCGACGCCGAGGACATCGCACCACAGCCGCAGCTCGCGCCGACGCCCGGCTCGCAGCTCATGTTCCAGGCGCACAACACGCCCGTCAACCGCAACGGCTGGCGCTACTCGCCGTGCGGGCCGGCCAGCGAGTCGCTGCCGCAGACGGTGTACCGCTCGCTCGAGTGCGAGCCGCGCGGCGTCCACTGGTCCTGGACCGACCGCAGCGCCTTCACCAAGCTGAGCGCCGACGCTGCGACGCTGTGTACGGACAAGGGCTTTCGCGGCGCTCGCGCAAACATCCCAGTCCGCCACGGCGCCTGGTACGTCGAGGTGCACATCCTCGAACCCGAGCCTCTGGTGCCCGGCGTCGGCGCTCCAGGCCCGGTGCCGAGCCCGATGAGCGCTGGGCCGCACGTGCGGCTGGGCTGGGCGCGCCGCGAGGCGCCGCTGAATGCGCCGGCAGGCTTCGACGGCTACAGCTACGGCCTGCGTGGCGCGACGGGCGAGCGCGTGTGGTTGTCGCGCCCGTCAAAGTACGGACGTGCGTTCGGGCCGGGCGATGCGGTCGGCATGTACATCCGGCTGCCGCCTCCGGGCGATGAGGCGAGGCCTGGCGTGGAGACGGCGATCCGCCGCAAACGGCTGCCGATTCGCTACCGCGGCCAGCTCTACTTTGAGTCGCTCGAGTATGCGCCTACGAAGGAGATGGAAAGCCTCTGGGATCGGAGCAAGAAGGGCCTGTTCCGATGGCCAGCTTCTGCGCCCTCTAGCGACGACGTTCAAGCAGCTGGCCCGCTCAGCAGCGACGGGGCTGGACCTTCAGACAGCAGCGCCAAGCGCAAGAAGAAGGGCCCGGCAGCAGAAAAGGACGACGCGGCCGCAGAGGCGGACAAGGGGCGCCCGCTGCCGACGCTCGGTGCCGCTGCGCGCATCGGCTTCTGCATCAACGGCGAGCCGCAAGGCATGGCGTTTGACGACCTCTTCGACTTTCGCCCGCTCAAGAGACTCAGCTCCGCCGCGCCCAGCAAGGGCAAAAAGGCTGCCGCTGCGACCGCGGCGACGAGCCTCACGCTCGTCGACGAAGATGCCTCCATCATCACCAGCAACTCGAGCGTGGCCAGCATCATGAAGAGCCGCGAGAACCACGTCGACGACGGCGCGCTCGGCTACTTTCCCTTCGCCACGAGCTTCGGCGGTGCACGTGTACGCATCGTTGCTGACCCGGCCGAGTGGCGCTTCCCGCCGCCCGATGATCTCGAGGCGCAGCTGGAGGCCCGCATGCCGGCGCCGTCTGGAGAAGCACTGGCAGCGCAGGCTCCTCGCTGGCGCCCGTACTGTGAGCGCTACGACGAGTATCTCGCCGAGCAGTGGGAGCTGGATCTGGCGGACGAGGGCCGGGCGGCGCTCAAGGCCAGCACGATGAGCGAGGCGGCCAGCCGACTGCTGCGCGAGGAGATCGAAGAGGACCAGCGCGAGCGCGCCATGCGGAAGAAGGGGCACAACAAGCGCAAGGCGGGCGGCGGCTCGGCCACCGAGCGCATGCGCAAGCAGGCCGCCGGGCGGCGCGATGAGAGCACGCCGGACGACGGCCGCGACACGACGGGCTCGCCGGCGCCCTTTGCATCTCGCGCCGTGTCCAGCTCGCCGCCCGCACCGGGCGCCAGCCACGACACGTGCGACAGCGGGACCGCGACGCCAGCGCCGATGGACTGGGATGCGGACGCTGCCGCGCCCGGCGAGCCTGATGGTCATCGCATGGACGTGGATGCCTCGGGCTGAGGCATGCAGCGTGTCTTGCAGCAGTAATACCACACTTGCCGAAGCCTTGTTGGTGTGCTGAGCTTCGTCTGGGCTGACGTGTGCTCGCGCGCGTCAGCGCACTTGACCAGACTACCGCACACCTCAGGCTAGGGGGCCGCGTGTCAGTCCTCTGCACTCGCAGCGACACCTGGCGGATTACAGAGGTGAAAGCAGGTCCGGCTAGCGCCTCGAAGCCGTCGAAGCAGCGAGCCAGGGTGACGAGGCAGCTGCTCGGGCTGCCAGTCACGTGATGCCCGCCGCGCAGCCGGACCCTACCAACCTGTGGGCTGCTCGCTCTGCACCACTCGCACCGTCGCCATCTCACGCCCGCACACTGGAGTTCACATGACCTGTAGAATTACCGAAGCAGCCGTGTCGTCGAATGACATGAGGGTAGTGAAGAGAGAAAAGGGTGCAGGACGCGCGGCGGATGAGAGAATAAGGGGGCAGTCCAGGAGGCGCGTCTAGGCGTTGCTCGACATGGCGAGCTTGCCGCCGGCGGCACCGCCCGAGTTGGAGGAGCGGCGCGAGCCGGGCGCCGACGTGCCCGCCGGGCCGAGCTTGCCCATCTTGAGGCCCTCGTCGAGCGAGTTGAGCAGCGTCATGTCGTCCTCGTCGAGCACAAAGTCGAAGATCTCGGCGTTGGCCTCGATGCGGCTCTGCGTGAGCGACTTGGGCAGGATGATGTTGCCGATCTGCAGGCCCCAGCGGAGCAGCACCTGGGCCGACGACTTGCCGTGCTTGTCGGCGATGGCCTTGATCTCCTCGCGCTCGAGCGCGGCGCCCTGCGCCATGGGCGAGTAGGCCTGCACGTGGATGCCGCGGGCGATGGTGGCCTCGCGCAGCTCCTCGTGGGCGAAGAAGGGGTGCGACTCGATCTGGTTCACGGCCGGCTTGATGCGGCAGTTGGCGAGCAGGTGGTCGAGCTCCTCAACGTCGAACTGAGGATGAGAGAGGCATCAGCTGCGGCTCGCCGGCAGTCGCTGCACTCCGTGCCCGTGCGTGCGCGCGAAGATGCCACGCGCGCACGGGCCTGCCCTTCCTTCGCGCCGCCCGAGGCTCGACTCACGTTGGACACACCGATGCTCTTGATCTTGCCGGCGTCGACAGCGTCCTCAAGGTCCTTCCAGGCCTTCAGGCGCGCCTCCGGGCCGAGGTTGCCGGGCGAGTGGATGAGGTAGAGGTCGATGTACTCGAGCTGCAGCTTCTTCAGCGAGTCGTTGATGGCCTCGGCGGCCTTCTCGTGGTCGGCGTCCCAGAGCTTCGACGTGATGAAGAGCTCCTCGCGCGCAACACCGCCCTTCTGCACGAACTCCTGCACGGCGCGGCCGACGGCCTCCTCGTTCATGTAGCGGGCGGCTGGAGGCAGGCGATGTGTAAGCGACAGGCCGCGCGCGGCAGCAGCGCGCGCGATGCTCACCTGAGTCGACGTGGCGGTAGCCGGCCTCGAAGGCCCACTTGACGGCGTTCTCAGCTGCGGCGAGGGCGAGTGTGAGTATGCGTGCATGTGATGCGAGTGCCAGGGTTGCGAGGCTTCTGCGCGCGCGCATAGGGATGCGATGGGCCAGCAGCGCGCAAGCGCGCGCGCATACATGCACCCACCGCCGTCGAGCGCGCGCACTCCCTCGCATGCGCGCGCAGATGCTCCTGTCCCATCGACGCCGCGCAACACTCACTCGTGCCGTCGTTGGGCGCCTTGTAGACACCGAGGGCGACCTGAGGGATGTAGTGGCCCGAGTTGAGCTTGACCTTCTCCGTGGTGACGCTGGAGCGGCGGCGCTCCGACGTCGACTGGGCACCGGCGGCCTTGTTGGCAGCGGCGGCCTTCACTGCAAGAGGAGAGGGTGTCAGACAGGCAGCCCGGCGCGCAAGAAGGGCCACAGGCTACGCACTGTCAGCGACGGACAGCTCGCCCGAGTTGACGGCGGCGGCATCGAGGGCGTTGGCCTGTGCGTGGGCAGGGTGTGAGCTGGGGCTGGCGCGTGTGCAGCAGTCAGCGACAACGTACAGGCATGATGGAGAGAGGATGGGGTGAGGGTTGGGTTTGGTTGGGTGAAGGTGGTGGGAGGGAGAGGCGCGAGAGACCGGCTGCCGGCTCGAGGTCTTATAGGCCAGGCCAGGCAGGGTGCCAGCGCGCGGCAGGCGCAGCGCACCGGCCAGCAGCGACGTCGTCGGGGCGTGCTGTTCGGTGACGGCACCCTGCCGGCCTGCTGCATGCGCTGCGACGTCGAGGCACCGCACGCTGCGTGCGTTGCTCGGCCAGAAGCTTAGGACTCGCCGTGCATCTGCCGTCTTGCTGCCTGCCTGCCGGCGCTGCATCTTCCCGCTGCAGCTGCTGGCTGCTGCTGCGCTGAGCTGAGCCGGCGCCGAGCCGCAACCGCTCGGTCGCTGCACCGGGCGAGCTTCTACGCTGGCGGCGTGCCGCTCCACCCTGCTGAGCGCGAGATGGGTGCTGCTTGGCCGCCATGACGGCGGCGGCGCTGCACAGGAGCGGCGCCGCGCGCATGCACGCCGCTGCGGGCGTGCGCATCGGCGCTGGGCGTCACCGCACGCGCGCGTGCTGCCTGCGCGCCGCAAGCGCACCCGTCCACGCACCGGCGCCGGCACCGGCCCCTGCAGGAGCGCTGCCTTCGCGCTGCGACGTGGACTGTACGGCGGCCTTCCTTCGGAGCTCGCTGCGAGAGCGCTCTCGCTCATCGGGTGCCGCGTGAGTGCAGCACCGCCGGCATCGTGACGTTGCTGTCGAACCCTCGACGAGGGCGCACGCGCAAACGTCGGCCACGCCAGACGCCAGCTGCGCAGCGACAGCCAGCACGCTGGCCAAGCCTCAGCTCAGAGCAGAGCGAGTTGCAGCGCAGCGAGATTTGCAGGGTGCGTACGAGGCATCTCGCGTCGCTCGGCGAGATGGCCTGCTTCCACGCCCGGCTCCGGGCCCGCCGCCGCCGCGGTACGCCCAGCATCGCGACCACCGCCGCGCTTCTCCTTCCTCTGACGCTCGGCTGCTGGTGCCGTCGCAGCGATGCTATCTCTGCTCTCGCAACGCTCGAGCAACGTCCGAGAAGGGGTGCCAGCCGCCCAGAAGGGCCAAGAGGATGTCGGCGTCCGTGCCACGTCGGAGTCGGGCCGCACATTTTCCCAGCGCAAGCTGCTGCGATGCCGCCTGCAGGATGATGCGGTTTTGCAGCGAGCACGCCGCCGCGCACGGCGCATCTCGCGGCTCGCTGCTGCTTCGGCCGCGGCCGTGCCTGATCAGCACGGCGGTTCGTCCGCGCGCGTCCGCTTGCGTCGACTTGAGAAGAGGCAGCGGTGCCGACGGTGCCCGCCGAATTCTCGGCGCTGGCGACGCCGGGCTGCGGCTGATCGTCACACCCTGATGAATGTGCAACCCAGCGATGCAGACTCAAGATGCGCCTAGCGTCGAACTTGCCTGCCTGCGCTCAGGGCCCAAGCACCCCTTGTCTTGCCTCGCTTGGGGCTCGGCGTCGCCCCAAGATGCATCTCGAAGCCTGTGGACACCTTAGGCTCGTGTGCTCGGCACAGCACCTCGTCTTCGTGTGCTGCTGCTGCGCTGCTGAGCTGCGCAGCTGACGCTGGTTGGCAGAAAGAGTCTGCTCGTGTTGGCTCAAGACCTCAGGAGCAGGCCGGCAGCGAGCCGCCCCTCCCAGCAGGTCACTCCCAAGTACAGAACGGGCAGCCCGCAGGCGTCCGGGCGCAAACGCGAGCCAGCACACGGGACCGTTAGACGCCGAAATTGGCCAATGATGATGAGCTGTGTGGCAAAGGCCTCCTATTTGCATCTTCTCGCTGCCGGCCGGCGGTGCGGTCTCTCGCGAAGGAGGCGCAGGTGCCACGCGTCATGGGAGCGCGAGCCTCGCCCGCTCGCATGCTGTCAGGGGTCCTGTCGACCCCCGAACACCGAGGTCTGCTGTTCAGCCAGCGGCAGCCTTCACGCTCGCTGTCTGCTGACAGGATCGGAGTTCAGGCTCATTGCCGACTGCGTAGCCGTTGGACACGAGCGAAGATCTACTCGCCCAACGGCCGAGCGGCTGCCTTGCGCGCATCAGCAGCGTCTTGGCGCACGCAGCGCGACGACGACGAGGCGCCTGGATGGCCCACGGGCCTGCACGGTCCACCGTCCAACCATCGCCTCGCAGCAGGCCATCATGGAGACGGAGAGATATGCATTTGAGTCGCGTACAAGTACAGGGAGCGATGGCGCGCTTCACATCCAGGGGTGCCACGTCGGCTCCTGCAGCGCCAGCTTGCCGCTGTTGGTGGCGGAGTTGATGAGGTCGAGCACCGTCTGCGACACGGGCACGGTCGAGGGCTGCGGCTGCGGAAAAGGAAGCGTTAGCACACCTGCGCTGCCGACGGGGCTCCTTCTGCCGCTTCTCACCTTGCTCGCCTCGTGCTCGCACGACAGCAGCCGCGCGCGCTTGACCATCTCGAGGATGTTCGGGTAGATGATGTCGCGCGGCGCCTCGGGCACGACGCCCGGCGGGTGCCGCTGCGACGAGGCCAGCCAGAAGTTGAGCTCGTCGCGCACAAAGATCGACAGGTACTCCTCGAGGTCGCGCTCGGGCTCCGAGAGGCAGCGGCCGATGGCCATCAGCGACGCCGTCACGACGCCCTCGATGGCCGTGGGCCCGATAAAGTGCTGCAGGTTCGGCGTGAGGCGGAACGGCGTCGGGTCGTTGGACTTGAACTGCGGCTGCGTCGGCGAGAAGGTGGGCACGACGTCGGACATGGCCACGATGCCGCTCGAGCGGCTCATGTGGATGCGGCCCGGGCCGCGCGCCGAGATGAAGAAGGCGTACGTGAGGAACATCGTCGACGCCATCTGCAGCGTGAACTGCTTGCGCATCAGCCACAGGTCCGACGGCGAGTCCATGCTGCGCGTCATGTAGCGCGTGAGCACCGTGTCGGGCACCATCTTCGTCGAGATCTCGTCGAGCAGGTCCATGCGCAGGTTCGACAGGTTGACGAGGTCGCGGCTGGCGTCGGCAACGGAGCGCATCTTCTCGACCCACGCGATAATCGGGTCCTCCTTGCCAAAGCCGATGGCCTCGCAGTGCCGCTCGTACACGTCCTGCAGGCTGACGAAGCTCGCGTCGGACTCGACGAGGCGCAGCTGCGGCGAGAGCGGCACGGCGGCCGGCGTCGTAAAGACGAGGCCGCGCTTGCGCGTCTCCTTGCGCCGCTCCAGCACACGGTTGAGCAGGCGCAGCAGCTGGATGATGCGCTCCTCGCGGCGGCAGTAGCGCGCCGAGGGCAGCTGCACGGCGAAGCTGTGCACGCTGCCCTTGTTGCTGAGGATCGACAGGCGCCGCGTGCACATGCCGTTGGAGCGCGTGAGCTCGAACGTCGGCGAGAAGCGCGCAATCTTGACAAAGTCCGAGTTGTTGTCCTCCAGGCGCAGGTACTGGCCGGGCAGCTCGACGTCGTCGAAGCGCTGATGCTGGAACTCGACAAGGTAGTGCGAGCAGTGCTCGAGGTGCTGCAGCGTCGGGCGCACGTCGAGGCGCACCTCGTAGTTGTCGCGCCAGCGCTGCAGGCGGTGCACGTACTCGCGCAGGCTCGGCTTCGACTTGACAAAGTCCTCCTCAAAGTCGTTCTTCAGCGGTCCAATGGGAAGACTCTCGGCAAAGCGCATGACGTTAGCCATCGACATCTGCGGCAGCTGGCCCGGGTCGTTGGGAATGCTGGCGCGGGCGACGTACTGCTGCAGCGCGTCGTTGAGCAGCGCGCCGATGAGGCGGTACATGTCTTCGTCGGTGCCCGGCTTGAAGCGCTGCCCGATCTGCTCGGCCGTATTCTCCATCGTGAGCGCGAGCAGCGGGAAGGCCGTCTTGAGGATGTTGAGGATCTCGTCGACGTACTCCCACGGCTGCCGCACGTTCGGCGGTCCGCCGGGCTGGCCAGGCTGACCAGGCACGCCCGGCTGCTGGCCTGGCATGGCGCCAGGTGGCATGCCGGGCTGTGAGCCTTGGCTGGACAGTCCGTTGCCCGGCTGTGCGCCCGGCTGTGCGCTCGAGGCGGAGGGCGCAGGCTGAGACGCCGGCGTGCCGCTCTGGGCGGGCGAGGGCGCTGCAGTCGTGCGTGCGTCGGACGGAGTTGGCGCAGCTGCGGGCGTGGCCGAGGCCGCTGTGGATGCGGCTGTGCCATTCGTCGAGGGCGCTCCGGCCTTGCTTGGCGTCGCAGAAGCTCCAGGAGCATCCGACGGCCGCGCTGCAGAGCCATTGCCAGCCGCCGGACTCGCGCCGGCAGCTGAAGCAGACGGCGTCGAGGTGCTGGCAGGCGCCTGGCTGCCGTTCGCCTCGGACGCCGCCTGATCGCCAGCGCTTGCAGTGCCGGCTTTGTCGCCTGCAGGAGCCTCTGCGGTGGCCGTGGCGTTTGCGTCCTTCGTGCTCGCTTCGCCGGCGGCGGCAGCGGCTCCGGACGCTTGCTGCTGGGCCTGCTGCTGAGCCTGCTGTTGAGCCTGCTGCTGCTGTTGCAGCAATTGTTGTTGCTGCTGCTGACGCGCCTGCATCTGTGCGGCCCGCTGTGCAGCCATCGCCGACTGTCGCTTGATGGCCAGATAGTCCTCGCGCGTCGTGCGCAGGAAGAAGTACAGCGACTGCAGGGCGAACGTGGTCAGCAACGGTACGGGCGTGACGGACGACGCAACGCACCTGAGGGAATGTCTTGGCAATCTGCATGAGCAGGCGGCGTGCGTACTTTGCCTCGCGGTGCTGGAGCGCCTGCAGCAGCTGCGGAATGAACGTGATCCAGTACCAGATCGGCGCCTCGCCGCGGAAGCCCTCGAACGCCATGGCCACGCTGCCGGCGGCGTCGTCGCAGCTGAGCAGCCAGAGCACGCGGATAAGCACCTTGCGGACCTTGGAGCTCTTGTACAGCCCCGCGGCCTGCAGGTAGCAGCTGACGGCACTGCTCGCTGCGATCATCTGCAGCGGCTGGTCGCGGAAGAGGCGGTCGTTGTAGCGGCCCCACTCCGTCCACGCCTTGGCGAGATTGAGGTCCATCTGGATGGCCGTGGCGAAGGCATGGTTCGCCTCGTCGAGCAGCGACAGCTTGGCCATGAACATGCCCTTGAGCGTGAAGAACTCGGCCTTCTGCGGCGCAGCGAAGAACATGAGGTTCGTGTTGTTGATCACCTCCAGGCCCTGGTTCAGCTCGGCCGGGTTGCGGTAGTGGCACTTCGCCTGCTCGCGCAGCTTGAGGAAGGCCTCCTGGATCTCGATGTTCGGCAGCGTGTAGATCTTCGTCAGCGACGAGATGCAGACGTCGTTGAGGTAGTGCTTGCGCGCCACGTGGGCGAAGCGGTTCACGATCCACGCCGTCTCGTGGTAGCCGCGGTAGGCGTACGAGTTGGTGCTCGAGCTTGTCGCGCCGTTCTGCTGGATCTGCGGCACGAGCGGCAGGTAGGCCTTGTTCACCGCGCTGAACACATGCTGCCGCCAGGCGACGAGGTCGCTCCACGCGTTGATGTCGTCCCAGCGGTTCGGCAGCCGCTCGCGCCAGGTCTGCATCAGCTGCTTCAACTCCGTCGAGCGCGGGTCGAGGTTCGTGGCGTTCGTCACGGCCAGGCTGGCAAAGATGGTGCTGGCCTCCTGCAGCTCCACGAGCTGCTGGAAGATCTGCAGGAGCGGCACGTGGGCCTGCGTCACGGCCGTCGGCAGCGAGTGCCACTTGCGCAGCGCAAGCTGGATCGCCTCGTCGCAGATGCGTCCGAACTCTGCCGGCTTGTCCATGCCGCCCTGCGACTTGAGCAGAGCCATGTAAGCGGCAAAGACGCGTCGCCGCGGCGTTGCGGTGGTCGAGAGACTCTCTAGCGCCTGCTCGAGGATGTCGCGCTCGTTGACCCAGTCCGAGAGGCGCCACGCGCACTCGAGCAGCAGGTCGTTGTTGCCTTCGAGCTTGGCGAGGTCCGTGAGGATGTCCCACTGCTGCAGCTTCTGCGCGCAGATGACCCAGTGGTCCTCCCACAGGCTGTACTCGGCCTCGGTGAACGTCAACACGCCCGTGCGCGCCTTGACCTGCGCGCTCTCGTACATGATCTGCGCCTGCGCCCACATGCCGCACTGCTCGTACGAGATCGCTGCGTTCGTCTCGGCGTAGACGCAGCGGCGGCGCCACAGGCCGTAGAACATGTCGTCCTCGCTGAGCTCGGCATATAGCTCAGCCAGCGCGTCTTGGCACGCTTCGCGGATCGAGTCGTCCTCGCGCGGCAGCCACGCCAGCAGGTCCTGCAGCAGCTCGATCGAGGTGTGCCAGGCGTTGAACGTCTTGCCCAGGTACTTGACCACCTGCGGCGGCAGCTCGACGCGCGGAGTGCATGCCAGCGCTCCTTCGAGCAGAGTCTGCACGACGTTCGGGCGGCGTGAGACTTGCCGCAGATTGTGCTCACGCGTGAGGGTGCCGATGAGAGAGCGTGTGACGTCCTCCTGCGACTTGCGCGGCATGGCACGCCACGCCGCGCGGAAGAAGCTCACCCACATGCGGTGCGTGCATGTTGCGTCGGTGTAGAGGAGCGCACGGAGCGGCGTGATGACGCCGCCCGCAGTGAGGCCGCGCAGCGTGTTGACGAACTCCGGCGAGCCGGCTTGCGGGCGCACCACGAGCAGCGGACGCTCGCCCTCGACGGAGCCGAGGCACAGGTCGAGCGCCTGGTGGATCCAGTAGGTGTCGGCAAGGTACTCCCAGCTCTGGTTGCCGAGGAGGTAGTTGAGGCGCGCCGGCAGCGAGCGCACGAGCGTGCGGTCGAAGATGTCGATGAAGCGCTGGCGCAGCAGCGGGTCGCGCTGCCGGCAGCCGAGCAGGAACGCATTCTCGAGCCGCACGGTCAGCTCGGTGCGCGAGAACGTCGGGCTGGCGTAGATCGCGTGGATCAGGTCGAGATAGTCGCGCAGCAGCATCTCGTCGCGCGTCTCGAACGACATCATCTTGATCAGGATGCCGGCCTTCTCCTTGACGGTTGGGAAAGCCTCGGCCTGGTCGAGGATCCAGCGACGCATCATCGACAGCAGGAAGCGGCAGAGGTCCAGGCTCGAGGACTTCTCGATCAGCTGCACCACAGCGGAGAGGAACCAGCGCCGCTGCTCGCCCAAGTTGGAGATGCGCGTCTTGAGCAGATCGAGCACCATCATGAGCAGCTTGAGCCCGTTGTCCGACGAGGGCGGTGGCGGCGCCGGCTGGACGCCCGCAGCTGCGCTCTGCTGCGCCGGCATGCCAAGGTGGTCCTTCGTCAGCTTCGTCAGCGCCTTGGTCAGCGCGCCGAGATGCGTGTCGATCTACAGACATCGTCAGCTAAGGCCGGACATCAGCGACGCGTGCGTCCAACGCACCTTCTCGGGTCGTGCCTTCGCCCAGGAGGCCAGCATGACGAACGCGCCGTAGAGGCCCGCGCCGTTGCTGCGCAGTCCCTCGGTGATGATGCGGTCGGCGAACGTGCGGAACGCAGCTGCCGACTCTTCCGGCTGCTGCGGCTCGGCCTCCTGCTTGGGAGCAGCGGGCGCAGGCGCGGCATCCGCCATGGCATCGTCCTCATCGTCGCCTTCGGCGTCCTCCTCTCCCGGCGCGGGCTCAGGAAGCACAGCGAAGATGCGCTCGAGCGTGTCGCGGCAGTTCTCCAGGATGACTGGCTGCTCAGCAGAGGCACATCTCTCGAGGAGGCGATGGAGCTGAGCCACGTGCAGCAGCAGCCATGCCTCGGACTTATCCTTGATCACGGCCCGCAGAGCCTGCAGAGAGTTGGTGAGCACGACAAGCGTGCTGTCCTGCACTTCCAACGAGGTGAGAGGCTTCTGGAAGACCGCGAGGCGGATGGGCACGTTCGACCAGCCGGGCGCTGCGAGAAGATCGCGCAGCGTGTTGAAGGCCTTCGCCGTGGTGCCGCGCAGCGAGATCGGCTCCGCAGAGAGGCTGACGAAGCGGAGCAGAAAGCCGAGCAACGCATCGCGCACCGGCGGAGGCGGCGTGTACTGATGCTCGGCTGCATCGCTGCGAGACGGCAGAGCGCTGACCGGCGATGTCGAGCGCACGACAGCCGAGCCTGCATCGTCGATGCGCGCACGCTTCTGCGGCTCCGCTGCCTCGGCCAGCGAGCCTGAGGCAGTGCCGCTGCGCTTGCGCGTTGTGGTCGCTGCAGCGTCGCCTGCAGTGTCTGCGCCTTCCGTCTTGCTCTCCGTCTGCGCAACGGCTTCGGCACGGCGACGCTCCCATCGCGCAACGACGTCCACGAGCTCGACGCAGAGGCTGCGCGACTCGACGCTCGATGAGCTCGACAGGCCGAGCTTGCTAAGGTTGCTCGCGATGTGGCCCATGAACAGCTCGCGGTCGGCGTAGAACAGATCGGCGTGGCGGACAAGCAGGCCGAAGATCAGACCAATCTGCGCGACGTTCTGGCCCTCCTCGGTGAGCTGCCGCTTCGTCCATTTCGCCCACTGCGAAGGCTGTCCAGGCTCGGCGGCCGGGACGCGCTTTGGCAGCGCAGGAACGAGAATGTCCAGAGCCTTGCGGACAAGGCCGCGACTCTCCGACTGGTGCAGGCGGAGCAGGCCCATGAAGACCTTGGCGACGATCTTGAAGGGCGCGTCGAACGAGGCGAGGAAGCGCGCAATGAAGATGTACGACGTCGTCTTGACGGTGATGTCTTCGGTCGCGAGGTTCGCCCAGCCGAACTTGATCGCGTCCTTGCGGGCTGCGCCTTGCACCGACGACATGAGCTGCTCGCAGTGCTCCAGCACCATGGTGGAGAACTGGATGACCTCGAGGCGAAGCACGTCCTCGGAGCAGACCTGTGCGCCGACTTTCGTCTGGAACACACGCCAGACGCGCTGCACCACGGTGTTGAGCAGGTCGACGTGGAAGAGCGGCTCGGCAGGTGTGGCAGCGGCGGCCTCGCCGTCCTTTGCCTGTGCTGGCTCGTCGGCCTTGGCGGCCGCGCCTTTCGCGTCGCTGGCGCTGGCGCTGGCACTGGCCTTGCTTTCTGCCTCCGCGGGAGCGACAGGCCGGGGAGCGGCGATCAGGATCGGGTTGGCCAGCAGGCGGAAGCACTCGGCCTTGTAGGCTTGCGTCACGTCTTTGCGCTCGAAGACGTCGATGCAGCGCATCAGCACTGCACGGCGATCGGCGAGTGCGCCGTCGATGGCGAGGCGCTGGTAGACGAAGCGCACCGTGCCTGTCAGGTCCAGCGGACCGGGGAACGAGGCCAGGTCCGCGAAGGCAAAGTAGATGTCCGTGTGGTGCCGGCGCGACAGGTACGCGGTGAAGACCTCAACGATCTGCACGGAGACACGCTGCTCTCGCGTGCCCTTCTCGCTCGCCCTTCGCTGCACGAAGCCAGGCGACCGCCAGTAGACCAGAAGCGCGTCGATGATGTCGACGTTGTCCACGATCCAGCCGGGCTGCCGAGCCTCCAGCTCGCGGACGACCTGCAGCGCTGCGAGCGTCTTGCGAGGGTCCACGTCACCCGTCAGCAAGGGCAGCAGGCGCGTGCTCTTGTCCTCCTCGACCTGCTTGCGCAGGCGCGGCGCGTCGTCGCAGGCCAGCGTCAGCTTGAAGCAGCGCACGTAGCGCGCGTCCTCGAGACGGCCGAAGAAGAGCTCGACCGCCTCGCGCGGGTACTTGTCAAAGTACTGCGCGAGCGGCTTGGTGAACGGCGTCGGGCCGGAGCGGCGCAGGACCGTCTCGATGTCGCACACCTGCTTGACGAGCTGCGGCATGAACATGCTCGCCGTCGGCGGCAGCAGGTGGAACACGCGCACAACGGCCGCCAGGGTCTCGATGGCATCGCTGCTGCGCGCCGGCCGTGGCTGCAGCAGGTGGTGCGCGTCCGCGTACGACGGTCCCTGCAGGGCTCCCTCGCCGGCGCGTTCGAGCACTTCGCGGTCCGCAATCGCCTCCATGTGGGACAGGAGCTTGCTACCGATCTCGACCTTGAAGTATGATGTGAGGAGCTCGAGCAGGCGGGCCAGCCCGTCCAGGCCCGCCACGGTCAACCGCCCGGCATCCGCCAGCGTCATGAGGATCGGCCGCAGACCGCTCTGCAGCACGTCCTTTGGCAGCTTCGGCTGCGATGCAAGCGTCTCCTTGAGACTCTTGTACGCCTCGTCCACAACCTCCTGCGAGCGCGAGTAGAGGCTCTTGAAGTAGACTGCGATGATGCGGATGCGCAGCTGTGCGTGCTTGGCGCCGAGGAAGTCCTGGCACGCCATCGCCGAGGCCAGCAGGCGCAGGGCAACGACGCGCAGGTTGGTGACGGCCAGCATGTTCTTGTACTGCGACGTGCGGCCAATGAGAGCCAGGTCGTCGGCATCAGCGAGTGCCAGCGCCTCGGTCAGCACACGGAAGAGCTCTTCGTTTGGCTCCGGCAGCGGCGGCGTGAGCTGCAGGCAGAACGTCACAGCGTCGATGTGGCCGATCTGCATGCCAAACGGCAGTGCGCGCAGCGGCTTGCTGAAGATCGGCTGCAGCAGACGATCCTTGATCGGCGTGAGGATCGTCGTGACGCTCGTGCCACGCAGCTCGGCGAGCAGCTCGAAGGAGGCGCGCGCCACGGAGCGCACCTTGGCGTTGGAGCTGGAGAGCTCCAGCACCAGCACGCCGACGAGGTAGTTGAACTGGCGCTCCTGCATCTGCTCCTCGTCCGTCTTTCCATCAGGCCGCCCAGGCGCCGGCGTCGCGGCTGAGCTCGGTGGCTCGCTCGGCTTCGGCACAGCTGCCGGCGCAGACGCAGAGGAATCGGCCTTGTTCTCTGTCTCGCTCGGCTTTGCAGCTGCCTCAGACGCGGCGCCGTTTGCAGAGGGCGTGCTCTCGGCCGCGGGCGCTGGCGTCGCGGTGTGCACGGTGCGCAGCACGAAGAGGATCGTGTCGCTGACGGCCTCGACGTTGCCCGGCGGGTCGGTGGGCATGTCCTTGAGCATGTACAGCAGCGCACGCATGATCTCGAGCTGGTGCTCGCGCAGCCACGGCACGCCGAGGTTGGCGCGCCGGACCATCATGTCGATGGCCAGCCAGCCGCCAGTTTTGCGCTGCCACAGCTGGTCGTAGCACAGCGTGCAGTGCTTCGACGCCAGGCTGTGCATGAGCGTGATCCACTGCTCGGGCCGCGACGCCTCGACGCAGACCTCGCGAGCCTCGCCGATAATGCGCAGCTCGAGCTCGACGATGGCTGCCGCGTCCGCTGCTTCGTTGTCGTTGGCCGCAAGGGCGTAGGCAATGCCCTGCATGAAGTACGTCATCAGCGGACCCGGCTGCCGCGTGGTGCCGACTTCGCGCCGCGTCTCCAGGGTGAAGATGTGGCGTGACAGGCCAAGGAGGTACGCCGTGGCGCCTTCGAGGCCAGCGCCGCCTTCCTCCGAGTGCGTGGCGTCGAAGAGGCCCTTAACAACTCGCTCGAACGCCTGCTCACGCTCGCCACCGGCATTGCCGAGCGTGCCGTCGAGGAACAGCGCGGCCGCATGTCGCAGCAGCTCGAACGAGTGCTTGCGGCGGAACAGATCGCCTCGCCGGATGCCAGACAGGGCAAGGTCGATGACCGGCGCGAGGACGAGGCTCTGCGCCTTGCCCTCGAAGTGCACGGTGAACGTCGCCTGCGGGTGGTCGTGGTACGTGAGCTTGGGCGGCTGCTGGAGCAGGCGCCGGTTCCGGCCGCCCATCTTGCCGAGGATGCGCATCGTCGTGTGCGAGTGCTGGTGGTTGTGCGGCAGCGGCTGCAGGTGCTTCAGCAGCGCCGTCATGATGTCGGTCGCGTACGGCGCCATGATCGGGTCGAGGAACTCCTGCGTGAGATTGTCGATGCACAGCTCGAGCGTGCGCAGGCCCTGGCTGACGAGCTCGGTCGACGACTGCAGCGCAAGAACCAGCGGCCGCATGAGGTAGCCCAGATACGGCAGCAGCACGCTTAGCCGCACGGGCACTGTGAGGCAGAGGTCGACGAAAAGCTCGCGACGTGACGGCTCGGCAGCGTTGAGCAGGTTGTTGAGGTTTTCGAGCAGCACGGGCAGCAGCGGCAGCACATCCTTGTACAGCAGCTCGAAGCGGCCGCCGCCAATGCTGCGGAAGAGCGCGCGCAGCAGCAGGAAGTAGTTGGCCGGCTCGCTGGCCTTGCTGGCCAGCTTCATCGACTGCATGATGAGGTGGCTGAGATGCGGCTGCAGCACCGCCTCGTTCTCCTCGGGGAAGATGGTGACCGCCATGAAGCTCATCTTGAACAGCCGCAGCGTGACGGACGCATGCTTCTTGTCGGCATCGCCGAGCTCGTCGAGCCGGTCGACAAGGAAGCGCAGCATGATGCCGACGTAGCGTCGCGACACGCCTTCGTTGGAGAGCAGCGTCTGCGGAATGCCGAGCAGCACCGGGTTCGTGAGCATCAGGTCGAAGAGGAAGGGCATATGCGTCGTGAAAACCTCGTGGAACGTCTGCGGCTCGAGCTCGATGAACATGCTCGCAAAGTTCTCCATCAGGTCCTTGTCTGGCGGGCCCTCGGCCTGCTCGTAGCAGGTCCAGCAGCGCATGCCGTCGACGAACACGCGGCCCATGATCTCGCCGCTCGGCTCGGGCACTTTGCGGCGGCGCAGCATCGTGAGCAGCGCCTTGAGGCCGTTCAGGATGTTGCGCAGCAGATACCGCACGTCTGGCGCCATGACTGTCGTCAGCAGCGCTCGCCGCTCGAACAACACACCTGCCACTCACCCTTGAACGACTCGTGCACAGCGAGGTCCGGCAGCATGGCGCTGGCAGGCACCGTTCTCGCCCGCTCGATGGCGAGAGGCGTCAGCACGGCGTCAGCGCCGCCGGGCGTGCCCGCCTCTGTGGCCTCGGCCTTGGCCTTGCGCACAGCCTCGATGCCCTCCTTGAGCTGTGGCAGTGCCCCCAGCTTCTCCACGAGCGCATCGATGACAGACTGCAGCACCGGCCCCGGATCCTCGGGCCCGCGCATGACGCTCTGGTCGGTGATGTTGAGCAGCAGCTTGATGCACATCGTCTGGATGCTCGGTGCCAGCGTCGGGTGGTGCAGGATCTGCACGTGCAGCTGCACGACACGGCAGATCTGCGCAAACGAGAGCTGCGGCCGGATGTGGTGCAGCAGGTCTGCCAGCATGCTGACGGCCAGTGGCCGCAGGCTCTCGCGCGACGTGACGCCCGTGCCCGTCATGACGCGGTCGTCGAGGAGCGTGTCGACCTGCGAGATGAAGAAGCTGCGCATCTCGGTCGACAGCAGATGCCGGATGGCCACCAGCAGCTCCTTGCGCGTGGCGCTCGCGTCCGGCGGGCAGTCCTGCAGCAGGCGCACCGAGATGCCGGGCAGCTCCTCGTAGTATGGACGCGTGAGGTCGGCGTACGGCTTGATGACGTACGCGAGGAAGCTCATCATCTTGACCTGCGTGCCGATGAGGTCGCCGTAGAGCGCGTGGTTCTTGATGCCCGGCGCGACGCCGATGAACAGCGAGCCCTTCGCCACGGCTGCCGTGCGTGCATCCCGCTGCGGCGCGGCCTGTAGCCGCAGGCAGCCTTCGATCATCAGCGGCACTAGCACGCGGACAGACGCCTGCACCGTCGAGCGGAAGGTCTGCACGACGAGCACAATGGCGATCGGGCACTCCTGCAGCAGCTTGAAGCTCGACGTGCCCTTCACGAGGACCTTCGGCGCGGGCTGGGCGCCCGTCGTGAGGCCCAGGTCGCTGCCGGTCATGCTGGCAGCTTGTGACTCGGCGGCAGGCGACGGCGCGCCGGCTGGTGAGTCGGCAGACTGTACAGATGGCGTGAGCTCGAATGGGCGAAGCCTGGGCCAGAGGTACGCACGGCATCGGCCTTCGCCGCTCCACTCGCAGCGCCCATGGCGTTGAGCTGCGCCGCCTCGCTCTCGAAGCTGCGCTGCACCGTCGCCTCCATGCCCTTGTACAAGTCGCCCATCAGAGACAGGAAGCCGCCGACCTCGCTCTCGAGCTCGCCCTTGAAGGCGCGGACGAGGTCGATGATGACCTTGAGCGCGATGATCGCGTTCTCCTCGTTGTCCTCGCGGATGAGGGCGATCATGGCACGCTGCAGCTCCTTGGCATGCTGCCGCGCCACTTCGAGCGGCTGTAGCCGATGCAGCGTGCTCAACAGGCAGTTGCGTATCCGCTGCAGAGGGCGAGATGAGCAAGGCGCCGGCTGGCAGCAGCGAGGGGGCGCACCTGCTCTGGTGCCTCTGTGTGCAGCGAGCACGGCATCTTGCCGAGCACGGCGAGAGCCACGGGCACGAAGACATTGATGAATGCCGCCAGATCCTGTCCCTGGTACGCCTCGGACATGTCCTTGATCTCGCCGGCAACGACGAGCTTCGCCCGCAAGTCTGAGGCGCTGAGGTCAGCCCGGCCCGGCCGCACGACGAGCAAGCAGGCTGTCACCCGTCGTCAGACCTGCAGATGGCACTCACCCAGCTTGTCATCGAGCAAACGTGTCACAAGCTGCTTCGGCTCGGGCGCCTGTGCCCTCCCGGCGCCTGCTGCCCCGGATGCAGCATTGGATGGCCCGGCCGAGGCCGACGGCGCCGCCTCAGACGAAGACATGGCGGTGCCCTCGCGACGGCCTCAGAACGCGAGCTTCCGCAGGAATCAGGCTCGCAGCACGACCAGCGAGATTTGAATGCCGCCAAGGTCGAGAGAGCTGCAGATGGCGCGGCCCTTGGTGCGATGGCGGGCGTCGAGAGAAGGAGTAGGGGAGGATGGTTGTCTCCGGTGCGGCACGTGACACCAGCGAACGAAAGAGGCCGCTCGGCAAATGGGGTATGGACAGATACGCAGCGGACCAGAGAAGCGCCAAGTGGGCCGTGAGAAGGAGGCGGCCGGGCGTGCCGTAGTGGATGTGCACGCACGGCGGGGCGTGGGGGATGAATGGGGTGCAGCGAGACGGGCCGGAAGGATGCGCGCGCGGCGAAGCGTGACCCGACGCGCGCCGCTCCTTCTCGCGCCGCGTGCACTCGCCCGCTGACAGCGAAAGCCTCAGTCGCACCGTCAGGAGAACAGACTGTTTCTGCGTCTCAGTCTCGACGACAGGCAAGCATACATCACAGCGAGTCTCACACACGGCACCCGCTGTGCCGTGCGCTGCTCGTGGGGCTGCGATGGCGCGGAGGAACCGCGCGCGGCGGCAGCGCACTCGGGAAATCGCTTCGCGGGGGGGTCGCGGATGCGTCTCGCGGACCTCGCCAGACCCGGACATGCAGGTTGGGCGGCGAGTTGTATTGCTCCCACGCCTTTCTGAAGCCGCACTACCGCCTGGCCGCGCGAGTTCGTATTCACGCCTCCTGCGCGAGAGCTGGCCGACAGCTGCGCTGGCCCAACACCAGACATGGCCGGTGCGCGTCTCCCGTCACTTCCTTCCTTCCTGCCACACCTCCAGTCCAGAGCCTGCTCCGCCCAGCCACTTATCCTTAACTCGCACTGGCGGCGCCTCCTCCCGCTCTCGCTCCCTCACTTATCCTCCGCGCTCACGTCGCTCGGCTGCTGTGCGGCCGAAGCGTGCCGTCTAGCACCGGCTGCACCACTCAGCTCGGGCGGAGCAGCGAGCAGACCCGTCGGCTCGCTGCGCTGGACAAGCGCTGGCTGCACTGCTGCGTGCGGTAGCGGCTGAGTCAGAAAGCACAGCCAGGAGTCGTGGTGCGCCTCGCTGCACTGCCTGCCCAGCATGGCGTCGCTCCTGCTCCGGCTGTTCAACTCGGACTACTTCAGCCCGCACCTGGCGCTGTCCTAGTGAGTCGACCGGCGAGCGGAGGCGTATCGCCGTACTCACGACTGTCTGCAGCCTCAAGACATACTCGGACAGCATCGGCATCACTGTGAGTCGGCTGGCGACGTGCTCGCTGCGCCCAGTCCGCGCGGCACCGAGCTCTTGCTCACGCGCCTCCTGGCGTGCGCAGTGGTACTTGGTCGAGCGGTTCCGCAGTGACTTTCCGTCGGAGGAGGTCGACTTCTACTGGCCGCAGCTGTGGTTAGTGCCGCTGCTGCTAGGTGCCCTGCATGCTGCTCACGCGAGGGCGACACAGCTATCTGCTTCTGAGCCGGCCGAGCGAGTCACGCGCGCTCGAGTCGTTTGTGCTCCAGCGCTGCGATGAGCAGGTCCATGTTGCGCTCCTTGTGAGTACATTGCGCGAGCTCGCTGAGGAGTGTGCTCATCATTGGCCTTCGCAGACGCTCTGGTACTTCCAGGCAGCGCTGTCCGACCTCAGCAGCGCGCCGCACTCGCCGTCATTTATGATCTGCCAGCGGGTTTTCAACGCATGCCAGCGCATTCTCTTCGACGACCCGCTCTCTTCGACCTCGCTGATCTCGACCACCACGTCATCGTCGTCCGTGGTCACCGGCTCTCGCCGCTCGCGCCTCGTTGTGGCCGCGCGCTCGAAGGCGGCACCCAAGGTGCTGCCTTCCAACGTGAAGGCCAGCATGGTCGGCCTTGGCGCAGTGCTCGCGAGCGTGCCGGGCATGCCGTCGCTAGCACAGATCTCGGGCAGAGTTGCAGTCGAGCAAGGGCGCAAGAAGCCTCTGGGCCTCGACAGGGCGGAGCTTGAAGGCACAGCAGACGCCGGACGCTTCTCAGGCTCTTCGGACGATGAAGAGTTCGAGGATGACGAGGGCGCGGGCGAAGCCGACGAGACAGACGAGGCGAAGGGCACCGGTCAGGGCAGCGGCGCTGAGTCTGCGTCGGACGGCAAAGCCTTGGCTGCCAATGGGGCGGAGGCCGAGAAGAGCGCGCCGCCCACGCTGCGCTCGCAGACGATGCCTGCGGGTGCCGCGAGCTCGCTCACTCCCGGTGGCATTCTCAAGCCGCCGAGCAAGCCAGCAGCATCGCCGCCGACCAGCGCCAATCCGTTTGCAAGCTTTGCGTCGCGCTTCGATGCTGGCTTCTCCGACTTCCGCGACAAGGCTGCTGCTGCCGTGGGCGACGCGCTGGGCCAGACGTTCGGCGTCGACTTTGTGCCGGGGCCGGAGTCAAGCCGGAAGCCCAAGGCGCCGCCTGCCTGGCACCCGCAGCGTCGGAGACCGCGCCTCTCGCTAGAGCAGGGCGCCAACCGCTTCCGGTCGGCACCCAATCTCGCAATGGCGCGTCACGGCGGCAATGCCTCGCCCTTTGCATCGACAACGACGTTTGCTGAGGCGACCGGCGGCGCCGCTCCGAACGCAGACGCGGTGCTGGCGCAGTACGATCCAGAGGCCCGGCGGCGTCTGCTGCGATCCAACTACTGCCGCGTCCAGACGCAGTTCCTGCTCACGCTGCAGGACATATCGGCGCGCATGCTGCTGATACCCAAGCCGGCACGACTCTCCGCGCTCAGGGCCGAGCTGACGCAGCTGAACCATTCGCTGCCGAGCGAAGTCTGCTTTCCGCTGTGGTGCCGTGCAGAGGCACGAGACGGAGCCGAGGCCAGTGCGACGAAACCGCCGGAAGAGGAAGAGGGCGAGAGCATGGCGGCCAAGCACCGCGCCGGGCGCCACCACCGCGTGGTGCGCATCAACCCGTCCGAGGCAGTCGTGCTGAACTCGGCGGATCGCGTGCCGTTCCTGCTGCACGTCGAGGTGCTTCACGACGACTTGGACTTCGATCCAGACAGGCGGCAAAACCGCGAGAGTCTCAAGAAGCTCGTTGTGCAGGAGGACACGCGGCGGAGAAAGTTTGCCTCCTCGCGCAGCTTTGCGCTCTCCGACTCGAGCCGCGACCACAGCATTGGAGCACGCGAGGACGCGACTGCGTCGTCCAGCACGCCTGCGACGCCTGGACTGTCGTCCGACGATCCCATGGCACTCGCTGAGTCAACAGGCTCGAACACCGCTGCGCCGCCGCCCGCGCCGGAGGTGGCCACTGCGCAAGTTCCGTTGTCGTCGCCTCTGCGCGCCGAATATGCGGTGCCCGAGGATGATGGAGAGGAAGTGGACCTGACTGAGCAGGCATTCGGGTCCGACCTTGCGGCCTTTGGCGAGGAGAGGGAAGCAGGCTCCAGCGACGAGGACGACCTCACGGCGATGAACCGCGACCACGACACTGCAGCCTGGACCTCGGCGCGCGGCGCCAAGCAAAAGGCCGAGCAGGCCGCCGCGCAGTTCTCGCTAGACGAGTACTCGGAGCGGATGCGCACGGCGGCAGTCATGCTTGCGCAGCTCAACCAGAGCACCAATGCCGCAGCGCACCCGATCGTGGCGCACAACCCGAACGTCAGCGCCACGGCACAGGGTGGCTGGAGCAGCTGGCTGACCGGCACGAGCTGGGCCGGCGTCGTGGCGCCCACCAAGAGCGAGGCTGGACAGGGCAGCGCGGGCATCACTGCGCCAGTCACCGGCAGTACTGCGCCAGCCGCGCCGCGGGCGTCGACTTCGGGCGCCGTGTCGGAAGGCATGGCGCAGGCTCTTGCTGCAGGTGCGCCTGGCGGTGCCAAGGTGCTGCACGCTGACACGGAGGCGATCCGGCGGCGCATCATGCAGGAGATGATGGCGCTGGAAGAGGAACGCATGGAGCGCATGAACGCCGCCGGACGGCACGTCGGCCGCGGCCGGCGCCGCACCAACGAGCCCGACGAGGACGAGGAGACGGTGATGCGCGCCGTCAACAAGGACGACCCGTCGGCGGCCATGTTCCGCGAGTCGTGGGCGATGAAGAAGGCGCGCATCCGTGCCTCGAGCCCGTACGGGCATCTCGAGTCGTGGGACGTCTTCTCGGTCATCGTCAAGACTGGCGCGGACCTGCGGCAGGAGCAGCTCGCCGTGCAGCTCATCTCCGAGTTTGGCCGCATCTGGAAGGAGACGCAGTCGCGCTGCTGGGTGCGCTACTTCCGCATCCTCGTCACGAGCGAGAACTCGGGCCTCATGGAGACGGTCACCGACGCCGTGTCCGTGCACTCGATCAAGAAGGAGGCCTACTCGCGGCGCGTCGCCGAGGGCAAGATCGGCACGTACAATCTCTACGACCACTTCTGCGACGTGCGTACTGCTCCCGCTCTGCTTTTGCGGTCGTTGCTGACTGACCTCTCCTTCTAGTCCTTCGGCGAGCCGTCGTCGTCGAAGTTCAACCGCGCGCGCGAGCGCTTCATGGAGTCGCTGGCCGCCTACTCGATCATCTCGTACCTGCTGCAGATCAAGGACCGGCACAACGGCAACATCCTCATCGACGGCGACGGGCGCCTGATTCGTGAGTCGGATGTGCGAGCCGCTCGCGCTGCATTGCTCATGCGCGCCGCAGACATCGACTTTGGCTTCATGCTCGGCATCTCGCCCGGCGGCGTCGGCTTCGAGGCGGCGCCGTTCAAGCTGACGCAGGACTACATTGACATCATCGGCGGCACCGAGAGCCCCAAGTGGGCCGAGTTCAAGCTGCTGGTGCAGCACGGCTTCCGCGATGTGCGCAAACACGCCGAGCGCATCATCATGATGATCGAGCTGATGCAGCGAGGTGCGTGGCAGCCGCAGGCCGCATGCCGGCCGCCCGCTGACTTCCAACCTGCCCACACCAGACTCGAAGCTGCCGTGCTTCTCGCTCGGCGAGCTCACCGCGTCGAATCTGCGCGACCGCTTCCAGCTCGGCCTCAGCTCGTCGCAGAGCGACGCCTTCGTCGACCGCCTCGTCGAGTCGTCGGCCAACTCGGTGTTCACGCGCCTCTACGACCGATACCAGTGCGTGTGCCCTGCGCACACCTCGCCCCGTCCAGTGCTGACCCTCCGGCCAGATATCATGCTCAGGGCGTGCTATGAGATCCTCTCGCGGCGTCCGGGAGGAAACACCGCCGTCACCCGCCTCTATACCCGCCGCTCCCTGCATGCGCCGTGATGTATCAACCTCTCTCGCGCTGCTGCCCGCCTTGCAGTGGCGGCAAGCATCCATTGCAAAAGAAGAGCATCTGAGACCCAGTCGGCGATGCTCGAGGGAAGAGCGGGCCTTCGGGCAGCCCCCGAGCCACGCAGCGCCGTGCGTGGGCTTTGCAGGGTCTGCTGCGCGCACCTCGATCTAGGGCAGTCCGAGGCACTGCCGGCTGTTCCGCCCTTACTTCTGCCCATACCGCTGCTTGCGCCCGAGGTCGAAGGGCACGTACCTGTCGCGCGCATGTGTCAGAGGTGCACACGCGGACAGCAGCTGGCGCCGCGACTCACTTGTACTTGACCATGTGTGCAATCTGGCGCCGCATGGTTATCCCGAACAGCACGAAGAAGTAGAGGACGAGGATCGGCACGAACACGGGAATGTCGAACGCCCGCGTGATCGTGCAGCCGAGCGAGATGAGCACGGCCTGCGTCGCAGAGAGCCAGAACTGGAGCGCGCGGCGAGGTCAGCAACAGGGCTTGCAGCGGATCGAGGCTGCGCGCCAAACAGCGCTCATCCGAGCGCGTGTCACCCTCTCTGCCAGGAACCCACAGCTCGGAGCCCGCCGCACAGCAGTGGCTCGACCCAGCATGTCCACTCCTCGCAGCATCCAAGATTGCCGCCCTGCGCGACTTCTTGCTTCGCATCACGGCTGCCAGGAAGAGCCGATACCTTCGCCGCTCTGCCCGCAAGACCCTCACAGCAAGTCTACAGCACGGGCGCATCCGCTAATCAGCCGCATGCGCCTCTGCACTCACCTTGAACTCTGGCAGTCTCCGGATGAAGGGCCGGAACTCCTCCTCTGGCTGCGTCGCGCCAAACATGCCGCTCATCAGCCCACCACCGCCGCCGCCGCCGCGCGGGAACGACGCCGCCGAGGCCGACGTGGGCAGGCCCGGCTCGCCGTCCTCCATGTCCTGCTCGGCCAGGTCCTCGTTGATGGAAGGGTCGAACTTGGGCTGCAGGAAGGCGAGGAAGAGGTTGAGGAGGTAGATGAAGAGGGCGTAGCAAACTGGTGACAGAAGGTGTCAGCCAAGAGGCAAGTACGACAGGTGCGGTGCAGGCAGGTACCGCAGTCATCGCTGCGCTGCTGCCAGGCTCCGTGCATCGTCGCCAGCCCGCTACACTGCTACCGTGCGCTGCGCTGCTCGCTCGTCGCTGCACGCTGTCCTGCGCCGCGCTGCTCGCTCATCGCTGCACCACTGCACACGCACCGATGTACCAGCCCTGCCCGAAGATGACGCGCAGCATGAAGAGCGCCAGCAGCGCGCCCGTGGTGCCCCAGCGGCGCGCCGTGTAAGGGGTGGTGGAGTCGAGGAAGACCTGCACGCGCTGCTGTGCCGCGTTGCTCTGGCGCAGCAGGTTCTGCATGACGGGCGGCGACGAGTCGAGCTCGTCTCCCTGCGGCTGCATCATGGTGGGCGGCAGTGCGGGGGCTGCGAGCGGGCGGCGCTGGGGAATAGCCAGAGCGCTGGTGCTGGAAGATGTGGCAGCAAGGCAGGAAGCAAGCCGGCGCGCCGCGCGTGTTGCCGGACGCGGCGGAGGCCCGGTGCCTGCGCCACGTTGCGCGCTCAGCAGCACCGCCCAGCTTCCTGCTCCCACGCCTGTCTGTCACGTGCGACGCCTGGGCCCTGGCTGCCTCGCTTGGCCTTGCGCTGGCCTCCTTCTCCTCCACATCCCTCTCTGCCAAGCACGCTGCGATGGCCAGCGCTCCCGCCGCAGCGCCGCCGGCGCCGGGCTCGGCCTTTGCGCTGCTCTCGCTGCGCCCCACCTTCACGCAGGGCCTGCTCGTGGGCCAGCTGAGCATCGTCGTGCTGCTGCTCATCCTGCTGCGCTTCCTCCTCTTTGCCGACCCCGACGCCTCGCCGTCGCGCCGCCGCCAGCGCGGGCCCATCAGCGCGCCCTCGGCGTGGCCCTCGTCGGCGCGCAAGAACGCCGCAGCACCGCCGCCGCCACTGCGCAGCACGCCGCGTGTGCCGCCGCGGCACCTGGCCGAGCGCGCCGGCTACGACGTCGGCGCCCACGCGCCCGAGAGCACCGACTGGGTCAACGTGCTGCTCGCGCTGGCGCTGCACGGCTACCGCGAGGATCTGGCGGCGGGCAATGAGGGTGGCGCCCGCGCGGCCGTGGAGCACATTCTCAATGCCGCGGTGGAGGGCAAGACGGCCGGGACGCTCCTGGTGAGTACGGGTGAACGCACACCGATGCCTGCTCGGCATGGACACAAGAGCAGCAGGCTTCTTTCGGCGCCCAGGGCTGAGGCAGCGCTCTCCAGGATCGCATCACTGTAACATCAGTCGACATCGGCAACGCCTTTCCGCACCTTTCCGACGTGCGCGTGCGGCCATCAGACGAAGCCGGCGGCCTGGTGAGTGCGCCAGCCCATGTAACAAACAGAGTCTCAGCTCATGGTCCGTGCAGCGCATCGAGGCAGAGATCGAGTACGTCGACCAGATCGAGCTCAGCATCGAGACGCAGCTCGTCGTCAACTACCCGCGGCCGCGCTTTGCGATCCTGCCGATCTCGCTGGGCCTCATTATCGAGCGGCTCAGCGGCACGGTGCGTCTGCCGCAGTGAGGCGCATGCGCGTCGTCGCTCACGTTTCCTCCGCAGATCTCCATCGAGCTGGTCTCGAGCTCCAGCACGCCCGCAGACGCACGCAGCCGGCATGCCGTGCGCCTCTCGCTGCACCCCGACTTTGCGCTCGATGCACGCGCCTCGAGCCAGCTGGGCTCGCGCGCCAAGCTCGTCGACGTGCCCAAGCTCGAGCAGATCCTCGTCGAGCGGCTGCGCGCCGCCGTGCACGCGCGCCTCGTGTGGCCGCGCTTCGTCTCGCTCTCGCTGCCAGACTTGGTGGCGTCTGCCCTGCTGCCGCGCGTCGTCGAAGCGGCAGTGACGGCCGCTGCGACGGCCTCGCCGCCCACGCCCGGTGCACAGGGCGAGACGCGCGAACAGATGCTTGGCCGCCAGGCCTCGGCGCGCGCCGCTGGCGCTCTCGGTCCCGGCGGCGGTCTCTTCTTCGAGCATCCGCACGCGGCCCACGCACACGCGCGCGAGACGGGCAGCAGCGTCTCGGGCAGTGCATTCCCGCCGTCCGCCTCAGTCGCAGGCGGGCCCAGCGCCGCTCGGCCAGGCTTCGCGCGCGCACCCTCATCCCACCTGCGTAGCATGCCGCTGCAGCACGAGCCGCAGCACATCCCGGCCGTCGAGGCATGGCGCAACCACGCGAGCGCAGCGACAGGCGTTGAGCTGCGCGCCGGTGCCGACGCACGACAGCGCAACGCGCGGTGACACTGGGACGGCGGCTGCAAATGGAATTGTTGCCCGCTGCATGTGACGCGACCTTTTGGCGCTTGATGAACCTCTCACAGCTCGCGGTCAGCATCGACCAGGCGGATGAGGTGCGAGTAGAAGTCGACGAGGCGCGCATCGGCAGTGAAGTGCTCGTTGACGCTGTGCACGCCAAAGCCCGTGCCGAGGCCTGTGGCGTCGGGCGCGAAGCTGGCCGGGCCGTAGCGGAAAATGCTGAGGCGAGAGGAGCGTGAGCGAGTGCGAGTGGAGCAAGAGCGCGAGCCGGCTCACTTGCGCGTCAGCGACCAGTAGTAGCGCGTGTCGGTGTTGCCCTGCATCGTCGCGGGCACCTGCGAGCGGGACATCAGCGCACGGACGAAACCCTCGACGCAGGCAGACTCACAACCGTGACACCCTCGCCGCCGCTCAGCACCGGCAGGCCGTCCTCGTCCACGCGGTACGTGTCGCGGATGACCGAGCTGAGCAGCCGGAAGGCATGCGCGTCCTTGCCGACGACCGGCGTGCGCGGCGCGGGCTCCAGTGAGCCGGCCCACTCGGCGACAGTGATCTTGCCCAGGAAGGGCGCGGAGGGGTCCGCCTTGCCGCTGCAGGATCGACACGTGTCAGCTCTCAGCGACACGGACAAACACAGGCCAAGCGCACCTCAGGTCCTCGCCGAACGCCTCCAGCGAGAGATGGAAGTCCTTGGCCGCCTGGCGCAGCAGCTTGCGGTACATCTCCTTGACCGCCTCGACGTTGGACCACGTGGCGATGCGGTGGTCGATGGAGGCCTCGACGCCCTCGGGCAGCGCGTTGATCTTGGTGCCGCCATGGATGATGTCGATGGCGCGCGTGGTGAAGAGCGGGCTGGCAGGACAGAGTCAGCATGAGTGATTCGACTGCATGGTGAGGCAGCTCACTTGGCCAGCTGGCGAGGCAGCACCTCGAGCACGCGCTGCTCGGCGCGCTTGATGCGGCGGTCGCGGCCGCTCGACGGCGTGAGGCGGTCAAGCGCGAGTGCCGCGCGTGCGAGCCACGACATGCTTGAGTGGTCGACGTCGATCGACGAGCGACGCGCCCAAGCCAGGTCGCGCAGTGCACGGCGCACATTGTCGGGCATCCTGGGCGAGTGGCGCAGGCAGAGCAGCTGCTTCAGCGGCGCGGACTCGCCGGCGGGGAAGCGGCGCTCCTCGGGCGCCTTCTCCATGGCAGTGAGGATGGAGGCGAGCATGCCGATCGACGTGTGCACGGGCGCGCCGCTCGAGTGGCCGCCGGGCGTGTCGATGCGCAGCGCAATGTGCGCCTGTCCCTTCTCCTCGACGGCAACGATGGCAACGGGCATGCCCAGCGCGTCGTTCTTGCCAAAGTTGGGCGTGCCCTCGTCGAGCAGCAGCGCCACGCTGTCCTTGCCGAGGCGCTCCTCGAGCGCCTTGGCCAGATGGCCGCCGCCGTGCGGGCCGCTGGCCTCCTCGTCGAAGCCAAACGCCACGATGATGGTGCGCGCGGGCGAGAACTCGGCCTCGGGGTCGAGCAGCGCCTCGAGCGTGCTCATGATGCCAATCACCCATGCCTTGGCATCGTGGCTGCCGCGGCCCCACACGGTGCCGTTCTCGTAGTGGCCCGAGAACGGCGGGAAGCGCCAGCTGCCGACGGTCTGCGGGTCGACGGGCACGACGTCTGCGCGGGGACGTGAGCGAAGGTACTGGCTGTGTGCTGCGGTGTGCTCACCCTGGTGCGCCGTCAGCAGGATCGGCTTGAGGCTCTTGTCGCTGCCCTGCCACGTGTAGAGGAGCGCGTGCGAGTTGACAAGCTCGCGCTTAACGGGGCCATCCTCGGCGTGCGTGCGCGGAAAGGCGTCGGCGAGAAAGTTACGGAACGGCTCGAAGCGCGTCTGCCAGCGCTCGTTGTCGTCGGCGGGCGAGGGCCAGTTGTCGCCGACGCTCGTGTCGAGCTGCACGGCGCGCGAGAGGCGCTCGGCGTACGTGTCGACGGAGGGGATGGGCGTGGGGTACATGGCCACGTGCGGCGCCTGCTGCGGGCAGTCGCTGTTAGCGGGGTGCGGTGCGGCGGCGGCCTCGAGCTGCGCGGCGAGCCAGCTGAAGCTGCCGGCGGGGCGCAGGGCGGGCGCCAGCGCATTGCCGCCCTGCCACAGGCTGGCGCCGACGAGGAGCAGCAGCGAGGCGAGCAGCGCACGCGCCCACGGCGGCGATGCCGTGCGGCTGCGTCGCGGTGCTGCGCCGGCGGGCAGCAGTGGGGCCTTCTCGAAGTGAGCTGGCATGCTTGGTGATGGTGGTGTGAGGGAGAGGAGGGGACGGCGCCGATGCCGCTGCGGGGCCCTTCGCTTGCCTGCGCCGCTCCGGCTTCTTCGGCTGCCGCGCCGACGCGCACGGAGCATCGGCCGATCTGCCGGACGCGCCGCTCCACATGCGTCTATGTGCACCCTTCCTTCGCGCTCAAGCTGCTGCCTGCCGAGCGTGCTGCTCGGCGAGAAGATGGCCTTGATGCGCAGGCAACATGCTGACGGGCACCGAGCTGTGGATGTGGCAGAGAAGGTGGCCAGAGGTATGGCAAGAGCAGGCAGAGTCGAGCAGCGGCTGAGGCGGGGCCTCTTCGTCACTCGGCGATGCCTGTGCCTGGCTGCTGACGCGCGTGGGAACGATCGTCCGGCGCCCCTCCGTCCATGCGTCCTGCGTCGCGATGGCAACTCTGACTCGCAGCTCTTCCGCCTTGACCCTCATCTTGCACTGAGCTTTTGAGTGCAAAATGCCGAGAGTACCTTGCAGCATCGCTCGGTGAGCTTCGCGAGCCTTGTCGTCCCGCCTGTGCGCATAGAACTCTGGCCCTCTGTGTGTGTCGAACGCGCGGTGACATCTCGCAAGACCTCGCGCTGGGGGCCTTGAGCGGTCGACACGACAGCGTGATTGAGCGACGCTGGCATTGTTCGGCCACGTGGCCGCACCGAGACAGCTCCCAACGACCCTGACGGCTGACTCTCTCTCTATTCCGAGCGGATCCGAGCCAGGAAGGTCCCAGATCAGAGCTCGCGCTGCAGCCGGCCTCCTATCGCGGGTCCGGCTCACGGTGGCTTTGGCACGTGCACGCCACTCGTCGACCTGGACCTCCGTTTGAAGCCCAGTCTGTCTTGGCAGCGCCTTGGTTCCCACGACAGCGATGCTGGAGGTGGTTCGTAGACGATAGCGGCTCCTCTCAGAGCCGGCCTCGGAGGGGGAGCTCAGGGCGCGACACGGCCGCGCGCTGTTTCTCTTTCCCGCGCTTGCATGCCGGCCGTCACGCGCGACGCGCCGCACACTTCCTTGAGAGATCACGATAAGCCGCGCGCCGCACGCGAGGCTTGCGCTCGGCACCGAGCAGAGAGCGGGAGGCCCAGCGCTGCACTGGCACGTGGAGCTGCGGTCTCGCTGCCTTATGCAGCGAGGCGTGCCTGCGACGCCCTGCACATGCTGATGGTGCCTGGCAATTGGCGCTCCTCCAGCGCGCGGAGCCGCACCTCGAGGCGGGAGCGGCCAAGTCCAGGGTCCGCCCGGGCGCGTGAGCAAGTCCGGGCTGCGATATCGCGGCGCTGGGCTGAGCGCCAGACGCAGGCACGCAGCACCCGCAGCCTCAGCCTGCAGCGCTGCGTCGTCGGGCAATTGCGGCGTGCTGCGTCGATGGCCGAAGCCACTCGCTGCCCGCTGAGCTGCGTCTAGAAGCCCTCTCATCCGGCCTCGGAGCCTCGGCGGCGAGCTGGCACTGCTGCTGCCTTGCTCTCGCACTCCTCTCCTGCGGAAGCGAGCCCCTGCAGCCACGCGGCGCCGGCGCCGAGAGGCGCGTGCGGCCCGGCGGCGCATGAGCGCGGGGCCCTGCGGCATGAGCGAGGCTGGGGGTGCGCCAGCAGCAGCGCCAGGGGCGGGGCTCGCTGCACCTCCGGCTGCCATCCACCCACCGCTCGGCTCCGAGCACACTCCCGCCTCGGTGAGGGTGCAGCGCCAGCAGGCGCAGCCAGCCAACGCGCTGGCTTATCGATCCGCTCGGCCAGCGCAGCAGCCACCGGCGCCGTCGCAGCGAGTGCCCGCCGAATGTGGGGCCAGCGAGCCGGGCAAGGGCTAATCGCGGGAACGCGCTGCGGCGCCAGGCACAGATTGGCCGTCGCCGCCGCCGACGCTCGCCTCACCCCTGGGCGATCGCACGGCTCTCGCACCCACGCGCGCGTCGCGCTCCTGCGCGGGGCATGCTGCGATGCACCTCCGCAGTCGGAGGCGCCACCGTCCTGGACCACGCCAGTCCGGGAGCGTCGCCGTGTATCGCGCTATCGCCAGGGCTGGCGCCTCAAGGCCTTAAAGACGGAGGTGCTCGACGTAGACACTGCTCCGTCCGCACCACCCATCCCTCCGACTCACCACCCCTAGTTCCCCATCATGACCAAGGCTCCCGCTCTCGGCGTGGCCATCGGCGACAGCGCCGATGCGCACCTGCCCTCGCCGTTCCGCAGCGACGTCTCGCTCGCCGAGTACATGTACTAGTAAGTTGCGCCTGGCCTCCGCCTGCCGCCGACGATAGCTGATCACCTTCCTCCAGCGCACGCCTGCAGCGCGAGGAGGAGCAGCTGCGCGCCTCGGGCCAGAGCATCCGCAGCGCGACGCCCGAGAGCACGAGCAAGGACGACGCCGAGAAGGGCCCCACCACGCTCGACCACGACTACCCGGCCGCCGCGGCCGACGACGGCCTCGCGTCGCCGCAGTTCGACGGCCTCAGCGCCGCGCAGCGCCGCGTCACCCATGAGCTGCTCAAGCTGCGCAACACCGAGTGGAAGGGCGTCCTCTTCCTCATCTGCTGCGACATCCTCGGCCCCTTCAACGCGCCGTATGCCATCGCGCAGATGGGCTTGGTGCCCGGCGTGATCCTCGTGAGTCGGTCCACAGCTGCGCCAGTCCCGTCCCGGTTGCTCACCCTACTGCCGCAGTACATCGTCATGGGCATGACGGCCTTCTGGGGCGCCATGCTGCTCCTCATGCTCTTCCTCAAGCTCGACTCGGCGCGCTACCCGCTGCGCACGTACGGCGACCTGGCCACGCGCCTGCTCGGCCCGTGGATGGGCGGCATCGCCATTGCGCTGTGAGTCGATCTGGCCGGGCGCGACGCTGTGCCATCGTGCGAGGCCTTGCCACTCACCCTTCCTTCTCTCCAGGCAAGCCATTCAGCTGGTCATCAACGTCGGTATCATCTGCCTGAGCAATGGCCAGGCGCTCTCGCAGATCGTCACCGGCTCCGGACGCACCATGTGCTTCTCGCTCGCCGTGTCCGTCACCATGTTCCTCGGCATGATCACCGGACAGATCCGCACGCTGCGCAACGTCGGACACTTTGCCACGGCGTCGGTCGGCCTCAACATCGTCATCTGCCTCATGTGCATGATCGGCGCCGCCAAGTACGGGCCCAACATCGCCGCGGCGCAGGCGGCGTTCGGCGAGGACTACCCCTGGAGCAACGGCACGCCGGTGATCATTGAGGCATTCGTCAGCACTCCGCTGCAGGCGACGCTCGTCGGCCTGGGCAACGCCGTATTTGCGTTCGGCGGCGCCTCGATCTTCCTCGAAATCCTCTCCGAGATGAAGAACCCGCGCGATTTTTGGAAGAGCGCCCTCATCGGACAGTCCCTCATCCTCGTCGTGTACCTGGTGATGGCGACGACGGTGTATAGGTGAGTCTGGCCAAATCACCTTGGCGCATCATTGCTAATGTCGCGCCGTCAGCAAACAGGGGCAATTCTCGATGCCGGCCGCCTATCTCGGCCTCAACTCGTACGGACTGCAGACTGCTGCCAACGCGATGTCAATTGTGACGCTGTCGATCGCCGCGCTGCTCTACGGCAACATTGGCCTCAAGGTGCTCTACAAGCTCGTCGTCGAGGGCGCGCTGAAGGGCCCGACGCTCAGCACGCGCCGCGGACGCATGCTCTGGTCGCCGCTCATCATCGTGTACTGGGGCCTGGCCTTCGTGGTGCGTCGTTCGCCGTTGGTCTGGCTGGCGAAGCTTTGCTGACGCGTCGCCCTCTCCAGATCGGCTCCAGCATCCCGCAGCTCGGAGGCCTGACCGCCGTGCTCGGCTTCGTCTGCATCGGCGCCTTCTCGTTTGCCTTCCCCTTCCGTGAGTCGCTCTGGCTGGTCAGCGCTCGGGCGATGACTGACGCACTCACCCCGGCCTGCAGAGTTCACCCTGACGTACTTCCTCAAGCGCGACGCGCAGCTGCCCGAGGAGGCCTTCGAGCCCGGCCGCGAGAGCGTCACCGTCGACTCGTGGGTCAGTGCCTCGCGCTGGCGCCGCGCCATCACGACGGGCGACGTGGACCTGACGCTCGGCCTGCGCGCCAAGCCGTTCCTCGTGCACGGCACGTGGGTCAAGGTGCTGCTGCTCGTCTGCTGTCTCGCCAGCTACGCCCTCGCCGGCCTCGGCCTCTACGGCACCGTGCTGGCCCTCGCCGATGCCTTCAGCGGCGGAGGCGCGGCAACCAGCTTCGGCTGCGCGGCGCCCTCGTAGGCGCGGGTTTTACGCCGGCTCCCGTTCCTTCTTGGCGAGGCGCGGCACCTCTTCCTCCTCTCCTCCCTCTTTCCTCCTCCGTCTCTGGCGTCACTGTGTTCCGATACCTCGCTCCTGGCTTCACTTTATGCGTTTACTCCTGATGAGCTTGTTTGATCTATGTTTCATTCCTCACTGCTCGGTGGGTGTCAGCCGGCTGGACTTGCCGCGCAGTCCTCATGGCTGCGTGTGCCGTCTGACTCACGTAGCAGCTGCTCCCGGCCCCCGCCCCTTGGCCGTCTCAAACGAGACCGTCGCCTGACTCTCGTTGCGCAGCATCTCGACCTCGCCCTTGCGGCGCACATGCAGCGTCTCCGACGGCGGCTCGTCGCACAGAAAGGCGGCAATGTGCGCCAGCAGCTCGGCGCGGCTGGCGGCCGTGCTGCCGCCGCGCACGCCCTTGCCCGTCTTGCTGATGATCTTGACGTCGACGCGAGCGCCGATGCCCTTGCGGTGCAGGTGCTGGCGCGCCTGCTGCAGGCGGTGCTGCACGTCGTGCGGCGTGGCGCTCCAGGTGAGCACGAGCTCCTTGATGGCGCCGGCGCCCTTGGCTGTGGGCGCAGCATCACCAGCGGCCCCGCCGGCGGCGGCCAGCTTCTTCTCTGCGCGGCGGGCCTTCTCCTTGTCGAACTCGGCCTTCTTGTCGACGAGGCGGCAGATGGGCAGCGTCTCGTCGTCGCCGGCGCTGACCTGCTGCAGCCAGTAGCGCGTGGGGTCGATGGAGCGCAGGATCGACGCCGGCGACTGCGGCTGCTCGTGCAGCGAGCCCGTGTCGGGGTCGACGAGGCGCACAAGGCGCGCCCGGATGGCGTGGTCGCGGATCGGCGGCGCGGCCAGGCGCACTGCTGAAGCGTGCAGCGGCCGCACGGCCAGCGGCTGGCGCGAGCTCGAGGCGAGGAGCGAGCGGCGGCCGAGCGCGGCGCTGAGCCGCAGCGGGGCGAGTGCGGCCATGGTGTGGTGATGGGAAGAAGGAGCAGCGCGGCACGAAGGAGAGCAGCGCGCACGCGACTCGATCGCCTCGACTCACCTCGCCGCTGCTCCACACGCCGCGCGCCTCGCTTCCGACCACCACCTCCGCCGCGCTCAACGCACACCCAGGCCAGCGCACGCTCGCCTCTGCGCCCGCGGCCAGCATGTCCGTCGCGCCCGAGGAGGCCGCCGTGCCCGTCGCGGATGCGCCGCAGTACCGCTACCTGCAGGAGATCTCGCAGATGGTGCGTCGCGCCGCTGCCGGTGCGGCGAGGGCTGCCTGACGCGCGGCGTGCAGATCTTTGTGTTTGCAGGCATCACCGATCCGCACACAGACGTCGTCAAGCTCGGTGCGTCACACGTGCTTCTGCAACGCCGCATGGGCTGACGCAGCCCCGCAGTGGAGGACATTGTGCGCTGCCAGGTGCTCGAGCTCGTGCGTCACAGGTGTGCGGCTCGCATGTGCTCTCAACTCACGCCTCTCGTCGCCAGATCATCCAGTCGCGCCGCCTCTCGCAGCGCCGCGCCTCGCGCACCGTCGCGCCCGAGGACCTCATCTTCCTCATCCGCACCGACCGCGCAAAGGTGAACCGCCTCAAGACGTACCTCAGCTGGAAGGACGTGCGCAAGAACGCAAAGGACAGCGAGGGCGGCGAGGCGGGCGAGGAGGATGCGGGTGAGTGGGCACAGGCGCAGTGCATCGTCTCAGCCCGCATGTCTGCATAGAGGGCATGCATGGCTGACGCTGCATGGCAGAGGCGCTGCCCCGTTCGAAAGCCAAGAAGATCCGCCTGCCGTGGGAGCTGAGCACCATGTTCTCCGAGCATCTCACGAGCGGCGCCTCGGCCTCGGCGGCCGCGGGCATCATGGAGCAGGAGGAGGAGGACGACGAGGACGACGTCGAGGCGCTCGAGGACAGCCTGCAGCGCCTGCGCGACGCCGACGAGGCGACGCGGCGCATGACGCGCGAGGAGTACGTGCACTACTCGGAGTGCCGCCAGGCGTCCTTCACCTTCCGCAAGAGTGGGTGTGGAGCGTCTTTGAGCGCCACAGCATGCAGCTGATGCCCTCTTCCTGTCGGCAGGCAAGAAGTTCCGCGACTTCATCAACTTTGCCGCGTACAGCGACGTCAAGCCCAACGACGACATCATCGACATCCTCGGCTTTCTGGCGTTCGAGGTGGTGCGCGAGCTGTGCGTCGGCGCCATGGCCATCAAGGCCGAGCTCGAGGGCTCGTCTGCCGCCGGGCCGTCACGCACTGTCGCACCCGCTGCCTCGTCGTCGTCGCTCGACGGCGAGACGCGCGAAGACGGCGCGGCAGGCAGTAGCAGCACGGGCGGCAAGCGGCGCCTCGACTCGCCCGAGGAGAGCCGTGCGGGCGCAAAGCGGCGGCGCAGCAACTCGCCCGACGAGGCATGCACGCTCTTCACCATGCCGCCCGTCAAGGAGAGCAGCCTGATGCCGGCGCACATCCAGGAGGCGTTTGCGCGTCTGCAGCGCAAGGCGCCTGCGCTCGGCACGGGCTGGGGCGGGCGGCCGGGAGGGCTGCGTCGCACCCGTGTGCGTGTCATCTGAAGCGTCTCGCCTCTGTCTCAGCCGTCTGCGCCCACCTGTATTCTACCATTTCGCAACCGCATCGTCACCGTGCTCACGCTGCGTCGCATGCATCTGTGTATTAGCGTGCCGCCGAGGGCTGCCGCCCGTCTCTGGGTGGGCACGGCTCTCTGCGCGCGGTGTGTAGTGCAGCGACAAGGTCGCGAGTGCTGGGCGTGATAGAAGTACGGGGTCTGGAGGGAGGAGTGGCGGACTGAGGCGGCCAGGATGCATGTCGAGTCCGGCACTGCAAGCAGCGGACAGTCTAGAGGTCGAACAGGTGCGTCTGCACGCAAATAAAGAGGGACTGCGAGGAGGAGAGTGCACACCCAGCGAGAGGCTGCTCTCACTGGCGCGTCTTTGCAAACGGCTGGAAGCCCTGCGGCGGCGTCGGAGAGCCGAAGTCCTCGTGCATCTCGAGCAGCAGGCGCATGGCGTTGCGTGCATGCCCACGCGACGGGTCCTCCCACGGCCGGCTCGACGACTGGCTCGTCTCGGACGACTGCACGGTGTCGAAGGGATACGGCAGCATAGTCTGCGGCAGCGGGGCTTGTCAGTGCGTGCTCATCCGATCCCCTCCTCGCACCCAGCTCACCTTCAGCGTCTCGTACATCACGAGCGTAGCGCCGAATTGCGGACTTGACCGCAGCACGCGCGCCGCCGAGCCCTTGAAGAGCGCCTTGGGGCCCTCGTCGCGCATGATCTTGCGGAAGCAGTCGGCAATGCCGTTGTACGTCGCCTGGCCCTTGCGCGCCTCGACCTGCAGGCGCGTCTTGATGACGTCGGCCGGCGTCGTGAAGAAGGCGGCGGGCATGCCGGCAATGCTCGCCGACGCCAGCAGCTCGCCGAAGCTGAGCTTCTTGCCGCCCTTGCCCTCGTTGAACACGTCGCCCTTGAGGTGCGCGTAGGCGGTAAAGTACACAGCGCTGAAGGGAATGTCGCGCATCAGGCACGCCGAGGCGCCGCGGTACAGGCCGACGAGGCCGAGCGAGCGGACGATGTGCATCGCGCCGCGCGCCACGCGGTCCGCACCCTCGGACTTGGCCAGCTCGCCCGCCACCTGCAGGCGAATCTTGACGATCTCGAGCGGGTTCGTGAAGATCTACAAGCGCGCGCGTCAGCTCTGCCAATGCGCGCGCGGAATGCGGCGCCGACGCACCACCTGGCAACCACCGGCCGCACCGCCCGCAAACAGCTCCCAGGGCAATGTGATGGCGCCCGTGTTGGGGTCCTTGGCGTGCGCGCGGACAAGGTCGTTGACTGTGAGCTTGATGGCCTTTTCTGGCGCCACGCCCTGGATTGGAGCGCGTGAGCTCTCCCGTGCATCGGCCTACGCGCACGCAGCGACGCACCAGCAATTGCGGGCCCAGGCCGGAGTAGAAGCCGCGGAAGCCCTCGTTGCGGAACACCTTGCGCACGCAGTCCATGCTGTTCTTGTACATTTGCGGCTCACCGACAACCGACGACCTGCGCGCAGCGGGTGTGAGTGCCAGAGGGCAACTTCTGCTCCTCTGCGGCACGCGTAACGCGCACGAGCGCGCATCGCTCGTCCCTGCGCGCGCACTGCACCCGGCACATCGCAGCGCGCCGATTGCGCGCAACTGCTCGCCTCCAGCCGCACTCACCGCTGGTTCTGCATGCGCGTCTTGACGAGGTCGATGGGGTACACGAGCGTGGCGCCCGTGGCGCCGGCAATGCCGCCGAGGCCGAAGTTGTATGCCGAGTGTGCCGCCTCGGCCAGCACGCTGACGGCGACCTTCTCCGCCTCCTCTACCGTGCTCTCCGCCTTCTCCTGCGACTGCTTCGCCTTCGGCGGGCCACGCACGCGCGGCGGCGGCAGCGGGTGCGGGTCCAGGTCGTCGGAGATCATCAGCTCGTGGCAAATGAGCGTCTCTTCTGGCGACGAGCCGGCCACCGTCGAGGCCTTGTACGAGAGCATGCCTGGCGACGACGCTGCCACCTCGCGCTGGAAGGCATCGAGGTGCTTTTGAAACGCCGGCGTGGCGCGTGTCGGCGCATACACCTGGGAGAAGAGATGAGCTTTCGTTTCGAGGTGTGCAGACCTCGTAGGTGTGGCGCCTGCCAGCAGCAGCAGCAGCAGCAGCAGCAGCAGCAGCAGCGGCAGCAGCTGCGGCCAGATCTTCGCGCGCATGCAACGCGCGAAGATCGCCGGCCGCCTGCACTTTCGAGCCACAGGCCAGGCGTGGACCTTCACAAGGCACGCCAGCGCCTGGCGGACTACCAGAGCTGTGCTAGCTCATGCTCCGCAGCTCGGCTCTGCAAGGATCGCTCGAGCTGGGCGAGCCCGATGCATCGGGCGCAGGGAGCCGCCCGTCCGGCAATCTCGCGCAGAGGAGCTCAGCCCTCTGAGGCACCAGCTACTGCACAGCTCAGAGCTCATCGCAGCTCGCAAACGCCCAGCACAGCTTGTCGCCCAGCGCGGCGCATCCCAATCCTCCTGCTGCTGTGCTCTCGCACACCTCGCATCTCGCGGCACACGCACCTTTGCCGTCAGCGTGAAGCGGCCCTCGCCGGGCAGATGCGGCACGACGACCTGGTGCGCATGCTGGTAGCGCTCCACGTCGTCCTCCTCTGCGTCGGATGCCGGCGACTGCGGCGCCGGCGCGTCGCAGTGCAGCGGCTGGAAGAAGCCGGAGAGGAAGCGCGACATGGCGGGCAGGCGGCGGCCTGAGACGGGCACGGATCTCCGAACGAGGATGGACGAGAAGAGGCGGACGCGAGAGGCGGTGCCGCACAGAGAAGGCGCCGGGCCGGGTGCGTTGAGGAGGTGAGGGTCAGAGAGAAGTGGAGTGCTGCTGCGATCGTGCTGGGCGAGTCAGACGCCGGCTCGAGCTCGGCAGCGCTCGAGGCGCGCGGCGGTGTTGCTGCCGCTGCTCCAGCGCCCGCAGGCCGCAGCCGCGAGAGGCGCGCGCCGCACATCCCCGGCCGGCCGCCGTGCTCGGCGCGCATGCGGCGACGCCCGCCGCCCTCGCCCTCGGCGCAGCGGGCGAGATTTGCGTGCCGCTGTCACTCCCGCCCCGGCGCGCAACATGGTCACAGCGAGCGCCTTCAGAGCACGCTGAGGGTACTCAGAGGATCACCTTCGATCCTTCTGCTCAGGCGGGCCCGCCCACCGCTGCTTGCAAGCTCCACGCTGGCGGCGAGACGATCTTCTCGCTGATCGCTGGCCCGCCTGGGCTGAAACGTCCGACCGGCGCGAGGCGCTGCCGTGCCGCGGCGTCTCTCTCGTGCTGGCGCGTGGAAGGTGCGGCGCGTTGATGCTGACATAAGCAGCGCTCCCAGCCGCCGGCCTCTGGGCGCATCTCGCACGCCGCGCTCGCAGCGCTGCGTCTGCTGGCTCCGAGCTCCTCCCCCGCCTCGCCTGGCCCGTCCGCACCGAGCAGGCAACGCCGAGTGCCGTGCCTCATACCCCGCCAGCCTTGCGGCTGCGCACAGCCTAGCATGGCGCCACCATCCTCCAGCTCGTCGTCGCAACAGCACGATGAGGCGCCATCCGCCGCGCCGCCGCCGCGCCGCAAGATCACGCTGCACATCGGCGCCGCTCGTCTCGCAGCCGCCCGCGCTGCTGCCGCATCAGGGACAGGCACGCCGCAGGCCTCGCCGCGCACCGAAGTAGCTGCACCCTCGCTGGCTGGCACAGGGGCTGCGTCGAGCTCGGGCAAGGGCAAGGCGCGCAGCAGCGGCGATGGCAGTGCGCCGTCGACGCCGCGCGCCGCCGCCGCGCCGGCACAGGCGCCATCAGCCAAGCGCCGCACCCTCTCCAGCGCTGCGCCGCCTGCTGCCGATGCCATGCTGCCACCAAGCAGCAGCTCGGCCCTCACGTCGCCGCCACAGTCGTCGCTGGCCGGGTCGTCGAGCAGCAGCATGCCGGCGCCGGCCGTGCCGCGGCGGCGCTCGCGCAGCGGCTCGGCCTCGTCGGCCTCGTCCAGCAGCAGCAGCTCCTCGTCTCGCGGCTCGGCGCCGCCGCCGCCGTCGGCGCCAGGTGCAGCTCCACCGGCCAAGCGCGTTCGCCCACCGCGCGTGCTGAAGCGCAAGCCGCTGCGCGTGGCGCTCGAGCGCGTGCTCACCCAGCTGCAGCGCCGCGACACGTACGGCTTCTTCCTCGAGCCCGTCAATCCAGACGAGGTGCCGGGCTACACGGACGTCATCAAGGAGCCCATGGACTTTGCGAAGATGGAGAAACGGCTGCACAGCGGCGCATACAGGCGGCAGGACGAGTTCCAGGTGCGTGCTCTGCGCTTGGCTGTCCGGCGCACCGGTCTGCGCTGCTGATGCGCACCCTGCCACACAGCGCGATCTCCTGCTCGTCACCGGCAACGCACAGACGTTCAACCAGCCGGGCAGCATCTACTCCAACGAGGCAGCACGCCTCGAGCGCTGGGGCGTACGCGCCATCGCACGCGAGAGCGGCGCGGCGATTCTGCCAGAAGAGGAAGAGGCAGCGGCAGCGGCCGCCCTCGCCAGTGCCGGCGGGCCCTCGCGCATGAGCGCGGCGCGGGCGCGGGCGCGCACCTCCGCAACACCGCGCCTTCCCGGCACGCCCGGCGTCAAGCAGGAGGAAGGCGAGGATGAGGGAGACGGCGACGAAGGCGACGGCATGGATTGGGAGGGCTCAGACGGCGACAGCTCGACGGCCGACCGCCGCGACCGCAGCGTCACGGCGACCGATCGCTTCCGCATGCCCAGCAACGTCTCGCGCATCGCCAGCCCCGAGACACTGCGCCGGCGCATGCAGCTGGGCGCCGCACGCGGCAAGAAGTCGAAGAACAAGGGCGCACCGCCGGGCTTCTTCAGCAGCTCGGGCCCAGGCACGCCAGGCGTCGCTCCCGCGCCGCCGCCGCTCGCTGCCGTCACGACGACGAGCAACTTTGCGTTTGAGAATGACGGCTCCATCGACCTGGACTCCTTCACGGCCGAGGAGAAGCGCAGCCTGCTGCAGCCGCTCGGCCTCGACAGCGTCGGCGTGGCGACGACCAGCCTGCTGCTGCCGCGCGTCGAGGGCATCGTGCCTCTACACCCTACGCTGCAGCCGCGCGCCGGCGAGATCGCTCGCCAGCGCGCCGACATTCTGCATCCGCTGCAGGTGGCCATCTCGACTGAGCCGCAGCAGCCCACTGCGTCTTACTCGCACGACGTGGCAGGCGTTCCTGACGACCAGAAGGCCAGTCCATTCACCGTGCCGACGGGCTGGGGCTACGGCCCCGTCGGCGCAGACCCGCACGCGCCGCCCAAGGTGCCGCTTGCGTGGCCGCGGCCGCACGACCCGTCGATGGACGCGTACGCAGACAAGGAGACGGGGCGCTTCAAGATTGGCCGCGAACGGGCGCGCGAGCGCGAGGCGCTCGGCATCACGAACCTCGACGACTGGACGTATCCGCGCGCCTTTCTCTCGCGTCTGCTGCATCCGCTCGACCTCGGTCTCTTCCCCGGCCTCATCCCGAGCACGTGGCAGGCCCACATTCGCTCATCTGCCGGCGGCGCGGCTGGCACGCGGCTGCCGCCCTTCGAGCTGACCGAGGGCGCTACGATTGAGAACGCTCTGCGCGAAGATGTGGCCTCGAGCGCCGCGCGCGCTCTCTTCGGCTCGACGGCCCAAGCGATGAACGCCTCTGCGCGTTGCCCGCCGGGCATCGACAGCAACCCCGACGTGGTCGGCGCCATCGTGATGGGCTCCGCGACTGGGCAATTCGTGCGCACGCGCGAGCAAGTGCTCGTCGCCGGCCTGCACGCCGCCGACAAGGTGCGAGAGCGCGTCTGGGGCGGGCCCAACGGCGAGGCGTACATGCGCAGTCTCGACGAGTTCGTCAACGGCGCCGCTCTTCTGGCGCAAGAGCGCAACGGCGAGCGCGACGCCGAGGACGCAGAGGAGGACCTGCTCGAGGAGCTGGAGCGCGCCGAAGAGGACCGTCTGCGCGCGCAGGAGGAGGCGGCCGAGGAGCGGCGGCGCGAGCGCGAGCAGGAGTACAGCGAGGGCGGCATCGCGCAGCTCCTGGAGCAGACGCAAGCCGGAGGCATGACCGAGTCTCCGGCGCGGGCCGAGACACAGCCGCCAGGAATGGACGAGGACGCGCAGGAGGAGATGCACGAGTCGGCCGAGCCGCCTGCCATCAGCTACGGCAGCGGTCTGCAAGACGCCACGATGCGAGGCACGGTGCTGGATCGGCCACTGGTCGACTGGGTGCGCGATGAGGTGGCCGATCCGATTACGGGCGGCCTGCTTCAGGTTCTTGTGCGGGCCGGCGAGCTGGTGCAGGACGCGATGCAACGTGCACGCGAGCGCACAGCGTCGAAACATGACGAGGCGCCACGCAAGAAGGCCAAGCTGGAAGCTGGCGCGCCGGCGCCAAAGGACGCCGAGCACCTGCTTGCCCTCGTCGAGGATCTCGAGGCCGGCCGCGGCGTCAAGAGTGAGGATGGCTGTAGCAGCGAGGATGCGCAGCTGCTGCGCGAGCTAGTCGATGTTCTGCCGCCGGCCACCAAGCTGCCTGCGGCATCTCAAGCGGACGCAATCCGCAAGGGCCACATCCTTTCGCTGCTCGACCAGCAGGCCGCGCATGCCCGCTCGCTGGGGCAGGAGCTCAAGCATGCCAGCTCGCGCGCCATCGAGGTCAACTCGCTGCTGCGCAATCCGCAGCTCGACTTTGCCCAGCAGGCCTCGCAGAACGAGGACTCGACGCTGCAAGGCACCGCCTCTTCGGCACCTGCACGTCCGCTGCGCGTGCCCGACGCAGCGCTGGATTCTGCGCAAGTCACGCGCCTGCTGGCGCAGTACGCACGCCTGCTGCCCGGCCTCAGCGAGCGCGCCAGCGGGCGGCGCGAGCGCAGCACGGCGCCGCTGTATGTGCAGTCGAAAGAGGCCGAGGCCGACAAGCGCGAGCAGGAGCGCGACGCCATGCTCTGGGACGAGCTGCGCCTCGCGTACGTGGCGCTGGCGCGCAATGCGCCGCCCGGTGAGGTGTGGCGCCCACAGGCGCAGCCGGTGATGCCGCCAAGGGTGCCTTGAGCTGCTGCTTCCTCCCGAACTCTCCGCATCTAATGTCACACCTGTCACTTGCTCGCATTGCGTGATGACCGGCGCAAGCCGCTGGACGTGGCTGTCTCGTTTGCGGCAGGCTTGCCAGGCGCCTTTGATCTCGGCGCAGCGGGCTCCCGCTTGACGATGGCAGGCTTCTGCTCGCTCTCGGCGGCCTTGCGCCGCTTTGGCGCCGGGGCGCTCTCGCCCTCGTCCTCCTCCGCCTTGACGCTCTTGGTGGCCTTGCCCTTGCCCTTGCCGGCGTTCCACTTGCCCACCCACTGCGTCCAGCCGCCGCGCGTGCCCAGCAGCTCGACGGCGTCGTAGGCCGTCTGCTCCACGGGTTGCTGAGCACAGCCCGTCAGCATCGCTGAGCGCGCAGCTCCACTGACATCCAACTCACCACACTCAGCCGGCCGCGCGTCAGCAGCTGCATCGTCTTGAGGGCCTCGAGGTGGGCGTCGGAGAGGTAGTCTATGTCGTTACGCCGGGCGTCTTTCGCCGGAAGCGCGGCGATGTCTTGCAGCAGAGCAAGCGGCACAAAGTGCGGCAGCTCCGAGACGAACTGCACATCGACCTGCGGAGAAGCGGTGAGCAGCGACGAGACTATCACTGAGGCGGTGGAATGCACCATGAACCAGCGCGGAGCGTCGGCCGAGGACTTGGCGTCGTAGTAGGGATGCTTCTGCAGCCGGACAAGCATGGTGAGCAGGGACGTGCGCATACGCTGGCATGATGCCTCACCGGATCCCAGGCCGAGTGGTCTGGATAGCCCTCCTTGACGATCTGGCGCAGCGCATGAGCAAAGCGAACGGAGTGCTGAGGACGCGTGAACGGACCTTGGCAAGCGCAGAGACGCTGCAGGGCCGACGAATGAGCCAGTGCGGACACGGACGGGCGCCACGGCATGCCTCACCCGGGCACCTTTGTGTTGGAGGCGTAGAAGAGCACGCGGTCGCCGAGCTTCATGCGCTCACGCATGTGCTTGCCCGCCTCTGTGGCGCACCGTCAGCAGGAGATTCCAGTGGCGGCGTCTGCACGCTGGCTGACCGGCATTGCGCACGCCCTCCCAGCTCGTCGTCTGGTCCTTCGACGCGCGAAAGTCGTCGAGGCCGAACTTGACGTCGACGCCGGTGCGCGGGTCGATGCGCGAGTCGGGCTCGGCCTTCATCAGCCAGCACGGCGGCATGCTAGCGGCGAGGCGGCTGGCCGTGCGCAGGCAGGTCCTCGGCGAGGACACGACGCCTCGCAGCAGCGGCGCTCGCAAGAGTGTGAAGGAAGCACTCGTCGTACTGCAGACAGCTGGGTGCTGCCGAGTGCCGCTGCTTGGATGTCTTGAGTGGATGTGGTTGATGGAAAGCACGAGGCCAAGGCAAGCCGGAGCCCCGAGGCGCGGCTTCCCCACGCGGCGCAACCTGCTGCGGGCGGGCCGCGGCAAGGGCATGCTCGAGCGCGCCTCTGGCCGCCTGCAGCTTGCTTCCCGCTCTCACCCACCTCGCCTCACACGCACGCAGCATGGCGCTCGACCCGGCCGCGCCGCTGGTGCAGCTCGTGCTGCTGCGCCCCGTCGCTGCCGCCGCTGCCGACGACGCCGGCGCCGCCGTGCCCGAGCTGGCGCCGCTGTGCGCGCGCCTGCGCTCGCTGCACCCCGGCGCGCGCCTGCGCATCGCCCACGTCGCATACACCGACGGCCTCCTGGCCCTCGGCTCCACGGGCGCATGGCGCGACGAGGCGGCCGCGGCGCTCAAGTATGACGAGCCGCTGGAGGACATGTGCATGCACCTCGACGGCGCACAGGGCAGTGCCGTGGCCAAGGCGCACGTGCTCACCGGCCTCGGCGCTGCGATCGAGGTGAGTGCGCAGAGCGAGGCGAAGCCAGAGCTCTCGGACACATCGGAGTGGGCGTAGCGGGCGTCAGCGAAGCGCAAGGCGGACCGAGAGCCTTCGGACCCACCGGAGTGTGTCGAAAGAATCTTGAGCTCACCCATACGGCTGCCAGAAACTCGCCCCCGCGCCCGAGGCCTACTCGCCGCTGCTGCCGGCGCCGCCGAGCGTCGTGGCGCGCCTGATCCTGCATCTCGCCGCGCCGCTCGCGCTCTCCTTTGAGCCCGTGCCGCGCGCCGGCTTCTCGTCGTCGCACCCGTGGGACATCGCCTCCGTCGCCGCGGCGCTCAAGGAGCACGGCATCCACTTCTCCACGCTGCTCCGCCCCGCCGCGGGCGACGGCAGCTTCGACGATGCGCGCAAGCTGCACACGTCCGTCTCGACCGCCGAGGACATGCCTGCGGCAGATGTCTCGGCGCTGCTCTCTTCATCAGCTAGCGGGACTGCGCTGCTGCGCGGTTTTGCGCCCTCTCGAAGCGGGGTGCCGCCAGCTGCCGCACCCGCGCCAGCTGCGCCCGCGCCGCAGCCCGGTGCAGCACCCAACAAGATCACACTGCCGCCGTCCATCGTGCAGGATCCGCAGGCACGCATTGCGCTGCAGAAGCTCATGTTCGTGCAGACGCACTTCCAGGGCATCGCCAAGAATGCCAATGCGGCGCTCGAGGCGATGAGCGCCGCGGGCAATCCAGATCCGGCGCGGCGCAAGGGGCTGGAGAAGATCAAGTCGGACGGTGAGTTGGTCTGGGACTGCCGGCAGCCCGTAGCGGTGACTCACGCGCCGCTGTCCAGTGCGCACCGCTCTTGAGCAGGTGCATGCGCAGGCCAAGATTGTCACCACCGGCGCGCCCATTCCCGACAGCAACATGTTCTTCGGCCTGCTCTCCGTGCTGCACCGCGACGCCGAGCTCTGCAGCATCGCGTCGGGCGTGTCGGAGGCGGTGCTCAAGATTGCGCGCCAGGCGGCAGAGTCGGCGAAGCTGCAGATGCAGCAAGCTGCCGCCAACGCTGGAGCGAAGCCGGCTGCTGGCTCGGCGCCAGGAGCTGTGCCTGGTGCGCCGCAAGCTGCGACTGCTCCACAGCAGGCTCCAGGCGCGAGCGGTCCCCCCTCTGTGTGGTCGGGCAGCATCTGCTGGACCATCACCGACGCGACTGGGACGAAGCGCGAAGTCTCGACGGTGAGTGCGATGCGGGCTGCGGTGCTCGACTGCGTCTGAAGCTCCGCATCTAGATGGTCTCGGCCAATGTCAGCGCCAAAACGCCCAAGGATTCGCTGTGAGTCGCCTGACTATCTCTCTGCGGGCGTCCACTGATCCTCGAGCGCTTCTCAGCGTGCTGCCCTGGCCTGCGCGCCTGACCATTGCGCAAGTGTCCAGTCTCGATCTTGCGTCTCTGCACAGCTACGTGGCGGCGCATCAAGTGCCCGCCATTCTCTTCGCGACGAAGCAGGCCGTGCCCGGCGAGCCGCCGCTGCCGCTGGCGAACGAGCGCATCTACACGACGCTGGCCAACATGCTGCGCGAGCGCAAGTCGTGCGCGTTCATTCCACATGGCGCGCCCGGCGCCGGCATCGTGCTCGTCGCCACGCCCGTCAGCGCACCGGGCACGCCATCGCCGCCTCGGCTGCTGGGCCTGGTCTTCAAGGACCAAGTGCCATTGGCGCAGATGGCGCAGGTCGCCCAGCAGCGGGCGCAAGCCGCACAGCAGGCGCAGGCGGCAGCCGGCGGCCCGCCGATTACCACATCTGTCGCTCCGCCAGCGCCGCCGTCCGCTGCGCCGCTTTCCGTCTCCATACCGCCAGCCACGCAGCCCACCTCCGCACTGGGCAGCGCGCCGGGCAGTGCCGCTCCGCCACAAGCGCTGTTTCAGGCGCAGGCCACACCTCCAGCGCCGACGCAGCCCGTCTCGCTCCAGGCCGCGCAGCAGCTTGCCATGCAGCGGCAGCTGGCCGCGAACCTCATGCGCCAGCGGGCCGCCGGCGCCGGCCCAGCAGGTGCAGCTCCTGCCCTGGCCAGCCCGACGGCGGCCAACAATCCGCTGCAGCAGGCGCAGGCGCTGGCGCAGACGCAGTTCATGCACCAGCAGGCGCAGCAGGCCGCCCAGGCAGTGGCACGCCAGATGCAGGCGCAGCAGATGCGTCCTGGACAGCCACAGGTCCCTCTCGGACAGCCGCCGCCGCAGCAAGCGCCGCAGCCGCCGCAGCAACAGCAGCAGCAGCTCTGGGGCAATCTCGGTGGCTTCGACATGTCGCAGGCCAGCGCGCCGCAGCCGCCCATGCTCAACACTGCGTTCCTCAACGCGTTCAACTTCGACCCCAACGCCGGGCAGCCGCAGATGCAGATGCAGGGCGGCATGGGCCAGCCGAACATGGGCCAGCCGCAGTCCGGCGGACAGGGCTGGAACATCCCGGGCTCGGCCGGCATGTCGAACATGGGCGGCGCGCCAGGTGCATGCGCCATCAGCGCGGCCGATGCTGCTGCTCTAGCTGCTTCCCTGGGCCTCAGCGTTGATGGCCTCAAACAGCCGCCGCAGCCGCAGGGCCAATTTCAGGGCGGCATGGGCGGCATGCCGCAGATGATGCAGCCGGGGCAGCCCGGCGGCATACCCATGGCGCAGCCGCAGGGCTGGGGTGCGCCCAACGCATTCGGCAGCAACCAGAACCTCGGCGATCCGGGCAGTGACTTTGCTCTGCTGCAGCAGATGCTTAACAACGGCGGACAGCCGCGATAGCTCCCCTTGCGGCGATGTCGCTCGCGTGTGCGGTAATACCAGAGTGACATTAGCGAGCCGCGTGCGTGAGAAAGTCGTCATCGGGCCCAGAGGAAGCTTGCGCCGCTGCCGAGCGCCAGGCCGACGGTGAGCCAGAAGGAGATGATCGTCGCAGCAAGACTGGCGAGGAGAGCGTGTCAGTGTATGTCGCGCCTGCAAAGATGACAGCTGCTACTCACGGACGCTCGTCCTCCTTGACGCCGGGCCGCTTGGGGCCGGAGATGAAGATGCTCGTGCTCAGCACGCCGTTGGAGAGGCCGAGGAGCACCATGAGCGCAAAGAAGGTGGCGTCGCCAAAGCGCGCCGCCCGTCCCGCCGTCGCCGCGACAGCGACGGCCGCCACGACTGCGCGACGACCCGGCGTGTCCGCGGCGGCGTGCGAGACGTTGCAGAGCGGCAGGAGGCCGAGGAAGCCCTCGCGCATGCCGCTCCAGAAGATGATGGCGCGGCGCGCCTCGAGGAGGAAGAGGCGCGGCAGCAGCGTGGGCAGCATGCGTCCGACGAGGTCGCCGGCGTTGAAGAGCACATAGTGCAGCGCCACGAAGACGAGCGGGTCGCGCCACCTCGGCTCGTCCTCGGGCGGCGTCGCCGTGGGCCACGGCCGCACGCGGCTGCTGAGCGACGGAAAGACGGCGATCGTGACGATGAAGCACCAGGCAATGCACACGCTCATCGCAATCACCTGCGACTGCACACTGCGGATGCGAGCGGCGCCGTCGCGCATCGAGTGCGGGATGTAGCGTCCGAAGCCCTTGCCTTCCTCCCAGCCCGCCGTGCGCGGGTCGCTGCCGACGCTCAGCGGCGCGCCGGCCGGCGAGACCAGCTCTCGCGCCCGAGCCTGCCGCGCCGAGACGGCACGGTAGAGTGCCGAGCGCGAGAGGAGCACGATGACGACGAGACTGAGCAGCATGAAGACGGCGCTCCAGGTGAAGAAGACGACGGCCGAGTCGCGCGCCTCGAGGCGTGCGTCGGGCACCTTGTGGCCCAGCGCTACGGCGGAGCGGGCCTCAGCCTGGGCCGCCAGCGTTGCGAAGAGCTGGATGAGAGAGACGACTACTCCCTGCGCGCATCTTGTCAGAGAGGTGCCAGCACAGGCGCTGAGCTGCGACACTCACCACCACGCCCTGGCCGGCGAGCATCAGGCCCATCGGCCGCGCGCCGAACGTAGAGCTGAGTGCCACGACGGCACTCTGCAGGTACGCCGTGGCGGCAGCCATGACGGCCGCGACTGCCAGCAGCGCCGGGAATACAGCCTGTCCGTCGGCGCGCGGCGTCTTGGGTGCCGCGTCGCCGGCGTGCACGCTGGGGCCCAGCTGGTGCAGGAAGACGTAGGCGGCCAGCAGGACGAGAGCGGCGAGCACGGTGATGCCGGAGCGCAGCATGCGCCGCAGCGGCGTCGTGCTCTCGAGCGTGGCGGTGGCGTGGGCGCCAAAGATGATCGTGCCGGCGTTATACGTGAGCACGCTGCGGTGGAGACATCAGCGCGAGGCCCAGAGGAGCGGCATGCCCGGCACACGCGACTCACATCCAGCTCATGAAGCTGGCCTCGTACGCCGAGCCGGCGAGCAGGGCGCGGTAGTACTCCGACGGCGTGATGAGCGTGTTGCTGCTCGGCACAGCGTCAGCGATGTGTGCCGCAGCGGCATCGCACTCAGCACCGGCCACTCACAAGGGCAGCAGCACGGCGGCGCCGAGCGTGCCGAACGCCGCATACACGCACAACCGGCCGACGGTGCTGAGCTGGCGCCACTCATCGGTCGCCTCTGCGCCGTGCTGCATGGCGCCCTCGCGCTCTGCCACCGCCGCGCCATGCTCCGCCGCCGCGCTGTGGTCCTCGTCGCCGCCGTCGCCGTCGCGCGGCAGGGCGGCATAGCCGTTGTGCGGCTGGCGCGACCAGACGTTGGGCAGGTGGAAGGTGAAGCCGGCGAAGCGCGACGCCGACGGCCGGCGCTCGTCGTGTGCCATGCTGGCGGGCGGGGCAGCAAGAGTGCCGGGTGTATGTGCGGTGCGGTGGAGCGTGTGGAGCAGAGGCAAGAGGCGCGAGCGCGAGCCGCCGGCTGACAGCTTGGCGCGGGGCGGCGTCGGGCCAGCGCGCACAGCCGCTGCACCCTTGGCCACGCTCGATGACGCGCTCTCTGCGTCTTGCTTCCCACGTCCACACCGCAGCAAGTCGAGCAGCAAGAGAAGCAGGCAGGCATGGAGACGCTGCGCATCAACATCGAGTTCGGGTGAGGCGCACTCGCAAGCACTCGCATTGCAGCAGCGTCCGCTGACCGGCCTCGCCCCCAGCGGCGGCACCGAGCTGCTCACCGCGACGCCCAAGCAGAAGACGCACGCGCTCACCGTGCCCGCCTGGGTCGACGACGCGGCCCTCGACGGCGTGCCCGTCACGGCACCCGCGCGCAGCGACGGCGACGCCACAGCAGCAGCGACAGAGGCCAAGCGGCGGCGCGCAGACATGCGCTTCCTGCTGCAGTACGTCGCGCACAACGTGCTCGTCGAGCGGCCCGAGATGCTCGTCGAGGGCGACGGCGTGTGAGCAGAGCGCAAAGGATGCCACTTGCAGTGGACATGCTGACTGAACCGCTTCTTCTCGCAGCCGCGCAGGCGTGCTGGTGCTCATCAACGACTCGGACTGGGAGCTCGAGGGCGAGGGCGCCTACGTGCTGCAGGACGGCGACAGCGTCGCCTTCATCAGCACGCTGCACGGTGAGCGGCGCTTGTGCCGGCCTAGACCACCAGGCGCTGACGCTGCTCTCAGGCGGGTGAGAATGCTCATGACATATGACACAAGCGCAGCGCGTGCGTAGCGCCGGGCTTCGCTGGACGAGCTTCATACTGTGGCCGGATGCTCTCGTCGGGACGCCGACATGCTGCTTGCAGAGCGAAGCAGCGCCGTCGCTCCGATGAGCGAGTCTCCGCCTAGCGCGCATCAGCGCAGGCAGCGACGGCGAGGTATGGCGTTCATTTCTTGGGTCCAGCGCGGCTCACGATGCGTTGCGCATCAATGCCTGCAGCTGCTCTATATAGGGTGTGCGGGAAGAGTTGGGCAGGGCGATGCCGCCACAGGAGGAGGAGATGGAGCAAAGAGCAGCAAGCTCAGTTGTGGCGCGGCGTGTGCAATACGCCGCATCAGCTATTGCTGCGGCGCCAGGTTGGGGTGGAAGTGCGGATCGAGCAGGCGGCGCGCCTCGACGATGTCCTGCGCCAGGCGCCGCACGTTGGCCACGGCGACGACGACGTCGGGCGCATACTCGACGTCGAACGCCTGCTGGATGCCCGCGGCGATGCGCTTGGCCTGCGCGCGCTCCCAGATTGTAAAGTCGTCGGCGTCCTCGTCCGACTGCCGCCCGGCCGGCAGCTCTGTTGTGCCGGGCGCCGCCTGTGGACGCCCGGTCTGGGAGCGAGGCGCGTGCGTTGCGTCGCCCTCGAGAGCGTTCGTGACGATGCGACCGAGCGCGCGATATGTGTCGTCGAACGAGAGCACGTCTGACGGCTTGTCGACTGCGCAACGGCCTCAGCTTTGTGCACCTCTGGCGGCACCCGCATCAGCGACTCACCGTACAGCTCGAGCTGCGCACTGCGCGCCAGCACGTTGTGCTTTGCATCGTGGTGGTAGCGGAACTCGTAGATGCCGGTCTGCCAGGGCAGGCGTGCGCCCTCGAAGAGCGCCGCGCCGTTCGCGCTGCTCGGCGACGGCAGCGGCTTGGAGCCGTCGTCGCCGGCAGCGGCGGGCGTGGCGGGCAGGGCGCCCGTGTGCACGTCGCCGTCCCACTCGTCGGCCATGACGCCGATCCACTTGCCGTGCGACGAGATCTTCGTCACGAGGCGGTGCTCGTCGTCGGCACCGCGTGGGCCGCCGAGCCGGCTCACGAGGTACACGCCGATCCAGTCGCGGCGCGAGTGCGACGACGGCGCGCGCCACTTGACGTTGATGGCCTCGCCGAGGTGGAAGCGCATGTTGCCGCTCGCCGACGGCTGCACCTCGAGACGGTACTGGGACCGCTCGATCGTCGAGATGTCGTTGCCGACGCGGCTACGTACGGCGAGGTCAGCACAGATTCAGCAGGTGCTCGCGGTCTGACTTACACGATGAGCAGGCGGTCCTTGCTCTGCTGCAGCAGCGTGCGCGTATCTTGCAGCATGCCGTCGAACTTCGAGCCAAAGTCTTCGAGGCGCGTGCCCGCCTCGCGCTGGACGCGCTCGAGCTCGGCGCGCATCTCCTTGACGCGCGGGTGGTCCTGGGCAGCCTTGAAGAGGCCGGCGTTGCGCGTCGCCACGCCCTTGAGCTGCTTCGTGACGCCGCCCTCGCGCGACACGGCGGCCTGGCCGTAGAGCTTGCGCATGTGCGGGTTCTCGACGGCCGAGAGGAAGGCCCAGTGCGCCGCATGGCTGATGATGGCCATGCTCAGCGGCAGCTTGGAGCCGGAGATCAGGCTCAGGCCGAAGAACGCCGCCTGCCCCACGCTGCGCTCGGGCGAGTTGAGGAAGCGGAAGATGCCGACGGAGTGCAGCTGGTGCGGGAACTCGTCGATGAAGAAGTCGCCGTAGAGCCAGCCGAACGGGCCGAGCACGTTGTACGAGTCGTTGGCGGCCCACATGTGCACGGCGATGAGCAGCAGGCCGACGACGTGGCGCAGCAGGTCCGTGCCGACGGTCCACTCGCGGCCCAGCGGCACGTAGCACTTCCAGCACAGCACACAGTACGACGTGTACGTCATGACGAGCGAGGTGTTGTAGATGACCTGGTGGCGGATAATCAGCGCCGCGATCGGCATTCCCTCTCGCCTCGACTCACCTTCCACGAGTCGAAAGCCTCGTACACCGCATCGCTGCTCTGGGCGTACGAGTAGTTCTTGAGGAAGTGGCGCACCATCCACTTGCTGTTGCTCTGCGCGTTGAGGATGGCGCCCAGGCCGCCCGAGTGGAAGGCGCGCCATGCAAGTGCGTTGAAGTAGGCGAGTGCAATGGCCCAGTTGCTGCCCATGTTGCTCGGCAGCAGCAGCGGGAAGAGCGCGTAGAAGGCGCCGACGAGCAGGAGGAAGTCGGTGCTGCGCAGCGGGTCGAGGTTCTTGAACACGACGACATCGCGGCGGAAGATGCGGTGGTGCAGGTCGTGCAGGTTCGTGGCCCGCGTGCGGCTCTCGCGCTCGGCCTGCATGCGCATCCGGATTGCCTCGTCCGAGCTGGCCGCAGGCGTCGGGCGCGGTGCGGCGCGGATCTCCTCGTCGTCTTCGGAGTCGGATGTCGGGGCTGAGGTGCCGTGCGTCGCTGACGGGGTCGGTGCCTCCGAGACGGCGCCGGAGCTCAGTGCGGGATGCGGCGAGGGCACCTCCGAGTCGGCACGCGGCCGTCTTGCCTCGCCCTGGCCCTTGGCAGCGTCCGCCGATGCGGCATTGTACGGAGCAGCGTGCAGCGGCACACGCGCAGCAAGTGGCTGAGTACGGCGAGTCAGCTGCTGAAACGGTGAGATGGCAAGGCGCACGCACCTTCTTCTCGCCATAGACGCGCTCGATGTGCGGGTTCTCGAACCATAGCAGGAAGGCGAACTGGCTGGCGTGTGCCGCGAGCGAGAGGAAGAGCACGGCGTACGAGCCCGACACGAGCGAGAGGCCGTAGTAGCCGGCGTAGCCGATCGAGTACATCACATGCGGCGCCTGCAGCGACGGGTGAGTAGGGTATCGTCGAAGCGTTCGCAGAGCAGACTCACCAGCTCATACACGCCGTCAAAGACGAGCGACTGGAGGCAAAGGAAGAAGCAGTCGCCCCAGTACCTGCACTCTCGCGTCAGCCTCGCCGGACTGAGCTCTAGCGACGGGTGCTCACCAGGCGTAGTCCTTGACGACACGATGAGCGTCCATCTTGACCCAGAGGTTGAAGAAGATGAGCGCCCAGCCAGCGGCCCAGCGCAAGACGTGCATCATGACGCTGTGCCCCTCGGGCAGGCGCGTGCAGGAGAAGGCGAAGAGCGAGTAGGCCACGAACTGCGCCGAGCGTCAGACGAGGCTGCATGCAGGCCAATCGCGGCTGCTCACATCATTGAGCAGGATCACATCCACCATCGAGCGGAAGAGCAGCCAGATGTTGTACTCGACGGGCAGTTTCTGCAGCGCGTCAGAATAGCAGGACAGAGTATGGCCCAGCGATGCGGCTCACCTCGAACTCATAGCCGGCGCCCATCTTTGTCTCGAGGTGCTTGCGGATGGCGCCGTACACCTTGGGCGCACGCTTGCTGTCCATCCAGCCCTCGCGCTTCACGACGCGGATGATCCAGCGGCGCTCGGACTGCTGCTTGAGCACCCAGCCGAGGCCGGCATTGTACGCCGCGCGCCAGAAGGCAAAGTAGAGCGCAAAGAAGACCTGAGCGCCGCGCCGCGGCAGCATGAAGAAGAGCACGATCTGCAGCGAGAGCGTCGCGATCGTCAGGATGTCGAGCGGCGTCTTGGGCGCCCAGGGCGAAAAGATCGAGGTGAGCATGTCCGGCGTCGTGGGCACCGGGAAGACTGCGAAGCGGACGTCAGAGAGGCTCTGCAGCACTTCTGCTAGCTAGGCGCAAGGGAAACTTGAGAGTACATCCTCAAACGCCTTAGCGAGCCACAGTGTCTCCAGCATGCCTCGTCCAGGCTGCACTCACCCGTGCCATCCGGCGTGCGGCCCAGCACATGCGGCTCCTTCTCCTCTGCGGCATCCTGCTTCCTCTGCGGGCTGACAGGACGCTCCTGCCGCGCTGCGCCGTTGGCAGCAGCAGCGGCGCCGGTGCGCTGCCGCAGTCCGGCCGTGCCGCTGGCCGACGTGGCCATGGCGCCGAGGCGGGAAGACAGGCGGAAGCGGATGCGAGAGAGCTCGCGGCCGGGAGTCACGCCGCTGCACAGAACTAGATGAGGTGGAGGTGAGGAGAGGTGTCGTCGATGCGCTAGACTAGTGGGTGAGATGCGGCAGAGGTGGTGGAGAGGTGAAAGGAGAGAAGCGAACAGAGCCGGAGCGTCGCGAGTCGTGCCGGCACGGCAGCGGAACACGACAGCCGCACGCACCGAAGCGAGGGCACGAGCTTCTTCGCCTCGCACGCCGCCGGCCTCCTCCGCCTCGCCGACGGAGCAGACGCCCATCCCGTGCGGATTGCCCTCGTTCAGAGTACTAGGCATCCAATCACTTGCTAGCCACATCGTCCAGCAGCCAGGTACAAGGGACGCCAGCCGCCAGGGCAGCAGACATCGGAGCGAAGTGCGCAAGTGTGCAAGGCGGAGCTCGCTGTCCGGCATCCGGACCGCGCCGCAGCAGCTCTATCAACTTTGCGAGCCAGCGGCGCCGCCTCACACCGAACGAGCTCTGATGTCTCTTTTGCACCCGACCCAACAAGCCTCGCCGCCGAGCAAGCGCGGCGTCGCTGCCGCACAAAAGAGCGCCTCGGCAAGCGAGAGCGGCGCGCGGCGCGGCGGCTGCTCTCTCACACCGCAACGCACCGCCGATCCGCACGCTCGTTTCTGGGGAAATAGCCCGCGGCACGCGCCCGGAGTCGCACGCGCAGCTGTCAACGCGGCGCTCGGACCGCACGCCAGCCAGTATATCCGGAGAGCGCCTGGGAACGCTTGCTGAGGGCCTAGGGCTGCCGCCAGAGGCCGCAAGTGACCGCAGGAGGGGCTGGATGAGGGAGGACACAAGCTGAGTGAGGGGGAAGGGGAGGGAGGAGGCAGACAGTGGCTTGGAGCGTCTCGACTGCACGTGATGCCTGCGATGGCGGTCGGCTGTCTTCGGCGGCCCGGCCCGACGCAAGGTGCACGTGCCGCGCTGGCCATGCCTGAGTCCGAGAGCTGCCTCCACTCCTCCGCCCTCTCGCTGCCATCTTCTCACTTCGACCTCAGTTGCGCCCCTCGCTTCGCACTCGGGGCACGCGCCCAGCATGACGACATATCCCGCCTTTCTCCACCCCGATGCAGGCGCACATCTCTCCGTGCGGCGTGCGTGAGCCTCTCGCCTCGCCGCCTGGGCCTCACTGACGCTTCTGCGCCGCACAGTCAACTTTGCGCCGCCCGCCGCACCGCAGCCCAGCGCTGGCGGCGTGCTGCACGTGCCCGTGCCGAGCGCCAGTGCGCCGTGGGTGCTGGAGCGTCCTGCGGCCTCCTCGGCCGAGGGCGCAGCGCAGCAGGGCGCAGCTTGGCGCGGCGAGCGTGCGCCGGCAAAGGAGACGGACTGGGTCGCGACGTGGGATGAGGAGCGGCAGGTGAGTGCAGAAGCGTGCTGGACAAGGCAACGAGCAGTGCCCTCTGGTCACAGGGTCGCGATACCTGGTCATTGGCAGCTGCATCGCTCTGCTCGCCCTCGGGCTGACGCTCTGTGTCCGCTTCACAGGCCTATCTGCTGGCGCCGCTGCAGGCCACCTACACGCTGCGGCATGACCGTACGCACTCTACGCTCTCCTCACAGGCGCGCGAGGTGCTCGCCGATCCTCCTGCACCGTCGCCGTCCACCTCTACCCCGGCAGCAGGCAGCTCGCGGCCGCGCCGCGCAGCCGCAGGCCGCAACAGCGCTGGCGGCAGCGGCAGCGGCACGCCGCTGACGGCGGACAACAGCGGCAAGACGAAACAGCCAGCACCAGCAGAGCCGGAGAGAAGGTCATCGCACGAGCGACGCGCTTCGGCTACTACGACGCGCAAGCGGGCGCTGGCGACGCTTGACGCTGAGGCGGCGGACAAGGAGGCTCCGACTGCACCACCGCCGCGCGAGGCACTGCGCCGCAGCTCTCGAGCAAGCGGCGCGGCAGCGAGTGCGGGGCCTGCGTCGGTGGAGAAGACGACGCCCTCTCGCTCTGGCGCCGCTTCGCCGCCGAATGCGCTCGTAGCGGAGACGCGCACGTTGCGCCCGCGGGCCACTGGCGAGGCAAGCTCGACCGCTGCACCGATTGCGGCGCCTGAGCCAGCCGAGGCCGGGGCCATGTCCGACAGCGACGGCGCCGAGGAGTCAGACGACTCGCTGGCGCGCCAGCTGACGGCTGCGCTGGAGCATGCGCACTCGGACGAGGACGAGGAGGAGGGCGCAGCCCTGTCATCACGCGGCGTGTCGCCTAAGGCATCTGCCGGGGGTCGCAACGCCGCGCTGGAGCTGACGGCGCCTGACACACCTGGCCGACCATCCGCCTCGCTGCCAAGTCACAGCCAGAGCCAAGCAGCCGCATGGGTGCCGCCGCCCACGCGCCGCACTGTGCCGGCGTACGCCGACGAGGAGGACTCCGGCTCGGAGAGCGAGGAGTGGGGGTCGGGCGAAGAGGAGGAAGAGGAGGACGACGATGATGACGAGGACCTCGTGGCGTTTGCCAAGAAGCTCGAGGAGGAGACACGGGCGCGCGAGCGCGGCTGATAGCTGCGCTCAGTCTGATGCGGAAACACACTACATACCCTACACATGACCCTCACGACGAATCCATCACCTGCTCTGCCTGACACGCGCGGACTGAGCCCTGGGATATATCGTGTCTATTGCCGCGGCTGATCAGCTGAGCACCTCGACGGCTGCCACGTCCTTGCTCGAGCCCTGCAGCATGGAGAGGAAGATCGTCCAGCCGACGCCGCAGCACGAGACGAAGGGCACGCGGTAGCGCAGCGGCATGAAGCTGCGCGGCACCGAGGTCAGAAGATGTCTCGGTGTGTGTGCGGCAACAGACGCACCGAAAGTTGATCGTCTGGATGAGCGGCCAGACCTTCCAGTTGGCCAGCAGCGCCGGCCAGTAGACCTGCGGAAAGGAAGTCAGAAGCGAGCATGCGAGACAAGCTCTGAGCGCCGCACAGCCTGGGCGACGGCGAGGCCCGTCCGCTGCAGGTACGCCGGACATTGTGCTGGTCGCTGCTCTGTGTGCAGAGTAGCAGCGCGCATAGTTCACCACGCCTGCACTCCTGCGAGGCCGCCCGCACCACACTCATGCTGCGCCTACGCACCTCGCTGAACTTCTCGCCCAAGCCGCCCGGCCCTTGCAGTGCCCGCCCCTCGGTGACGCCCATGAAGCTCACGAAGAGCGCCAGGCCGAACGGCGCGCTGCCCGAGAGTCAGCGCAGGCGCTGCAGCGGCAGCATCACGGCCACTCACAAGGCGCCCTGGTCCACGACGACACGCTTTGCCAGGGCACGCAGGCTGACTCTGCCCTGCGCCGCCACCTCCTTGGCCACGCCCTCACCAACGCCGCGCAGCTCGACGTGCGACGGCAGTGCCGGCGCCGCGCTGCGCAGCGGGAAGCGCAGCTCGATGAAGCGGTTCCACTCGGCCAGCAGCGGCGCCATGGCGGCGCCAAAGGCGAGGAAGCGCATGCCGCGCAGCGCATCGTAGCCGGGCGCCACGCCGGATGCCGGTGCGCCGGAGGAGAGCCCCTGTGCGAGCGAATCGGCGACGAGGGAGAGACCGCCGTTGGTGACGCCGAGGGTGACCCAGGGATGCTGTGCGAAGGAGCGCGCATAGAAGGCGCTGAGTGACGAGGTCATGCTGGCGAGAGCGGAAGCGGCCGGAAGTGGAGGGCGGGGTGCGGCGCTTGCCGGAGAGCAAGGCGTGTGATGCGCAGAACAGCAGCGCGCTCGTTGGTCCGCGTGTGTGAGTGCTACAGCGACGCAAGCTGCCCGGTGGTGGTGGTGAAGAGGCAAGCTGTCCGCCTCGCTGCCCGAGATTCGAGATCTTGCTCCGCTCGCCCGCCGGCGTCTTGCGTCGCGCGTGGCACGGGCCAGCGCGCGCTGTTCACACGACGTGCCGTTGTGCCACACCCCGCAAAGCGTGGGAACGCGTTGCTAGGCGACGGCGTGTCACCCCCTATCCCAATCGGGGCACGCTGCGCAGCCTCAAAGGGAAAGCGCGCCAGCTCGTCTGTCTCGCCTGCAGGCGCTGGGCCAAGCTTCAAGAGGAGCGGCGAACGTGCCACAGCGCCAGTCTCTGCACCACCATCACCGCCTGCCCCTCCTCCTCGCTCTTCCACGCTCGCCCCGCCCTCCACCGCCAGCATGGCCACCGCCTTCCACTCGCACCACGCCGAGCAGCGCTGGCTGCGTGCGCCGTACACCGTTGCGCGCAAGTACACCGACAAGACGGTGCATCGCTCCGTCGACGCGCGCGTGCGTCTGTCCCCCCGTCCCTGACGCTCCACCTCGCGCCAGGGCGCCCGCTTCTCGGTGCGCGACTATGGCCCCGACGCGCCGAACCAGCAGTCGTGGCACTGCACCTAGTGAGTGGGCATCAACGAGGATGCAGAGTGCGCAGCGACTCACTCGTCATGTCTCACAGCCCCGACGGCACGGTGCGCCGTCTACTCGCGCACACACACCGCCTCGCAACTGACCGGATCTGCGCAGTACGCCTACTCGAACCCCTCGGGCTCCAAGTACCACGACTTCGGCCACGGCAACTCAATCTTCGTCGCCGCCGACGGCGACGTGACGCACAAGTTCAACTGGGTCGAGCAGCCCAGCAGCTTCGCGCAGAAGGCCAGCGCCAAGGCCAAGGCACTGCGTGCGGAGGACGAGAAGGCGATGCGTGAGGCGCAGGAGCGCGAGAGCCACGCGCAGGCGGTATGCAAGAAGGAGCTGGGCGTGGAGTCGGAGGGCGAGCCTCAAGGCGCCGTGGAGCACAAGTCTGCGGGAGAAGTGAAGTGTGAGGCTTCGGCAGTCGACGCAGACTCGATCGCGAGCCGCGTCAAGAAGGAGGAGCGCTGAGCGTTGATGAGGTGAGTGTTGCGTGCAAGTCATCTACTCGACGTCCCTTACCCGTTTCTCTCCAAGCAGATTGGCCCGCTGGCACATCAAGGGGTCCACAGCATCGGCTCTTCAGACGGCCGCGGCCACCACTCTCTACTGTTCGCGCTCTCGCTGCCGCCCCTGTCACCGGCCCGCTTTTGTCCTGTCATCCTGCATACGAGCCGTGAGCAACCATCTGTTCGCCTGCCGACTCGATGTTGCATTCTGATGGTGTTGAGGTGAACGATCGCGTGTTGCTCCGTCTTGACGCTTCCGGATGCCGGCTCGACCCCCTTGCCTCGCCTTGCTATGCGACACAGTGCGCGTCGCCGCACGTTGGAGCTGCGTGTTGCTCAGCGCTCCGTGCAGTTGCGTCTTCGCAGTCTTCTCTGAATGCTGCCCCTGAGCTCGCCGCGTGCGGGCGGTCTAAGCTCTGCGTCGCTCTACTCTGCATGCTTAAAGAACGTGCTCTGCGCCTCTCTTCCCCCAACGCCAGCTACCTGTCACCGCCCACACCTGGTGTCCATTCTGCGCCATCCCGCCACGCCCCATAGCGAACCCTCCAGTCTTGATCGCACTCACGGCACCATGTCCTCCCTGACGTCGAGAGTGACAGACAGGTTGTTCTTTTTGAAGGCGCCTGCAGTCAAGATGCAGTTGAAGGACGACGTCGTACGTCTTCATAGCCCCGTGCAACCGCACATGTCGCGGCTCTCTGACCCTGCATGCGGTGGCTGGTCTAGAGCACCATCGAGATCTTCACCTGCGCGCCTGAAGAGCCTAATCAAAGCCCGTGGCGCAGGCAGTAGTGAGTACAGCTGGCTGCCGAGCGCTAAGTACCACGGGAGACTGATGATGTCGACTCCCGCAGCCGCGACGGATCAGTGAGACGAGATCTTCAGCGCCGGTACTTTTCAAATCGCTGACAAAGCACGTCAGTACGCCATCTGTACGCCCAGCAACGCATACTTCTTCCACGATGGACATGGTAATCAGGTGCTCATCTTGCCGGACGGCGTACTCGAGCGCACGGAAAGCTTCAGTCCCTGGCCGCGCTACAAGACCTTCAGCAAACTGAGCAATAAGGAGGCTTTCCTGGCTGCCAAACACGCCTGCAATCATGTGCGCGAGCTCCGCAAGAAGGAGGAAGAGCGCCTCACGATTGAGACTGTGACGCAGAAAGTGACGCAGCAAGTTCTGAGAGAAATGCCGAGGGTGCTCAAAGACTTTGAGGATCACAGACGTCTCGAGCCCCAGAAAGACGGCAGTGTAGCCGAGAAGCCGTCGCGACCAGTTCAAGTCAAGATGCAGGAGCTGGCAGCCAAGGTCGCGGTCCCGAAAAGGGCGCACCCCCTGGATCGAGGCAGCAAGGTCCAGGCCCCCGTCAAGGAGAAGAAACTCGACGCAAGCGCATCGACCGTTCAGAGCGCCAACATGGCAGGCAAAATGGCAAGCAAGGAGGGCAGTCCACAGGTCTCTCCGGTCCAGAACGCGATCATTGGCGACAACAGTGCTCAAGCTTTCGATGCCAACAAGGAAGTCAAAGCTCTTCGCGAGGAGATGAGCGCTCTGAGCAAGCGAGTGGCGCAAGCAGAGGCGATGCACAAGCCTCGGGTCTTTCAGATCGAAGGCTTGACGATGAAGCTTCCGCCGCTGTGCTCAAGCGCGCAGTGAGCAGACCGCTCGTCCTGCCGTTGAAGACAGCCTCTCTCGCAACATGCACCGAAAGCTTGTTCCCCGTCCGGAATTCTCGCTTTGGAATCAAATCTGAGCTCGTCTCGCCTCCCACGCATTGACTCGCGTGCACAAGATCGCCGTCTGAGGTCCCAAAGCACTTGCGCTCGGCCACGAGCAAGTACGTGAGACTTCGAGAGGAGATAGCCTGCAGCTCGCTCCTTGGTCGCGCGCGTCGCTCGCTTGTCGCGCCGCGCACGGGGCGCGTCGGCACAGAACGTGCCCTATGCAGGCCGACGCCAGCCGGTTGGCCCATGCGAAGTATGCACGAGCAGCTGAAGAGTGATGTAACATTGCAGAAAGATGGAAGGTGGCTCGATGCTGAAACGAGGATGCGACAGTGACATGCGATGAGGCTGCGAGCGCGGGAGGAGAAGAGGTGTCGACACGCCGTGCCTTGGTGGCGCGCTCGGGCCGCCTCCAACAGGTACAAAAGCAGCTCTGCGTCGCGCCTAACCCCTATACGCAGTCTCACTCTTCTCTCTCTCCCCCACACTCCCATCTGCACTGCCGCACAATACGAGCATGAGCACGATCTATTACGGCAACACAGAGGATGAGGACTGGGTTGATAAGCCGTACACAATACTCATGATTCTCAAGATCGCCGAGGTGAGCATTGCGATGTCTTCGTAGGCCTCATTCGCTCAGATGCTGACGATTTGCGAAACCAGGGGGTCATCACCGTTCGTGACTCCGGAGAGCTGGCGCCGACTCGCCCTTCTTGGCGCATAAGCTAGTGAGTTCGATCGGGCAAAAGGAGGGCGAAGGACGGAAGCAGAACTGATGCACTAGACTCTTCAGCCATAAAAAAGGATCGGTGAGCTGATGTTCGCGGCGGTCGTAGCAGCAAGCGGACTCACTGAGTTCCCTCAGTACGCCTACTTGAACCCTTCCGGGTCTCAGTACTTCAACGACGGCGAGGGCTACAGAACGTACATTTCTTCGAGGACGGACATCCACCCGGAAGGCTACGTCGAGTATCGAATTTCACGTCCGAGAGATCCAAGACGGGCCACAAGCTTCATCCGCAACGCGGCAGCTCAACGCGCTGCCAAGGTGACAGCAGCAATTGAACTCGAACTTGAGCGCCTGAGTCGTGGACGCGAGCCTGCCTCGCCCGAACATCGACAGGCAGCAGACGACCAGTCAAGCGCTTCGCGTGAGCGGATTGCGGAGCTCGAGCTCGGAGGCAACACCGGCAGCGTTCCTGTGTCTTGCGTAGGAAGTATCAGGCCGAGCAGCGAGGATGACGACAGCGCCAGCGAGGAGCGCTTCGAGCTTCTCGACGGCGCCGATGCCGCCACTTCCAGCGGCGCGACAGAGACCGAAAGCGAGGTCGTCCGACAAGTGACGGGCATTGATGACGACATCGGTCTCGTGCTGCCTCTTGCTCAAGCTGCGGAAGCTCAAGACGGCAGCGCCAACGCCAATGCCAACAACGCCGGAGCGGATGCGCGAGTGCGCGAGCTCGAGTCCGAAGTCGACGTGCTGCGTAGACGTCTGGAGGAAGTTGAGCTGCAGCTCGCGAGGGCCACGTCTCCACGGTGAGTCGTACCACAACAGCAGAAGCACGCAAGACGTGTGTCTGATCTCCGAACGAGCAGTCCACCTGCCCATCTCTAGTGCGCGCTCTCGCTGCCGCCACCTCTGTCGCGGCGCCATGACAGCAGGCTCCTTCCTTTCCGTTCTTGCTCTTCGCTCGCTCTATGGCTGCGCCCGTCTCCGACCGTACCCTTTGAGCCCATTCTGCGCCTCACGTCCTGTTCTCGAGCTAGCTGAAGAATCAAACCACCTCTCATTACTGTCGCGTCTCTATATCTTAGCCGCTGGAAGCTCGTCTCGCGCTCTAGTGACCGTTCTGCTTGCGCGCCGCCAGCTCCTTCTGCGAGCGTTCAGAAGCACGGCGGATCTGCCACGTCAGGTTGTACGTCTGGCGGGCGTCGACGTAGCTGCTGAGGATGGGCGAGGCCTTCTTGATGCCGTTGCCGTTGGCGTGGCCGTTCGTAGCGCCAGCACCGTCGATGGCGGAGATTATCGCTTCGAACTCGTGCTCGAAGGGGTCGTCCTGCGGAAAGAGATGAGCTAGGGCCAGGCAGGGACATGGAGGTCACGCACGTTGGGGAACTCGAAGATCTCTGCGGGTGCCGCGTCAGCAAGTGACCACTGACGGGCCGAAAGCTCCACTCACCGTCCTCTGACGAGCCCGGCTTGCGCACGGCCAACTTCGGCACGGGATCGTACGCGCCCTGCAGCGCGAAGCGCCAGCCGTCGGCGATGACCTCAAGCTGTCGTCAAAAGCGTCAGCGCACATTAAAAAACCTTCGAGCGGTGCCGCACTGACCTCGGCATGATAAGGCGGGGCATGCAGTCCAACAACATGAATCAGGCTCGCGACCGTGCCGTCCGCGTGCTTCCAGACGGCATTGGTGACGCGCGGGATGCGGCGGTGCGGCTCGACGATGGCCTTCTCGTCGAAGCTCAGCTTCGAAACCTGGCCCGCCGGCTCGTCGTGCGTGACCGTGTGCGCAAGGATAGTCTCGGGCAGCGCGGGATTGGAGGCGCCGGCGAGGTAGCGCAGCAAGTCGACAAAGCTGGAATGCGCTTGTCAGTGTTGGGGTGAAGCAGGGAGCGGAGAGGACGTACTGCGTGCCCTGCTCGACGATCGGACCGCCGCTGATCTCGACGTCCCACCATGCCGTCTTGACGGCCTGCTCGTATGCCATAAAGTAGCGGGCGTTGATGCACATGGGACGAAGCTGATGCTCATTCATGAGCTGCCTGTGATGATGAGTGAGCAAGCGCATGGAGCGTAAATATGCGTGGTGACACACCTCATAAGCTGGATCGGGCGGAGGTATCTGCAATGCGCTTCGTCAATCACTGCTGAGGATGAGCAAGACAAGTGGCTCACCGGAGCATGTAGCCCACACCAACAACCTTGCCGCCCGTAGCCCAGTGCTCCAGGCGCGCCTGCACCTCGGCCGCTTCCGGCTCCGTCGTGAGCGGGTCAGCCGCAGCGACGGGCTTCTCGAGGAAGATGGCCTTTGCATGTCCGAGCGCCTTCAGCACCCGCACTTCGAGGTCGCGGCCGGGCGCCAGTGCGCCTCGGACGTGCGGCGGCGCGCCGATGAGGACGAGGTGGACCTCTTCCTTGCCGTCCTTGCGCAGCTGTTCGGCCGCCTCCTCGGGCGAGGCAGCGCAGAGCGTGTCCTGCCACGCCTGGCGCACATGCTTGTCGTCATGAGCGTGCTTGGTCGCCACGCGCGAGCGAGAGCGAGGCACGTCGGGGTCGATGAGCGCCAGCACGCGCAGGCGGGCACCGAGCAGCGTCTCGAGGCGCAGCGAGTGGTTCCAGGAGCCCTCGAGCGTGCCGAAGTGGATCTCGCCGGCGCCGAGGAAGACGACGTTGAAGGTTGCGGAGGGCTCTGCGGCGGCGGCAGTGGGCGACATGGCGACTTGAGTGCTTGAGGTAGTGGTGGTGAGAGGCAAAGCTACGTCGATAGGACCGCTGCTCTTGTACCCGTGCGCTAGGCGTCATGCCAGCGCAGCACGGGACGTGCACGGCGGATTGACCCCTGGCAAGTGCTGCGCATCTCACGCCTTCGGACCGACATCCCGTCGTCGCCATCGGCATCGCCAGCATTCCATGCCGCTTCCGCAGCACCGGCGGATGCCATCAGAACGGTCGGATCTGCGCTTCCGCACAAACGAGATCACATGTCGCCCCAACGTCGGCTGCGACTCGGTGCTGCTTCTCCGATGCCATCGGCCGTGCTTCGACGATGGCAACACGACCTCGTTGCCGCCCAGCGAGAGCATCGCGATCTGCGTTCCCCGCACTGTCCCCTGTGTCGTCAGGAGCGAGCCGGAGCGAGAAGTGATCGAGATACGTGCGGCCGCGCACGTATTGGAGGTCTCTCGCTGCGAAGCTTCAGCCGCGGAGGTGCTTTGTCTGGATAGGCCTCGCTGGGAGCGATCTGGAGCGACGGACGTCGGACCGCTCGCACCCCTGAGAAGCCAGCGAGAGTGGCACCTCGCCGCGGCAAAGTGCTTCCATGGCACTCTGTGTGCCTGGGCCGAGATCTCGGCACGCTGCTCCGCTGCTCCGGCAGCACCGACGGCTCTTCGAGCTTGCGAGGGACGGAGATAGCATGATGCACTGCCTGTTCCCAGGGCATGTCACGTGCCTAGCCGACGAGGACGTGCTCGGCGAGGGGCCTCGGAGCGGCGGGACGAGAAGGTCTCACCCGCCGCGCTTAGGACGGGCGCGCGAGGCACGGCGGCGGGCGCGAGTTGAAAGCGAGCTCGGGCGTGGGGAAGCGTCAGGCACCGGCCAGACACTAGACTGCTCTCGTGCCGCGCCCGCGGGCAGCGTGCCATGCGAGCGGGCGTCACGCCGGCGTTTGCGGTGCGCTGCCTCGCCCCGCTGATCTGCGCACCGGCGGGCGGTCTCAGCGCTGCAAGCGTGCATGAAGCGGCCGTGCGCTCTCGAGCGCAAGCAGCGAAGCGCACGCTCGTGTACCCCGCGCTTGGAAGACTGGCCGAGTGCCGGGCAGGCGCGAAGCCGGCGCCGCGGCGTGAGAAGCTTCGTGCGGGTGACGTCGAGCGGCGAGGCGAGACGTGAGACGCTCCGCCGAGCTGCGCACCTGCAAGCCCTCTCATGTTGAGGCGAGAGGCAAATGGCAGGTGCTTGTTGTGAGCAAGCAATCGAAGACTGCGGTGCTCGAGAGACAGGTCGATTTGCGGTGCGGTGCTGGGCAGGCGTTCAGCTGGCAGCCGCGCGCCGGCGGCGACGCTGTTCGAGCTGCAGCGGGCGGCGGCGGAGCGGGCGCGCCGTGATCGCGCCGCGCGCGGCGCCGAGCTGCTTGTGCTCCGCTCGCTTCCCCTTCCCCGCTTCAGCAGCAGCAGCAGCCGCGGCCGCCAGTTGTCGCCTTCGCACCCCTCCTCTCTCCTCCTCCTCCTCTCCCGGCGCCGTCGTCCTCTCCCGCAGCCGGACCTGCCGCACCTCCAGTCCTCACTCCTTCATCCTCTGCGCTCTTCGCCGGCGCTGCCTCTCTCCCTGCACGCACCCGCCCCTCCACCTTCTGCGTCCGGCTCGCGCACTCCCGGACGTCGAGCATGGCGTCCAAAGGCGTGCGTGCCGAGTGTACACTCCCGCCGCCGCGCCGCTTACCCTTCTTCGCAGGGCAAAGACGCACTCTATGCGCAGCAGCTCGATGCGGCGCGCCTGCGCGGCGACTGGGAGTCGCCCGTGCCCGTCGCGGCGGCCGCGGGCGGCAAGGCGCCCATCTCGTGGCAGGAGCTCATCCGCAAGTACATGAAGCACAACCCGAACAGCACTGGTGTGTAGTTGGCCAAGACGTGCGCATTGCAGCACAGCACACTGATGCGGTGGTGCGCAGTGACGCCGACCGTCGCGCAGGTGGAGCAGCAGATGCGCGCTGCGCTCGCCGCGTACCAGCGCGACCTGGGCCACTACTCGGACGCCTCGCACGACAAGGACCTGGCGCTGCCCGACGGCTCGGGCCGTACGGCCTTCCCCACGCCCATGCCTCACGACCAGTTCGGCAACGGCTGGCGCGGGCCCGACGTCGTGCAGGCGGCCACGCGCCTCGAGGAGCTCGCAGCAAATGCGCGCTCGAGCCGTGCAGACCCCATCGCGATGCAGGGCATTGCTGCGCTGCGTGCGTACGCGGCCTTTAGCCTGGGCAACGATGAGGCGGCCATTGGGCTGCTGCACCAGGCGCGCTTCTTTGAGGACGTCGAGGTGGAGAAGATCAAGGCGGCGCACGCCCAGGACTACTCTGTCGCGCTGCTGCTGCTTGGCTTCTGCGTGTACGGCATGGCCAACGAGCGCCTCTACGCCGCCAAGAAGGACGATGCCTTCAAGCCCTTTGTGCTGGCCGGCTACGCGCGCGCCATCGACCTGCACGAGGGCGTGCGCGGCGGCAAGCGCGCAGAGGGCCTGCGTGGCATGACGCCCGATGAGATCGAATGCTGGGGCGAGACGGCGCTGTACCGCAACGCGCTGTTCAGCGTGCGCACCGGGTGAGTTCACAAGCGAGGGCAGCGTACTGGAGAAGCCGCGTGCGCATCTTCTGACTCTGGCCCTGCAGCAACATCGCGCTTGGCCTGGACTCGCTGCGCGCATACCAGGTGCACGTGGGCCGCTGGCCAACGTCCTTCCGCGGCCCGCAGCGCAACGTCATCTACCGCACCTACCTTGCCGTGCTGACACGCGCCGTCGAGGCCGGCGGCTTTACGGACCCGCCGCGCTCGGCGGGCGTGCGCGCCGACGAGGACTGGCGCTCTGCCGCTTACCAGCGCAGCGTGATTGACTGTGTCGCCTCGCGCGTGCGCATCCGCGACTTCGAGGCGGAGCGGGCGCCGCGCCATGGACAGGCCCGCCGCATGCTGGGTGCTGCCGCGACCGAGATCACGTCGCGCACGACGAGCAAGCGCCGTCCAGCTGCACACCGCGCGCTGCGCCCCGCCAGCGCCAACTGGAGCAACGAGATGCTCACTGTGCAGAATGCCGCGGCGTCGGCAATCCTGCGCAGCGAGCAGTTCCCGCGCGCAGGGCACGTCAACATTGCTGCCATCCAGCTCGCCGACGACCTCGTGCGCGCGTGGCAGCTCAACGGCGAGCTGGGCGGCGCGCACGCTGACGATGTCGTGGAGGTGAGCACAGCGCGCGTCCGTGTGTCCCGGCCCAACTGACGTTTCTGTCCGCGCGCAGATCCTCTACAACCTCGCCAAGATCACGTTCCACTCGCAGCGCATCAGCCGGCATCTCTTTACGCTCCTCGTGGCCGCCGAGGCTTACGACGAGGCACGCATGGCGCTCGAGCTGTACGCGCAGATCTTCGAGAAGGCCAAGGAGGGCGACGCGGCCGACTCTGCGGCGCTCGTCGAGGAGGGTCGCCGCCGCAAGGAGGCTGACGCAGCGGCCGAGGCGAACGATGCCGAGGCGCCCGAGCACGAGGGCATCTCGGACGAGGCCAAGCGCGTCTCGCAGGAAGCCACGACGGACCAGGACAGCGACGCCGTGTACGTCTCGACGCTCCTGCACGGCGCGCACGTGTACGGCCGCTTCTTGCACGACATCAAGGGCGCCGATGCGCTTGCGCGCAAGGCGTACGACGCGCACACTGCCAACCCCAAGCTCTCCACCGACCGGTCGCTCTCGGCACGCGCCAAGCGCATTGCTGGCTCTGCGCGCGCTGCACTGGCAGCCCGCGAGTCGGACGCCACGAAGCGCGCAGCCCTGCAAGACGAGGCACTGAGCCTGCTCAAGCAGAGTGCCACGCTCGACGACCAGAGCTCCGAGACGTTCTACCAGCTGGCCTACCTGCAGGCGGAGATGCGCGACTCGACGACGGCGGTGCGCTCGGCGCGTCTGGCGCTTGAGCTCGAGCCGGCCGACGTGCAGTGCTGGCACCTGTTGGCGCTTCTGCGCTCGGCGCAGAAGGACTTCAAGGGCGCGCTGCGCATCGCCGAGGAGGGCCTCGCCGAGGCCGAGGAGGACGACGAGGCAGACCTGAAGGCGGTGCAGCGCGCCAGCAGCGCCAATGGCGTCAACGGCACGTCCAAGACGAGCGTGGCGCGCACGGTGCTGCTCAGCGTCGACTACCCGCCGACGTACGGCGAGCGGGCCGAGGCGCTGCTGCGCCTGCACATGACGCACTCGGCGCTGGAGGAGGTCGTGTCGGGCACCGAGGCCGCCATCGCCTCGCAGCGCGACGTGTTCTCCTTCTTCCACAAGCGCGTCGCCACGACGGCCGTGCTGCCGCTGGGTGCCGGCGGCGCTGCCGGCTCTGCTGCGCCGCCGACGAAGCACGGCAAGCTCTCGACGCTGCTGGGCGGCAGTGCCGCCGTGCCGACGCGCTTTGGCTCGCTCAGCGGCATGGGCCTCAGCGGCGCCACACACCACCACTCGGAGGAGGCCCACCGCGGCGCCTCGCTGCTGCCGCACCTGCACCGGAGGCGCGCGTCGCAGAAGGTCGAGGAGGCGCCGATGCCCGCCGGTGCCGCCGGCGCCACCTCCAACGACTCTGCGCAGGACGCACAGGACGACGGCGAGGCGTCGACTGCCATGGTGCAGCGCGAGGCGCGGCGTGCCAAGCACGAGGCGCACCTGCTCGCCTCGCTCTGGCTGCAGTCTGCCGCCTCATTCCGCCGTGCGCACCAGCTCTCGCAGGCGCGCGCCGCCGTGCAGGAGGCCGAGCGGCTCGACTCTGCGCGCGCCGAGGTGTGGGTGCAGCTGGCGCTGTACTTTGAGGCGCAGCAGCAGTGGGAGCTGGCCGTGCAGAGCCTCTACAAGGCGCTGGCGTGCGAGAGCGAGTGCGTGCCGGCCGTGGTGAACCTGGCGCGCATCTTCCTGCAACATCCGGACCTCTCGCCCGCCGCCTCGGCGCTGCCGACGAGCGAGACAATCAAGGACCGCAAGTTACCGGCCGCTGTCACCGACGCCCTGGCCGTGCCATCGCCGTTCGGCAACGACGGCGCCGCCGCCAGCACGACGCTGGCCAAGCCGACGGAGCTGGGCGCCATTGCGCTGGCCGAGGGCCTGCTGCGCGCCAGCACGGCCAGTGCGGCGTGGGACTGTGCCGCCGCCTGGCTCTTCCTGGCGCAGACGGCGCGGCGCACGGGGCGCCTGGCGCAGAGCCGCACGTTCCTCGAGTACGCCCTCGAGCTGGAGAAGACGGAGACGGTGCGCCCGCTCGGCGCCGCCCTCTTCCGCTCGTGATGCGTTCGCGGCCCTTGCCGCCTCTCTTGCCCTCCAAGGACCACCCGTGCTGGATATCATACCACCTTGCCCCCCTCGCCACCCTCCTTTCTATGCCATGCCCCGAAAGCAGCGCCGCCCTAGTCTTCTGGCGCCTCCTTCCTGCCCTTGCGGCGCGCAGCCCGTACTTCGGACTGCGCGCCCGCTGCTGTTCCCCTAGTCTTGCCTATGCTGCGAAACGCGGAATTGAAATTGAGTGCTCTCGAGGCAGCCAGAGTGTGCGCCAAGCCGCAGCGAGAGGAGCGACTTTTGCTCTCTTCGCTGGTGGGACGGAACGTTGGCTGTGCGCTCCCACGCCTCGTGCTCCGGCTTCGGCGATGCGCGCCGCGCCGAGCCGGCTGCTGGCCGTGCGGTGCTCGACTCTGGCCGGGTGCCTGCGGCTGCCCTACTCGGTTCCCCGCACAACGCAGCGCAGCCGCCGCCGGCGCAGCGCACAGGCGCGAGGCACGCCTCATCAGCCGCTGCTCTTTCCTTCCTGCCCACACCCTGCCCCCTCTCGCATCCCTCAAGACACGCAGCCATGCCCAAGGATGTCGCACCCGATGTCATGCCCGAGCTCGCCTCGTCGCACCTCTTCTCCGTGCGCGGCAAGGTCGCCCTCGTCACCGGCGGCGCCAGCGGCCTCGGCAAGAGTGAGCGGCAGCAGCAGTGCGACGGCGTGTCTGCGGCGCGGCGCTGACTTGGTGCGGCCACAGTGATGGCGGCAACGCTGGTGCGCAACGGCGCAAAGGGTGTGTCTGCTGTGCTGCGCCGTGGCTGCCCCATCGGCTGACGCCTGTGGCAGTGTACATCGCCTCGCGCAAGATGGACGAGCTGGAGAAGCAGGCCAAGCTCATGGCGCCGCTCTCGCCCTCGGGCGCCGTGTGTGCGTGCTGCTTGGCTCGTCTCTCATTCCTGGCCGCTCATCACCTGCTCGCGCCACAGCCGGCCCCGCGTGCATCCCCATCCAGGCCAACGTCGACAGCAAGGCCGGCTGCGACGCCCTGGCGGCCGCCGTGGCCGAGAAGGAGAAGCGCCTCGACATTCTCATCAACAACTCGGGCCTCACGTGGGGCGCGCAGATGACCGACTTTCCGGAGCAGAAGGGCTGGGACAAGGTGTTTGCGCTCAACGTCAAGAGCCAGTTCTACCTCACCGTCGCGTGAGTGCGCGCGTGGCCTGTGTGGTGGAGCAGATGTGCTGACAGTGCCGCAGCCTGCTGCCGCTGCTGGAGGTGGGCAAGTCGAACATTGGTGAGCGTCCGCTGCGCGCATATGCAGGAGGCCGCAGCTGACTCTCGCATCGCAGAGCACGCCAGCGTCATCAACATCGCCTCGGTCGCTGCCATCATGCCCATGGCCGAGGGCGGTCTGTCCGAGGAGGGCTCCGGCACTTGGTCCTGTGAGTCGTCTCTAAGCACTCCTCTTCCCTCCTGCTCACACGCCCCTAGACCAACCAAGCAAGGCCGCCTCGGTGCACCTCTCGCGCACCATGGCCAACTCGCTCGCCGAGCGCCACGTGCTCGTCAACGCCATCTGCCCGGGCGTGTTCCCGAGCCGCATGACGAGCTTTGGCCTGACGGAGAACAAGGAGATCCTCGAGGCCATTCAGCCCACTGGTGCGTCTCGCGCGTGTGCTGCGGCAGTGGGGGTGGGGTGGGATGGTGCTGATGAGTGTCTGCCACTGCAGGTCGCGTCGGCACGCCCGAGGACATCGGTGGCCTCGTGCTTATGCTCACGAGCCGTGCTGGCTCGCACATGACCGGACTGGCGGTGAGTCTTGGCGCACGAGTCAGCGATCGAAATCAGCGGCGTCACGAAGCGACAGGGACAGCTGCCGACGCTCTGGCGCATCACCGGTCATCAGCAAGAGAGCTGCTTCCCTGCCTCGCGGGACTGGCCAGGTGGCCGCTCTCGTCAATCGCTCTCCCGCTGCAGTCTGCTGACCTGCGTCGCCTGCAGATCCCGATCGATGGCGGACAGTCGCTGCAGTACCAGGCGCGCCTCTGAGCGGCTTCTGCGCCCTGAGCGGTTCTGCATATTCCCCGAAACCTGCTGCACCTGTCTACCTGTCTCCGAGCCCCGTGAATGGCATCTCATTCTTCTCTTAGCAACACATAGTCGCGCTCGCTCGTGCCAAAGCGCACCGTGTCGCCGGTGATGAGCTCGATGTATCGTCGTCCCTCCACCTCCTTGCCGTTGAGCAGCGTGCCGTTTGCCGAGTCCAGATCCAACAAGAAGGGCCTGTGCAGCGCCATCAGCATCTCCATCGTGAACAAGCGGCTGGGCGAGCAACGCACTTGATCTCATGCTTCTCCTCGCCGTACTCGTTGACCTTGCTGATGCGCCGGAACTGGAAGACGGCATGCTGCTTGCTGCAGCTGGGATGCGTGATGGGCACATCCGCTACGGCTACGTCGCGCCCGAACAGCAGACACGAGGCGCGCAGGTGCAGCATGTCTGGAGGCGTGGTGGGTGAGCGGACGTGAGAGCGGTCAGGGCGGATTGAGTGGCTTGAGATAGGATACCGTCGGACCTCTATCCAAACCAAGCCAGCAGCATCACCGTGCATCGCCGCCATGGCCGTCTACTGAGCTGGCCCTCTATCTGACACAGCCCCAGGTCGCTCGCCTGCCATCTTTGGCTCCCGCTTCTGCCTCGCATCTCAACGCTTCCACGCTCGCTGCTCGTCGTCTGCGCCTTCCACTAGCTCCACCACGCTGCCACACCTCATGCCGCACGCACCCAGCTCCTCCTTGCCCTTGTACACGTAGCAGCGCCACTTGCGCTTCGGCGCGCGTGCCTCGGGCGGCTCGTGGTACTTGAGTGCCGTGCCGTTCTTCGAGTTGCTCGCCGCGGCCAGCAGGCCCGAGGGCGCAAAGTCGGGCTCCACGCGTGCTGCCTCTGCCGGCGGTGCGTCTGCGTCGTCGCCCGGCGGTGGGGGTGCGCGAGAAGAGGAGGCGCGCGAGGTGGAGGCGTCAAAGGCGGCGCGTGAGCGTTGGCGCTCGGCGGTGAAGTCGGGCGAGCGAGAGCGCCGCCGTGAGGAGGTGTAGCGCGGCGGCGGCGAGCGGGAGCGGGAGCGTGGGCGCGGCATGGCCGATGGTGGTGGAGTGGAGGCAAGCAGGACGCGCGCGAAAGCAAGTGACACGCCGAGTGCTCTGCGTCGTGCTCCTTGCTTCCTGCACTCCTCCTCCGCATGCTGCGCCGTCTGCTGCCTGCGTCGCCGCTGCGTCTGCCTCTGCTTCAGCCAGTGTCTCGCCTCGCCGCTCCGCCGCTGCAGCTGCATACCCGCAGCTACGCTCGCACGCAGCGCCCGCCGCCGCCGGCACGCATCATGGCCTCCTCCTCGGCGGCGGCCGTGCCGCAGCCCACCTACTCGTCCATCCCGCCGCCGCCGCCCACGCGCGTGCTGGCGCCGCAGGATGGCGCGCTCGTGTGGATCGACTGCGAGTGCGTCGTCGTCGCCGGCTCTAGCTCTGCCGCAGCTGGACGCTTGCGCTGACGGTCCTTTCCGTGCCAGAATGACGGGCCTCTTCCCCGCCACGGACCGCATCCTCGAGGTGGCATGCATCATCACCGACGGCGCACTCAACGAGCTCGACGAGGGCGTCGTGTGGGTCATCAAGACGGACAAGGCGGTGCTTGATGCCATGGGCGACTGGTGAGTCGGACAGCGCTGGCGGCCAGACAAGCGCTGTGCGGGGACGCGCGGGAGGTGCAGGGACGCCGAGAGGTCATGGGCGACGGATCGAAGGCACGAGACGCTTGGCTCTCGCTCTCACCAGCTGGTCGTTAGAGGGCTTGTGGGCAGCGGCGCTGCATGTATGCTGTCGTCTGGACTCGCGCTGACATCCTTCGCCTCGCAGGTGTGTGCGTCGCTCAGCTCCACGGCGCCCCTCCACATGATGCTGACGCCTCCTCACAGACGAAGCAGCACGGCGCCTCTCAGCTTACAGCGGCCTGCATGTCGCCCGCAGCTCGCGAGCATGCCGATGTGCGTGCCGCGCTGCTCGCCTATGTGCGCGCACGAGTGCCGCATGCTCGCAGTGCCTGTCTGGCGGGCAACACGGTGCATGCCGACGCTGCATTTCTCAAGGGCGAGATGCCAGAGGTGAGTGGCGCGGGCGACGGAGAGTGAGCGGACGTGCTGACAACAGGTGCAGTTGATCGATCATCTGCACTACCGCATCGTCGACGTGAGTTGCGCTGCCAGGCTTGCGACATGCTTGTGCCTGACGCTGCAGCAGGTCTCGACGATCAAGGAGCTCGTGACGCGCTGGTATCCCGCTCCAGCGAAGCGGTGGCAGGGCGGCAAGGGCGCGCATCGGGCATTGGAGGACATTCGCGGCTCAATCGAGGGTGTGTCTAGCTCCTCGCCCGCTCTCACTTCTGCGCTGACGCCTTGCGCAGAGCTGCGGCATTACAGAGAACATGCGTTTGTCAAGCCATGAGGCGCAATGGCACATCTGCAGAAGAGATGCTCAATGAGCAGCAGGGGTATCTATTGCACGCGCTTGCAGTCGACTGCTCGGTCAGAGTAGACATCCAGCACAAAGGTGCCCTCCACGTCGCGCTCCCACGTGCTGCACACGACGTCGTAGCTGCCGCGTTCCAGCCGTGCCTCGGCGATCGACACGCCGCACACGCCCTCGGCGTACGGGCCCGACGAGATGATCTCGCGACCGAGCGCCCGGTTCGCGGACGTGCTCGCAAAGATGGCGACGTTGAGCGCCGGGCGTGCCGCGTTTGCGCCCTCGAGCTCCGGCAGCGAGAGACGCAGCGCAAAGCGGGCCATGGGGGCCGAGACGGTGAGGCGGAAGCGCGGGTTGGCGCCGTAGCTGCCGTGTCCGGGCGCACCCGCAGCCGTGTCCTCGCTCCTCCGCCATGCGCCGCGCAGCACGCGCGAGTACATGCCCGCGCCTTCTACGGGTAGAGTCTCGATGCGGGCGCTTGGGGTCGAAGCTTGGAGTGTGAGGACGAAGGCGCCCTGCTGTGCCGGCGCATACGTGCACACCACGACGGTGTAAGCGCCGCCATGCGCTGGCAACGTCGCTTCGAGCACCGCTAGGCCATAGCGGAAGGCACCGCTGGATGCCAGCACCTCGTTGGCCTGCACTGAGGCACAGCGTGCGCCATTGCCGTGCACCAGCAGCACGCACACTGCCACGTCGCGAGGTGCCTCGAGTAGCAGCAGCAGCGAGGTGGCAGTCGACCGCGCGCCGCTTGTGGCAGCTGATGCGGGCACGACGAGGCGGTATTGCGGATTGTGCACGAATGTCGCGTGCGTCGAGTTGCCTCCGGCGCTGCGGCCTCTCCACGCGCCTTCGACCTGTAACATCGAGGTCAGACGTGTCTTAGCTCCTCCTCTGCGCTGCTACTGACTCTCGTCTCGTGCGGATACGCCCGCGGCAGCTCGTGCAGCTGCAGCGGCGCATGGCCGTGCGCGGTGAGGGTGAAGGCAGCGTCGCAGGCAGGGCCGTGGCGCGAGACGACAAGCGTGTAGTTGCGCTTCTGCCGCCCGGCCCGCAGGCGCAGAAGATGGTGTGCGCTGTCTGTGTACGTGCCCTTGTCTCGCAGCGTGAGCCCACGCATGAAGGACGGCAGAGCCACGCAGACTCACCTGCTTGCCATCCACGCGCCCCTCGTACACACGCCGCTCACCCGCATTCTCGTACACGTGCAGCGCGACGTACTCTGTCTCTTCGTCGTCTCGTTTTGGCTGTGCGTCGAGATGACGCGCGAGGTGCACCCACACCTCTTCGTGGTCTCCGTCTTCACGGCCCTCGACAGTGAGGCAGTACTGCGGGTTCTGTCCGACGCTCCTCTGCACGTCGTTCGCAGACGCAGGCGTGCCGTTCTCAGCGCGCGTCGAGTGCGCCGCTCTCAGGCGAATGTGCGCTGCGAGGCTGTGCGAGAAGAGCGAGGGCTGCCAGTTGAGATAGAGCGCATCGAGCCGGTTGCACGCTTCCGTCCACGAGAGCTCGATGAGCTCCGGCTCTGACTCGAGCTCCAGCGCTGGCTCCTCGAATGAAGAGTCGAGCGCCAGTCGTGCCAGTGAGGCTTGCATGTCGGCTTGCACCGAGGTGTCGCCGTTTTGCGAAGCAGCAGCGTCGGCAGTATCGGACGTAGCCGCGTCCATTTCCTCGCGCCTTGCCGCACCTCTCCGGCTCCAGGGGTTGAGAAGCACCAGCGACCGTTCCCCTCGCTCCTCCTTCATCTCCAGAACCGCGTAGTCGTGGCTCCGGACGAGAGGCTGCACTCCGTCGCCGCGCGACTCCTTGCCGGTGCCGGCAGTGATGATGACCTCGCCTCGCTGCCAGGCGTTCCAGACGCGCGCCCACGTCTTTTCGCGCTGGAATCCGGCGTGCGAGAGCCCGATGTGCTCCGGCAGCCAGCCGGAGAGCGCGTACAGATCTGCAGCGCTGTTGGAGCCGCGGAAGTCGTAGCCCGATGCCTGGAGACGCAGGTAGGCCTTCTCGAGCAAGGAGGGCCAGAGCTGCAAGCCGCGCTCTGACACCGCTCGGGCGCACATCGGCAGTCCGGTGGGATACAGAGGCAGGGCATCATCGATGCTGATGCCGCGCGCGGCGCCGTTGATGTACATTCGCACGCGGTGCTGTCCGTCTTCAGGCGTGAGCGGCGTGCCGCTTGCGTCTTGCGGGAAGAGCGCCGAGTAGGCGATCTGCGCATGCAGATTGAGCATGGTCGCAAGCACCGCAGGGAAGGCGGCAGCTCACCTGCGTTCCCCAGCGTGCATCGTGCTCCGCCGCGGCCTCGAGCGCAGCAACGACACTGCAATCCGTCACGACATCTTGGCGAATCTCTCTGCCCTTCAGCTTCTGCTGCGCATCTGCGACGATGACGGTCGCCGGCGCACGCACGCGCGGCTTGCCGAATGAGGCACCCAGAGCACGCTGTGCGGCCGACAAGCTCGGCGGCGGAAGGCTGGCACTGGCGGCGGGCCAGAGAGGATAGCGATGCCCATTGATGAGCGTCGAGGCAGCTAGCACGCGCGTCTGCTCCGCTGCATGAGCGTCTTGTCAGTCGAGCACACAGAAGCGTCGCGAGCGGGCGCCACTGCGTCGCTGCCTGTATCATCGAGATCGAGCTGTCGCAGCGAGTGTGCGGCACGCTCCATGCCGAAGCATCGCATGTCCCGTGCCTCCATCACACGCGCCGCACAGAGTCGACCTGCAAGACTAGGCTCGTCCCCACCGCGCATGCGTCAGACCGACTGCTTGTGCTCCATTGATACGTTTGCACACCCCCAGCTAATGCGCAAGTCTTCGGCGCTGCTCAGGCTCTCCCGGTGCCAATCGACCTCGTGCATCTCCGCGCCGTCTGACCTCCACTCTGTCGGCCCCCGACATCTCTCCGCTCGTCCGCGCCGGCACCTCTGCAGCTCTGGCACACATCTCTCGCACTCACCCTCCTCGAGCGCGCCGCGCTCGCCGCTGCGCTTCTTGCACTCCAGCGCACGCTCCAGTGCCCGCTTGGCGCCACGCTTGGCCTCCTCTCGCGCCGCTACCGAGGCGGCAGGCGCGCGTGCGGCGTCGAGGAAGCGCTGTGCCGCTGCGGCGTAGGCGTCGCGGGCATCGGCGAATGCCTGCGCGCGCTCGTGGGCGACGCCCTGCGTGAAGAGTGCGCTGGCCGACTGCGGGTGCGAGGAGCTGCCCGCATGGCCTGACATGGGCTGAGCAGGCGCCGCTGCGGCCGCGGTGCCGCGCGTGCTGCGGCGTGTCTGGACGCGGCACGGACGACAGCAAGGTACGCCGGGCGCTACCGGCCTGGGTGCAGATGGCGCAGCCGGAAGAGAGAGGAGCGGCCAGCGCCGGCTAGGGGTGCGAGTGGAGAGGAGCAAGGAGTGGCAGCAGCGAGGCCAGATGCACAGCCAACGGGCGCGCGCGGCGCCGCGCGGCGTCGGGCGCCGCAGCACCGCAAGCACCGCCGCCGCCGCGCGCTGCCCTCGCGGGCCGCAAGCGGAGCGCGCCCATGTCGTCCGCTATAGGCGATCCGGCCCCCTTACGGCGCCTCTGGGCAGCCTCAGGTGCGACGTGAGGTGCCATGTTGCTCCGCATTAGACGGTACACACGTTCGTTTGGCGGTCAGCGTCTCCTCTGTGAGGCTTAAGATGCTCGCATCGAGCCGCCGTGGCCCCGTCATGTACATCCTCCATCGCCCGCACCTCGCTCACACCTTCCTAGACTCGCTCCAGGATGCCGCTTTTCCTCGACCTTCCGCTTGAGGTCCAGCTCGAGATATTCTACTGGTGCGACTATAGGGTGCTGAGGCGGATCAGGGTACGTGGCGCTGCGGCCATTGCACCTGCAGCTGCGATTGGGACACTGACGTGGGCTGACCGCGGTGCCACACAGCGTACTTGCAAGCACTTCAAGCACCTAATAGACGACAGCGCAGCCCTCTGGCGTAGTCGCACCGTGAACTACGAGCAGCTTCGACAGATCAAACGCAGCAACGACGCCGACGTGGCGGCATGGGAGGCGCAATGGGATAAAGAGGTCAGTCAAGTCTGGCATACAAGTCTTGCTGCGAAGCTGCTGACACACTGTTCGCGTGCGCCACACAAGGACTCAAGATCTCGCTGGGACAAGACAGATCTTGTAGGCGACTGGATAGGCGTGAGCAGATGGCGGGGGAGGACTCCGATCGAGCTGCACTCTCTCCTAGCGTATACCGATTACTCCATCGGACGGTACTTCGGGATGCCGTACGAGCGACTCCACGTCACATGGACTGAACGAGACTTGAGGAACGCCGACGTCGCATCGGGAGGGGAGGAAGATGACCCCTGTTGGGAGCCTGAACGTGTGCGTGTTCTCATTCACCAGCTGCCGGAAGCACAGGAGAATGCCACAAAGCCTCCGTAAGTCTCGCGGCCCCGCTCAATGCCTCCTATCTGACCTCACTTCCCGTGCCCAGAGTGTCGACGCTCGTCCTGAAGCAAGGTGTAGGTACCTGAGCTGTCAAGCCTTCTCCCAGCGCTCGAGCTGACCACCATCAGTTCGGAGGCGTCCACACAGAGAACATGCGTGTCGTGTCTGGCTCGCAATACGTTGCGTCGCCCGATCATCCCAACGGCATGGCACCTGAAGCATACAATGAACCAGCCTCTTGCACCATCAGGAACGAAGACGGACGACCAGTCACGGTGGAGCAAGTACTGTGAGGCAGAGGCCAGATACTTCCGCGGCGAAGAGAAGGGCAATGACGCCGTCGCATGCACTGATTTTGCCGTTGGCTGACTTTCGATCAGCCGCAACTGGTGCTTCGGAGCAAACAAGATCATGGTCGGTGCCTGCAGGGGCTTTGACGCTGTGTGGAGGCTGCGGCGCTGACCCATATATCTGTGCCCATATCGCAGGGCGACGATAACGTGAGTTCACTCGCTACACCACTACTTGCACCGGGCCAGGGCTGACCGCGTCTCAGTGGGACGGACACTTGCATGGCTTTCGCGACTTCGAGCTTCTCTATGACGGCACGCTCGTCTTTGACAGCCCGCGGTACAAATAGTCGACCGGCAACACCTCGCAGTCGGTCCTTGCGCTGGCAGTTCGTTCGTACAACCGCATTACGAGAGAGGGGACGGCAAGGCTAGCAGAAGCGCCTCTGCTTCTGGACAAGCGCTATCGCGCCGCTGTTGTATCTTCCGCGCCGAAACAGACCGCTGCGCATCTTTTTGAATGTATCTCGCACTTGTTCTGGGGACTGCCAAGGACGGACGGCGCGGGCACAGGCTCGGCCTGCTGCGAAGCCCCGAGCCAGCAGACCCGCAGAGGTTCACACACCAGCGAGGCTCTCGGCGTGCTCAGAGAAATGCCCCGAGACTCCTCAGCGATGCGCCAGAGCGCGGACGCAAGCGAAAGTCTGCGCAGGAGTCCGAGTCGAGTGCAGAGAGCGTCGAGCCCAGAGCAAGGTGCAGCGCAGACATGCGCCCGTCGATCCGCGCAGGCTGCCGCTGCGGCGTGTGGCGCTTTTCGCGCAGGCGCCGTGTCTGGGGACGCGCCGTGGCGCTTCCCGCGGACTCAGAGAGGTGGCTTGGCCGTCTCTTCTGAGGCAGACAAGACAGAACTCGGCCTCACTTGATCCTTCGCCGCTGCCGTACGACAGAGCTTGCCTTGCTGAGCGCCGGCTGTGCTGCTGCTCCTTCCCGTCGTCGCGGTTCTTGCACGGCCGTGGCTTCTGCAGAGAAGCTGCCGCGGCGGGCTGAGGCGGCGCGCGGCGGCGGCTCCCGCCCGATGTGCGCCCATGTGCCGCCGCTTCCCGCGCCGCCGCGTGTCGCGGATGATCTGCACCTCGCGGCGTGGCGCCTCGCGCTGCTCCTGCGCGGTAGACTTTGCACCCACGGGCGGAGCTGCTGTCCTCCCATCTTTCCCTCATGCGCCCAGGCAAGCAGCACACGAGCAGCACACGAAGTGATACCCGGATCCTGTCGCTCGCCACACCGGGCGCAGAGAGGGATGCCTCTGCATTGAGCACTGGCGCAGCGCCTGCGCGGGCACTGCCTGCACGCACAGGCAGGCTGGAGCTGCGGCCGCCCCGTCGATCCCGCTCAATGATCGCCCTGCCCGCTGTGTCAAAAGGGCGGAGTGCTTTGCCTGCAGCGCTCCGCCGAGCTCTCTGCCACTTGTGGGCTGGACTCAGCTGCTCGCCGGAGCAAGGCGAGGCTGGGCCGCCGAGGCTGTCGCTGATGAGACACCGCACGCAGAGGGTGGGAGCGGCGCCGCATGCATCGCTGCTGCACACCCATCTCGCTGCCCTGCGCCCGGCCCGCCGCGCAAGCGATGCGGCCCGGTGCTGCAGCCTGGGCCTGTCTTTGCCACAGATGCCATGCTGCACAGAGGTACCGCTGTAGAGCGAGCCCGGACCGGACGGCGCGACGGCGCGCGGCTGCGGCAGCCTCAGCACGGGAGGCCGGACCCTGAGCTAGCCGACGGCCGCGTGGCAGGAGGCGCAGCGCCGCTCTTGTGCGCGTGGCCGGCGGGGAGCGCGCGTCGCGGCGGCGGAGGCGCGCTCTCGCGCTGTGGGAGCAGCTGCCTCCTCGCGGCGCGGCGGCGGGTGAGAGAGCCTCTCGCCGCACCGCTGCCGGCCGCTCGCGCTCCTCTCTCCCATCCCTTTCAGCGCCCTGCATACCCTCGCCCTTCCCTTCCACTAATTCCTCGCCTTCTCTCTGCTCCTCACGCTCTGCGCACGTCGCATCGCCTGCCTGCCGGCGCTCAGTCTGCGCATCACCCTTGGCGTTGCTGTGCCACGGCGGCCGCTGCTGCTCCTCGGCGCCTTTCACCCGCGTCCGCCTGCCTTCCACTCTTCCCAGCACGGCCCATCGCACCTGCCCATGCCTTGCTAGTCCATCCTCGTCCCAGGACGCGCCTCCGCCATGTCGCTCTCGCCCGCGCTCCCCGCGTCGCCCGCCTTCTACGCGCCGCACGCCGGCATTGCGCTGGCGAGCAGCAGCAGCGCCGCCGCCGTCGCCGTGTCGCCGCTGGTGCGCACCTACTCGGGCCGCCGCCCGCTGCGCCCGCCGCCCGCTGCGCCCGCCGCCCGTCAATGCTGCCGTGTACCGCTCGCCAGCGTCTGCCTCGGGCGGCGGCAGCGCCGGCTCCAGCCGCGCGGCTGCAGCCTACGCGGCGGCAGCCGGCGAGAAGGCCAGCGCAGCCGGCGGCAGCTCGTACTACGCCGCCAGCAGCACATCCGGCCGCTATCCGGCCTCGCCGCGCGGCGGCAGCAGCTCCACCGAGCGTGCGGCACCGCTCTCGCCGCCGCCATCCTTTCCCATCGCATCGAGCTCGACGCCGCCGCCCGTGCGCTACGGCACCGTCGGCACACAGACACCGCCGCCTTCGGCGCGGCGGCGTACCGGCAGTGCATCCGCCTCCAACTCGGGGCACAGTGCGCGCCGCGGCTCCGAGGCAGAGGCTGAGACATCTGCCTCCATCTCTGGGCGCAGCTCGCCCGACACGAGCGCCGAGGTGGTGCGTCTGACACGTGTCGGCGCAGGCGGGCATTCCGGCGGCGCGCGAGGCGTCGCCGGCGTGGATCCCAACAGCTTCCCATCGCCGCGCATCAACGGCGGCAGCAGCAGCGGCACCGGCTCGCACTCGCGCTCCTCGCGCGCCTCTCGCGCCGAGAGCGTGATGAGCACGGGCAGTGCGCATCTCAGCGCCGTCGTCTCGACGGCCGTGCGGCGCGTGGCCATCTCGCGGCCCGAGACGGGCGCTGCGCGGCGCGGCCCACGCGTTGGCGGCCCACCATCGCCGCAGCGGGCCGTGCCCGTGGAGCAGCGCGAGCGCTCATCACGCGGCGGCGACTGGCCCGAGGATGCGGCCGACGTGGACCGCAGACTGCTGACGCCGCGCGTCGAGAGCGGCTCGTGGGATGCCTCTGCGGCGGAGGACACGCCCGGCCGCAGTCGGCGTGAGGAGGAGAAGCAGCCGGCGCCGCGCGCAGCCGCTGCGGCAGAGAGCAGCGCGATGGCCGCTCGCAAGGCGGCACGCGCACTGGCGCCTATTGATGTGGGCCGCTCCCTGGGGCGAGGTCCTGCGCCGAGCAGCGGCACGTCGCCCAAGCGACCATCACCGTCTGGCCGCAGCAAGTCGAACATCGAGGTGCTGCGATCCGAGGCCGAGATCAGCTCGAGCAGCCTGCTCTCGCCCGCATCGGCGCACGCGCAGCTCTCCGTCTCGCCGGCGCACAGCAGCGCACGCCTGTCGCCCGGGCCAGCTCTCAGCACGCTCTCGCACTCGCCGCTCGGCAGTGGGCAGAGCCTGGCGGACAGTAGCTGGTCGTCGAATGGCGGCGCCAGCATGGCCGGTGGTGGCATGCTCGGCCTCGAGTGGGGCACGTCCATCCATTCAGCGCCCGCTTCGCGCTCGCATACACGCGTTCCATCGCTCGGCACGTCGATCGGCGCACGCTCGATCCGCACGCGCACCTCAGCCGCGCCGTCCAAAATGGCGCTGCTAGACTCGCTCGACGCGTCCCTGGCGCTCGTCGATGCACAGGCATACGAGCAGCTGCCCAGCCTCGAGGCCGTCGAGGCGAGCAAGAAGGAGCTGGCCCGCCTCGAGCGCAGGATGCAGGACATGCGCCTCAAGCTCAAGGTCGAGACCCGCGTGCGTGAGGCGGCTGTCAAGCTGCGCCGCGCCGGCGCGCCGCGTCCGGGCCATAGCCGCACGCTGAGCTCTAGCTCAACTGGACGCAAGTCGAACATGGGCTCGACCGACCTGCCGCCGACGCCGAGCACGCCCGCAGGCGTACTGCCGAGCCTCTCGTCAGACGCCGGCGCGGCACATCGCCAAGCCGATGAGGAAGTGGGCAGCGCAACACGCAAGGTCGACGCTGTCGCGCAAGAACTGCTCGTGCTCGTCGAGACTGCCGCGGCACGGCGGCGACAGCTCATGGAGCACCAGGCCGGCGTGCTGGCTGCGCGCGTGCAGGAGCTCGAGTCGCTCGTGGCCGAGCGAGAGGACGGCGAAGCAGACGAGGATGCGCGACCTGACAGTCCGCGTGTGGCACTGCGCGAGGCGGCGAACGCCAACTCGCGGACTCGCGAGCTCGAGGACCAATTGTTGCAAGCCGAGACGGCGCTCAAGGAGCGGCAGGACACCGACGACGCAGCGCGCGAACGCGCAGACGAGCTGCAGCGGCGCCTGGACACGAGCGAGCGGGCGCTCGAGCTTGCGCGCGCACAGACAGAGGCACTCGGCAAGGCCAAGAGCCGCGAAGATGAGGCCGCTGTGGCGGAGCTGCAGCGCCGCCTCGATGCTGCTGATGCGCGGGCGCGCGACGCCGAAGCACGCGCTGATCGCTGGCAGACGGACGCAAAGGCGCTCTCTCAGCGCCTGGAGGAGCGCGACGCGGAGAGCACGCGCGCTCTGCGCGACCACGAGACGCAGCTCGCCTCCGCTCGGCAAGACGCAGCAGCTGCGCAGCGTCTCGTGTCTACGCGCACGGAAGACGCCACGCGGCACGAGGCGGCGCAGAAGGCGACTGCACTGAAGCTGCGCGACTTGGAGCTCGAGGTCGCGGCCGAGCGGCGCCTGATGCACGAGCGTGCTGAGCTCTTCGTCGCCTTTGAGCGGCGCCTCGAGAACGCCGAGCGCCGCCTGCGTGCCGAGGACGAGCGCTGCGCCCGCGTGCTAGGCAAGGACGAGGGACGCGAGGAGATGGACGACTTCTTGGCGCAGATCAAGGGCTACGGCGGGGTCAAGAAGGCCAAGACGGCAGGACAGGACATCGATGCGCTGCTCGACAGCCTGGCAGTCCACATCACTGACCTCGCAGACGAGACAACGCGCCTGGCCTCGGCGCGCGGCGACGTCTCCTACGATAGCACGCAGCACGACGCAGCGGCGGCGACGCAAGTGCGCGAGCTCGAGGTGGAGCTGCAAGACACCGAGCGCGAGCTGGAGCGCTGGCGCAGCGAGGCCGAGAGTGCCAAGCGCCAGCTGGCCGCACAGCAGCGCGCCAGCGTCGCGGCCTCGTCGCGCGGAGGCGCGGAGCGCTTCTCGCGCATGCCCGAGGAGCGCGGCAACGCCCAGATGCTCGAGGAGATGGCTGTGCGGCTGGCGCTCGCCGAGAAGCGCAGCGTGGCGCTCGAGGCGGAGCTGCGCGACGCCAGCTCGCGTGTCGGCGATGCTGAGAAGGCAGCGTCAACGGACTCTGGATCCACCGGCGACAGCCCAGTCAAGGTAGCCGGCTCCGCCGATGCCGAGGCCACTGCACGTCGATTGCGCTACGCCGAGACGCAGCTCGCGCACTGTCGCGGCGCCATCACTGCGGTGCTCGAGCTCCTGCCGCCCGCGCCAGCACTGCGTGCCGCTCTGCTCGATGCGACGCGCAATGAGGAGGGCCTCGGCGCGCTGCAACGGGCCTTTGCTGCCACTGCGCGCGCGGCGCACTCGCCGCTGCTCGCCACGACGACGTCGTCGCAGCAGCTGCAGCAGCATCGCGGCTCGCTGCAGCACCGGCGCAGCATTGTGCCGCCGTACGAGGACGCGCCGCTTGACGCCGAGGCGCTCACGGAGCGCGTCCGCGCCGTTCTTGCGGCTGGGCGCGGTGCTGCGGAACAAGCATGCGCGCTGCTCAGGGAGCGCGACGAGGCGCAACGAGAGGCACACGAGGCGCAGAACCGCGAACGAGAGCTCGGAGCTCAGCTCGAGCGCAAGAGGACCAGCCCACCGCGAAGCCCGATCGAGGCATCCCGCGGACGCGAGCGCAAGCTGTGAGTTGGACCGAGTCAGCCCTGACGATGCCACCTGACACTCTTCGGTCTTCAGCGAGGCCTCGGTTGCAGAGCTGCGCGCACAGCTGGAGTCCTACTCTCCGCGCGGCCACGCAGCCGCCAGCTCGAGCGCGGGCGAGTCGTACGTCTCGCGCGGCAGCAATAGCTCGACCGGCTCGCCGAGTGCCTCGCCGCACTCGACGTTCCTCTCGCTGCGCGATGCGCCGCCGTTGCCGTCGCACTCTGGCGGCCCCGCACACGGCACGCTGCAGATCGTCGCGTCGACGCTCTCGACGCGCACTGATCGACCCGGCGCCTCGGCCGGACGCTCATCTTCGCCTCCGGTCTCGAGCGGCTCGGTCCCGACTACGCCGTCGACCTCCGGCTTCTCGTCGGGCCCACGCACGCTGACGCTCGGCATGGACACATCTGCGCTGGTGGCGCGGGTCCGCGATCTCGAGCGGCAGCTGGCGCGCCGCGATGTGCCGCACGCGGCCCGGCGTACAGCGGCGCGCCTCGTCGAGCTGGAGAAGACGGTGACGCAGCTGCGCGCCGAGCTGCTCGAGACGCAGACGACGCTCGAGGAGCGCATGGACACCGACGGCCGGCAGCGCATTCAGATGCTCGAGGAGCTCAACTCGATGCAGGACGACCTGGCCAATGCGCGGGCCGCGCTGCGGGCTGAGCAGCGGCGCAAGGACAACGAGCGAGGTCTGCCGCCGGCGCTGCCAGCGAAGTAGCAGCACCGTTACCCCCACCTTGCTCTCCCTCTGCTCTCGCCACGCTTCCTGCCTCGCTGCTCTCCTGCGCTGTCCTTGCCCATACCCGGCTCGCGCTCGCCTGCCTCGCAGCGACGTGTCAGACGAAACCCATACCCCTCCCTACATGACGCCCACGCAATCCTACATCATCGTCACGCTCCATGTCGCAAGAAAGTGGGAAGCGATTGGAATTCGACGTGCTGGTGTTGTACAATGGGGCTGCCTGGTTCGGCGCTGAGAGAAGGTGGGTGCGGGTATCGAGACAAGTACAGGAAGGAGGGCGCCGAGGAGAGGGAGAGCACGGCTTCATGCGAGCTTCTCGTTGATCTCCGTCATGACGCGCGAGGCCGCCCTCGGCGGATGAGCCTTCTTGCCGCCGTGTGCCGCAGCGCCGACGGTCAAGCCGCGCGGCACCATCGGGAAGCAGATGCTGGTCGGCGAGACGAGGCCGTCGTGCGAGCCGCGCGACGAGGTGGCACTGCTGCGCGGCGCCGAGCCGCTCGAAGAGGCACTGCTGCCACTGCTGCTGCTGCTCGAGCACGGCAGGTACTGATGGATGCGCGTGCGCAGCAACTGCGTGTAGAAGTGGTGGATCGTGAGGAAGCAGTAGAGCCTGCGGATGAGAGGTGAGCTTGTGCCAGAGCGACGGATCGAGCCGGCGAGCACGCACCTGACGGCTGTGTACAGCAGGCTGAAGACGAGAAGGAGCGGCACGACATCACGCGCAAACGCCTCGTCGCACTCCTCGCCCGCGAAGATCTCCTCGACGACGCGAGCAAGCCATCCCGGCTGCGTGGCCTCGTTGCCGACCACGCCGAGCTGCGTGCCGGCGGCGAGTGTGCCGCTCGAGAAGAGCTCGCAGAGATTGGAGCGGATCTCGGGATACGTGCAGAGCAGCAGGAGGGAGAAGAGCGAGAGCGTGAAGAGGAAAAGATCGAGGAAGGAGGAGAGGACGAAGATGCGCGTGGCAAGCAGAGAGGACTGTAACGGAGTGTCAGCGTGGTCAGATGGAGCTGGACAAGTCAAGGCAGCGACGGCGGAGCAGCGCTTGTGTACGCTTTCGGGCCAGTGCTCTCCGATGCGAGTGGCCACGACGACGAGCGCTTGCAGGGGTCGGAACGAGCTGCCACGAGGATGCAGCAGCCGCACATCCCACAGCTGTTGCTGCTGGTGTCGCAGCAAGCAGAGTTGATGCCTCCCGGGCGACGGAACTCGCCTCCACCTCCGCGCACCGCGGGCGTATGCGCCAAGACGGCGTCTGCGCGGCGGCGGTACGGCGCCGATGCTGCACGTCTCCCGAGCGAGTGGATTTGGGCCGCCTTTGGCGCGCCGCCGCCACGCGCATCATCTCACACCGGCGGCAAATGCGGCCGTAAGGCGCCTGCCGCCTCTGCGCCTTTCTCGCGCCGCGAAAGATCTGCATCTCGCAGCTGCTGCGCGCTTGCGAGGGCGCCGCTGCAGGGTCTGCCTGGCCCTCTCCCGTCCGTCACATCACGGTCCCTTCCGGCATCGCGCACCATCGCTCGCTCGCGAGAGAGAGGGAGTCGTCCAGGGCAGAGCATATACTCACTGCAAGCACGCCCCACGCGCCCGCCGCCGCCGCAGCGGCACTCATGGCGGCGTATCCGCGCATCGTGCGCGTGACGAGCCGCGCCGCCTCCCATGTGCTGCGCTCCTGTGCTGCCGGAGCTGGTGCTGAGCTGTGCTGCGACGTCGATGGCGAGACGATGAGCGCTGCTGGCGTGCGTGATGAGGGCCGAGCTGGGAGGATGTTGTACCACGCTGCGGCAGCGGGGTGCGTCGAGTTGTCGAGGGCGCCACCGAGCGCAGAGAGCGGCGGCGGGGGCGGAGTGCTGCTCTTGAGCACACTGCTGCTCGAGTTGGGCACGTAGGGGAAGCTCTCCTGCAGCTCGCCGAGCACGACGTAGAGGCGCACGTGCGAGGCGATGCCGAGGAGCGCCAGCAGCAGCGTGAGGGTGCGCACGCAGGGCAGACGCGGCGCGAGCATGGTGGGTGGGTGAGGGGGATGGAGGTGAGGAGCGAGGATGGGAGCAGCGAGGCGGATGAGATGTGCTCCACGACGGCCTGCTCCATCAGCTTGCCGCCTGCCTCTTGCGGCCGCAAGCCTGGCGCAGGGCCCAGCTCTGCGAGAGGGCTGGATGAGGAGCGGCCCATCTCACTCACGCTTCCGCCCCTGACGTGCGGCTGACGCTGTGAGAGCGCTTCGGTGCTGACACGCCGCCCGCCGGGCGTCGATCCCTTCTCTCCGACACGCGCGCTTCCTCTGCCCACGCGCCGAGGCTGCATTCGGCAGCGCGCAGCCGGAGCGTTCCCGCATCTCGGGAGCGGCGTGCCGCGCCGCGCACAAACATCGCGCAGCCGCAGAAGCATCGGCCATCGGGAGCGCGCGCTCCACCTCTGAAGCGGCTGCCTCGCACGCACGCAGCGGCAGCGGCAGGGTCCCTGCCATGCTCCGGCGATGAAGCTCCTCATCAAAGCTCGCCGCTTGCACCCCTCGCGCTCAGCCTGGCCTCCCTACGCTGTCCTGCACGGCGCATCGTCTCTCTCCTCGGCCCCGCGCGCCCGAGCGCCCCGCCGTGGCATGAGAGCAAAGCAAGCGCGGGTGAGGGTGCGCGGGCCTTGGCAGGCATGGAGCAAGCGCTGCCTCGGGCCAGACGTGCCGCAGCACAGGCAGGCGTTGCACCTCTTCGCGCAGGCGGCGCGGTCCCTTTTGTCACCCCTCTCGCTGCTTCGATTCGGCAATTGCCTCGTGTGTGCCTGAGCTCGAGAGTAGAGTGCGCCGCGCTCGCGTGACCTGGGCTGGCCTTCGGCTTTGCGGAGCCGCCCTTATTCGGAGCCGGGACTCGCAGCTCCCGCGCTCGCACGAGGGGGCTCGAAGCGGAGCACTTCGCTCCTGTCCCAGCTCAATGTAATAAGAATGAGGCGGCCGCTCCGACACCCGCCGCCGCGACCTCCCCCTCTTCTGTTCGTGCGCGTGCTGTTGCGCGGAAGGTCCCTCCGCGTGCCTGCATGAAGGACGTCGGCAACGCGCTTCCGTCTTGGCCTACGCTGCGGCAAGGCAACCCAAACAGGAGCAGGTGCTCGACTCCTTTCCTAGCCATGCGCATCTGCTCTCGTGGCTGCCATTCGACGCAAGTCGTCAGCCGGAGGCCGGGCCGAGGCCGCCGATAAGCCACTTCTCCTCCTGTGGGCGAGAGACATCATAGGAGAATGCAAGAGAGTGCATTGAAAGGGTGACGGTGTACAACACGAGGGATAGCGAGTGGGCTCTCCCACCCATCATCTGAAGCTCGCCATCAGGCGCTCCCAGCCCGCGTCGCCGTCCGGCAGCGACGCCAGATCCAGCCAGCGGTCCATCGGCACGGCCGGCGGGCCTCTCGAGGCCGCACCCGTGCCGGCGCCACCGAGCTCCATGAGGCCGCTCAGCAGCACGTCGGCGCTCGCCTGCGGCGACGCAGCAGCTGGCGCCGCACTCGTGGTGGGCATCGCAGGGCCGTTCTGCGCCGGCGTGCTGGCCAGCTCGGGGAAGAGCTCCTCGAAGCTGGGCATGCCGGCGCCGAACTGGAACGGTGGCGGCGGAGGAAAGGCCGTGGTGTTGCCGGCGGCTGGAGTGCCCTGCTGCGGCCATGGCGGCGCGGCGCTGTAGGCACTGCTGCTGCCGCCCGTGGTGCTGCCCGACGCCAGCGGCGAGGCCTGCTGCTCGGCGGCGAACGCGGCAAAGGCCATCATGGGCTGCTGGTGCTGCGGGAAGGGTGACTCCTGCGGCGCAGCCGCTGGCGCTGAAGGACGGAGGTGCTGGTCATAGTGCCGCTGCTGCTCCTGACGCTTCTGCTGCTCCGTCTCTCGTCGCCGTGCCTCGCAAGACGCGTGCGCACGCGTATCGTCCGGGCCGCTGCTGCCTGGGTCGCCGGAAGAAGGCGAGCCGTCTTCGAAGCGCGGCGACGTGGTGCTCGATGCAGGACTGACGTGTGCCGGGGCTTCGCTGCGCTTCTTGCGCTCAAGCAGCCGCTTCCACGTGGCGAGAATACTCGCCAGGCCTCGGACGCTGAGTCTCCGGTGTGAGCAGACGCCGCGAAGCACAAGTAAGCGGCCTACTCACAGAGCCGCGCCCATGGCGCCGAGGTTCGCCTCCTGCACCGTGTTGCCCTGCCCGCAGCCGACCTGCCAGAGCATGTCGAGCCGCCGCGCAGCCTCCGCAAGGATGATGAGGTGCACGTCCGTCCGGCTCGGAATGCCTGAAGCGAGGGTCAGCTGCTGCGCGCTTCGGACGATGCAATCGACGCACTGTGCCAGCCTGTCACGCGCGCCGCGCTGTCGTCGAGGTGGTACTTGGCCAGCGCCACGATGTCCGAGACGAAGAGCATCGGCGAGAGGGAGCGCGCCAGCGGTCTCGAGGGATCGGTCAGGTGCACAAACTGTGGCATCGGTGAGCACATGCGAGCACCTGCGCGGCAAGAAGCTGCACTCACGCTGCTCAGTAGCTGCTCGGACGCATCCAGACGCGGCGTGACCGTCTCGTAGAGAAGGTCCTTCAGCGGCGACGGCTGCGGCGCCGAGAGATACTTGATCAGATCGTGCGAGAAGTCGGCCGGCTTCTCAAGCCTGATGTGGCTGGCGACGTTGGTGCCGCCCTGCTGGTGGTCTTCGCTGCGCGTACTCGCCGGCGTGGCCGGCGTCTCCTCGCCGTTCTCGGTCCAACGGCCCGAGACGAGCAGGTGGATGCCGATGAAGCGCACGCGGTTGTTGTGGTGCGCGCGCCAATTGGACAGCGCCTCGAGCATGAATGTAGAAAGCGTCTCGGCCTGCTCGTTGCTGGCGTGCATCTTGTCCAGGTATGCTGCGGCGCAAGTCAGCAAGTGCGCACCACCACACCGCATCGGTCACGTACCCGCCATCTTCTCAGCATCGCGCACAGCAAGCTCCTCGTCATTGTCGATCTCGCGCAGGTGGAAGCCGCAGAGTGCAAAGGTCAGGCGCGGCGAGAGGAGATCGAGCGTGCGGGCGCGCCGCAGGGCCAGCCAGCGCGTGCGGAGGCCCAGCGATGCGCGCCCCTGCACTGAGGACACAAAGACCTCTCCGCGCGCCTCTGCCTCGGGCGAAGCAACGGACGTGAAGGGAGTCGCACTGAAGATCGAGGGCGAGTCGCTGTGCTTGCGTCCGAGCAAAATGTCGAGCGCATCCATCGGGAAGGCCGACGGCCCGCCGGTCGGCTCGATCGCCATGGCGAGCTCTGCCTCCTGCAGCACGATAGAGAGCCACTGCGTCGCATCGTACAGCATGTCCGCTAGCGCCTGCGCTCCGACATGTGCGCTCACGCTGCCAGACGTACGCAGTGCGACCGCCTCGCGCAAGCGGTCCAGCGACGAGTCCAACCCAAGGCCATGCGCGATTGTGCGCGCAGCGTTACCGAGCATCTCGATGCCGATGCCTCCGTCCGTGGTCACCGAGGTACGGCCGAGCGGTGGGAGCAGCGCGAAGGGCTGGTACGACGCTAGCAGCTCGAGCGCGAGGATGGCGCGGCGGTTGCGCGGCAGGAACATGAGCACAGCGACGCCATGGTGGTGCGTAAGAGAGTCGAGGCCCTCGAGCATCGCGCGCGTCTTGGCTGGCTCAGCAGGCGGGGAGGAGCCGCCAGGCACGTCGGCGGCGCGCAGCGCCAGCGTGTAGAGCACGCTTAGGAGCAGCGTCGACGACTGCGTCGGCTCCTGCAGGTGCGAGCGGCGGCAGACATGCAGCGGCGGAATATGAGGAAAGAACAGGCGGTGTCCGTCGAGGCTGCAAAGCGTGTCAGGAGAACGCGCCTTCCTGTGTGCGATGTGGACTTACAATGAATCAAGCCGGCCGCTCAGGGTCTCGTCAACCAGATCCGTCGGGTCCGACAGCGGCGCGCTCAGTGTCCGCTTCAGTCCGATGTCCCGCCCGAAGGTGGACATGCGGTGGATGAGCTGCGACATGAGAATGTAGGGGTGCCACGCCGAGAGGATGACTTCGCGGTCCTGCATCGGCCGCGCCTCGCCTCGCCGCACAAGCGAGCGCGACGTTCCCTTGCCCTTGCCGGCACGCCCGGCGCTGCTCGAGCCTTCGGCACGCTCACTGGCGTCATCTTCGATGGGACGCGGCAGGAAGAGAATGTTGCGCACAGTCTGCGCTACGCTCTGCTCGTCCATGCCCTGTGTCTGAGCGGGGCCGGGACTAGCTGTCGACGCGGCAGCAGGAGGTGCACGCGCAGCAGCAGTGGAGGAGCTCACCGCACTGGACGCTGCGAGTGCTGCAAGTGCTGCGTCAGTCGCAGGCCGCAGACCGGGCCGGCTCTCTGACCACTCACCCGAGGGCTCCGGCAGCTTCCTGATGCGCTTGCGGTCTCCATCCCACACAACGCACTCGAGCTGCAGCACGGAGCAGCGGTGGCAGCGCTTCTCTGCCGGCAGCGCCACGTCGCGGTTGCTCTCGACGTAGATGTCGGGCAGCTCGCAGCGCGTCTTCTTCTCGCGGCACGAGAGGCACGAGCGGCGCGCATACGTGCGGTGCGGGCGCTTGCCGGCGGCCGCCTTGGACGAGGAGGCGTCGTCGGGCGAGCCGGGCTGTGCGGCGGCAGCGCCGGAGAGACTCGAAGAGCTGGCGCTGCGGTCGATGCCGCCGGCGCCGCTGCTGCTGCCGTTCGTCTCGGCGGGAGCGTCTGCGGCCATGATGAAGCGAGGTGGGGGTCGTGGAGCGGAAGATAGGTAGCAGCGCTTCTCGCACGCGCGGCGTGCGGTGCTGCACGCCGCGCGCAGCACCCGAGGCGAAACGCGTGCCGCGCTGCGCTTTTGCCTGGCGTGTGCGCACCCCACCTCCGCGGCTTTCATCCTCTCCTGCGCTCCGAGATAGGCCAGGCCTCACATCCACGTCTCACACTCCGACCTCTCAGCATCAAGACCACGTCCACAAGGGCACGTTGAGCGGCAGAACTGAGCTCTTTTTGCGCCTGCGATGTCCCACAACGGAGCGCCAGATGAGCGCGAGGGTCGGCGCGGCCCCTGTCACGCGCCTGATGAGCCGGCACAAGAGGCAGCGCGCGCAGATGGAGCGGCGCCTTCTCTGCTGTTCTCTGCTGGTGGTGTTACATCAGGACAGTGATGTAGTGCAGCCACCAGCTCGGCTGTGAGTCGCAGCACGGGCTGCCAGAGGCCACGGGCATCCACAGCCTGCAGACCGAGAGGCCGAGGTATTCGTCTGTGCATTGCGTGGCGAGCAGCTGGGCCTGAACGTTCCTTCAGTCGCGAGGCGGGGCCAGCTCGTCCGTCTGGTCTCAGTCATGCATCTGTCCCTCGGGCAGGCGCCCGGACGGATCCGTCTCGAAGCATGCATAGTCCATCTTGCCGACCTGGACGCCCTGGGCGCGGAGGATGTTGTACGTCGTGACGAGATGGAAGAAGAAGTTCGGGACGCCGTACTGGAGTGTGTACTCCTGCGCACTGAGCGTGAAGCTGGTGAGCGGCGTGCGCACATGGATCGGACGCGCGTGGTCGCCGTCCATCCAGTCCTTCTTGACGGCCTCGAGGATGGCAATCGTCTTGTCGAGCCGTGCCAGCAGCTCCGCCATCGTCTTCTCGTTGTCCTCCTGGTACTCCGTCTCGACGCCGCCGACGCGCTTCGCCAGCAGCTTGGCAGAATTGGTGACCATCTGCACCTGAAAGACGAGCCTGAAAGAAGGGTCAGCCAGTCTCCACCTTTGCTCCACTGCTGCGGCTCACGGAAACATGGTGACGTGCAGCCGCGCCGCGAGCCACGAGTCCGGGCTGGTGCCGCGCTCCTGGCTGAACTCCTCGGCCTTGTGCAGGATCTCCTTGAGGCTGCCGATGTACGCGATCATCGTCGGAATGGAGGCATCGTACAGCGACAGCATGTTGGGCGGCGCTTGGTGGTGTGGTATGAGGCGGCCGATGTGGGGAAGATAGCAGGATAGGCGCGCGAGAGCGGCATGGCCGAGTGCCGAGCGTAGCGCGTGCGCTCGGACCCCGGCACGATCTCGGAGCCCGAGCGAGCCGGAGGTTACGTGACGGCCGCTCGCTGGCGCCGTTGCCGCTCCTTCGCCTGCCCGAGGTGCTTGAGCAAGACGCCGGCAGCTTGGCAGCAAGCAGAGGTGCAGCGAGCATGACGATCCGGCTTGCAGCGCTGCTAATCTCCGAGCTGCGGCCGCAGCGATGCCATGCAGCCGGCGGGGCATGAGGGGCACCTTGCGTAAGCCCCTCCTCCGATGTACACCTTGCTCGCTTGCTTGCTCGCTCTTCCCGCATGCCTCAAGTACCGTACCCTCTCGCGCCGAACTTCTGCTCACTCAGACCACATCTTCACACTTGAATCTTAAGGGAAGTGAGTTTGACGCCCTCTCTGGCACCAGGCTACCAGGCTCATGACGCCGCACAGCCACCATGTCCCTCGCCAAGGTCGACTACGCCAACTCGACGGCGCTCGTGACGGGAGCAACGAGCGGCATCGGGCGCGCCATTGCCCTCGAGCTCGTCTCGCGCGGACTCGCGCGGCTGGTGATCGTGGCGCGCAGCGAGGAGAAGCTCAACGCCGTCGCCGCCGAGCTTAAGCAGGCGTCGTCGGCGCTCGAGGTGCGAACCGTCGCGGCCGACCTCGAGAAGCAGGACGTCGGCGTCGAGATCCAGAAGCAAGTCGAGCAGGCGGGCTGGAACATCGACATTCTCGTGCCCAACGCGGCGCGTGCGGCCAAGGAGGTCTTTGCCAGCGATCTCAAGACGGACACGGCGCTGGCGACCGTCGATCTCAACGTGCGGGCGGTGGTGGATCTCTCGCTGCGCTTCCTGCCCGGCATGGCGCAGCGCCGCAGTGGCGGCATCCTCAACATCGGCAGCACGGCGGGGCACCAGCCTGTGCCTTTCACGGCCACCTATGCAGCCAGCAAGGCCTTCCTCATCTCCTTCTCGCAGGCCATCCGCGAGGAGCAGCGCGACGCGGGCGTGCGTGTGGCGTGCATCGTGCCGGGCATCACGCAGACGAACCTCGGCGGGCCGGGCCAGGGCGAGCGCCGAGGCGCGCTTGACAAGGTCAGCATCCACCAGCCCGACGAGGTGGCCAAGGCCGCCGTCGACGCCTACGAGGCCAACGCGCCGACGCAGGTCGTCGGCTTCAACAACAAGGTTCTCCAGGCCGCCATCAACGTGCTGCCGGCCTCGACGACGGCCGCCGTCATCTCCAAGGCGCGCGGCCACCCGGACCAGTACAGCTGAGCTCGCTGCACGCAGCTCGGCACCTCGTCTCGTTCAGGCTTCCGTCTAGCTATGCCCCCGTCACCTCGCTGTCTCTCTACGTGGAATTCATGACCGTCTCGCAGCCAGAGCCAGGACGTCGCAAGCTGCTGCACGTGCCACGCCCGAGCGCAGATGCAGGGTCCAGCGTGCGGAGCCTTCGCCTTGCCAGCTCTTGCAGGTGCAGCATGTGGCGCAGCCGGCGGAGAGAGCGGGAGGTTGCTCGGCCTTGGCGGCACGCTGCGGGCTGCTGCTGCCGCACGCTGCACCTCCGCCGGTCGGCCCGCGCCCGGAGCGGCTCGGCGTGCGGTCCGGTCCTGGCCGCGCCGCGCTGCATGCTGCTGCTCGTCGTCGTCGGCTTGTCCTCGGGCGCCCCAAGCAGGGCAGGCGGGTGAAGGTGTGCCCGCCCACGTGCCTGTAGTTTCGCACCCGTCCCCGTTTGAGGCGGATGGGGCTGCCCGTAATGCCGCATGGCCCGCTGACGCCGCTCCCAGGGCTTCTCCACACCGCGGTGCGAGGGTTGGAGCGCGCGATGCCCCGCCAAACGCGAACGACGGACGCGCTGCGGCCCTGGCTGCGGCGAGGTGTGCTCGCAGGGCGTTCTGCGGCACAGCGACGGCGCAGGCGAGCCTGGCTGTGCACGCTTGTTGCGTGCTGCTCAGCGTTGCGCGGCTGACGCGAAGCAGCGAGGGCGTCTGACGGCAGCGCAGGAGAGGTGGGGCTGAGGCAGTGCTCTCGGCCATCTCTCCACGTCGCGCGGCGCGGCTCGCCTCGCCTCGTGTGCATCGCTTGCGGGCTGCGGCTGGCGTGCCGGGCGTGGCGCCGTCTTAGCGCGTGCTCGACGGCGAGGACGCCGCCTGTGCCTGCGCATGCGGAAGCGGGCTCGGCAGCGGCGAGTGGGGGGGCGTTTGGCGCTGCCCGCGGCTTCCGGCGTGGGCGGACGTCGGGCAAAGGCGGCAGCGACGGCACCGCGTGCGGGTGCGGAGAGGCGCGAGCGAGCGAGACGGCGCTTTGCCCGCGCGTTGCGCTCGGCGCTCGGCGGCAGAGGAGGCTGCCGGGCGTGGCGCGCGAACGGCGGAGAGGCAGCGGCAGGTGCAGGCACGCCGCCTGCGTCGCTGTCCGCTCGGCGCGGCGACCGGCGAGCGCCGAGCCGCGAGCTGCGCTGCGACCTTCCTGCACCTGCGCCAGCCGAGGAGCGTCTCGCCGCGTCTGTCCTGCGCTTCCTCATAGCCCAACCCCACCCGCCCGCCTCTTGGCTCTCCTCCACCGCGCCATGTCTGCTGCTGCTGCCCGTCGCTCCCTTCTCTCCGCATCCTCATCCGCACCCGCCACCCGCACCGCCCTCCCTCGCTCCGCCCGCGCCGCCTCGACCCTCGCCCGCGCACCCGCCTCGCGCTCCTCCTCCTCGGCCACTGCCCGCAGCGCCTCGCTCGTCGCTGCTGCCCGTCCGCGCGCCGTCGCCGCCACCTCTGCACAGCTCGCTCGCAGCTTCTCCGTCACCATGGCGCCTCGTGAGTGGTGCTGCTGCGGCGATGCGTCGCTATCTCCGTGCTCATGCCGCGCGGCGCACAGGCAAGATCAAGGTCGACAACCCCGTCGTCGAGATGGACGGCGACGAGATGACGGTGCGTGTGTGGCGGGCGCAGTGCGGCTCGAGCGCTGCTGAAACGCAGCCTTGCACAGCGCATCATCTGGCACAAGATCCGTGAGGAGCTCATCCTGCCGTACGTCGACGTCGAGATCAAGTACTACGACCTGAGCATGGAGAACCGCGATGCCGTGAGTGGACGCTGCAGCGCTGCACCGCTCTGCCGCTGCTCACACTGCTGCACAGACCGACGACAAGGTCACCGTCGAGGCGGCTGAGGCGGTGAAGAAGTACAGCGTCGGCATCAAGTGCGCCACGATTACGCCCGACGAGGCGCGCGTCGAGGAGTTCAAGCTCAAGAAGATGTGGCTCTCGCCCAACGGCACGATCCGCAACATCCTCGGCGGCACGGTCTTCCGCGAGCCGATTGTGCTGAGCAAGATCCCGCGCCCCGTGCCCGGCTGGACGAAGCCGATCTGCATTGGCCGCCACGCGTTCGGCGACCAGTACCGCTGCCAGAACTTTGCCGTCGACAAGCCGGGCAAGTTCACGATGACGTTCCAGCCCGCCGACGGCAGCGCCGCGCAGGAGTGGGACATCTTCAACTTCCCCGAGCGCGGCGGCGTCGGCATGGCCATGTACAACACGACGGACTCGATCGAGGGCTTTGCGCACGCCAGCTTCAAGATGGCCCTCGAGAAGAACATGCCGCTGTACATGAGCACCAAGAACACCATCCTCAAGGCCTACGACGGACGCTTCAAGGACATCTTCGAGGCGGTGTACCAGAAGGACTACCGGTCGCAGTTCGAGCAGAAGAAGCTGTGGTACGAGCACCGCCTCATCGACGACATGGTCGCGCAGGCCATCAAGGGCGACGGCGGCTTCGTCTGGTGCGTGAGGCGTGTGGGGTGCGCGCGCGCAGATGCTGACGCGCACATGCAGGGCGTGCAAGAACTACGATGGTGACGTGCAGTCCGGTGAGCAGCGCGCGCGCATGATTCGAGATGTGCCCTGTACTGACGCTTCTTCTGCGCGCAGACATTCTTGCCCAGGTGAGGACATGCGAGGCGTGATCTGCGCGCAAAGGAGACGCGCGCAAGCTCCAGCGCGCATTGCTCACACTCTCTTCAGGGCTTCGGCTCGCTCGGCATGATGACCTCGGAGCTGATCACGCCCGACGGCAAGACGATGGAGTCTGAGGGTGCGTGTACAGCGCGCGCATGCACACATGAGCTGGCGCTGACCCTCCCGCAGCCGCGCACGGCACGGTGACGCGCCACTACCGCGAGCACCAGAAGGGCAACGAGACGTCGACGAACTCGGTCGCCTCGATCTACGCCTGGACGCGCGGCCTGCTCTTCCGCGGCAAGCTCGACGGCAACGAGGAGCTGCAGACGTTCGCGCGCGCCCTCGAGGCCGCGTGCGTCGAGGCCATCGACGAGGACAGCATCATGACGAAGGACCTTGCCCTTGCCATCCACGGCAAGAACATGAAGCGCGAGCACTACGTGACGTGAGTTGCCCGCAGCGGGTCGCCTGGCATGCGCGCTGACCTTCTACCAGCACGACGGAGTACCTCGACTACGTGCGCGAGAAGATGGCCAAGAAGCTGCAGAAGCAGGGCATCGAGGCGGGCAAGCTGTAAGGGCGGAATGACGAGACATGGAAACGTAAAACGGGCAGGCCGTGCCCGATAGAGAGCAGCCGCGCGCGCCGCCGCGGAGCCGCTCAATATGACTTATACACAGCACGCAACGGCAAAGAGAGGTTTGAAGGGGCAAAGGGAAGGGACATGCGGGGGGATGGGAGGGAGTGGGCTCGCCGCACAGCAGCAGCCGTTCCGTCGCCGCCAGCACTGCGGCGTGATGTGGTCGAGACGCGCACTCAGTGCTGGTTGGGGTACTGGCTCCGGTAGGCCGAGGCCGACGGCACGTAGCCCGACGGCACCATGCCCATGGGCGGGGCGCGCTTGGCACTGCGCTGCGAGTCGCCCCCGAACGAGCTGGCCGTGTTGGTGCGTGCCGGGCGGGCGCCGTAGCCAACGTCGCTGGCGCGCGGCGGCGCCGTGGCCTGCTCGAGCGCCGCCTCGGCCGACGGGTCGCCGGTGAGGTTGCGCAGCAGCGCCGCGAGCAGCTTGGCCGTCATGATGAGGAACGGCAGCATGGCGGCGATGAAGGCGACCTGCACGCCGATGTGGATGCCGAAGAACTGCAGCGAAGGGTGATGAGTGGGCAGCAAGGTGAGGCCCTCGCACGCAAGGCACTCACCGCCTCGCACTTGTCGAGCGACGAGAACTTGTCGCCGATCTCCTTGTTGTCCTTGCACGCGTCGTTCCACTCGTTCTTCTTGTGGATCGACGTGACGAGCTTGGCGACGAGGCCGGCGCTGAGGCCGATGCTGTGGCCCCAGGCTATGTGGCGGTAGAACTTGATCAGGCCGACCTTGCGGGCGATGGCGCCGAAGAAGCCCAAGAAGGCGCCCAGCGTGAGGGTGAAGAGGAGCAGGATGAAGATGCCCGAGGCGATCTGCCGCGCCTTGCCGAGGCCCGCGTGGAACTCGATGAGCTGCGGCGATGTGTGAGTGGTGTGCAGGGTGGGTGAGGCTGCGCCAGCTACGCACGTCCCAGGTGTCCCACAGCCCCGCGAGGACTGCGCGGAGCGAGCGTCAGCCGAGGCGCGATACGCAGCAGCCGCGACACTCACTCGAGACGATGAAGAGGTACGGCGCAAAGAGGATGACGCCGGTGCGCGGGTTGGCGAAGCAGAGGTTGCTGGGGCCGAGCATGGTGACGAGCGTGTGTGTGTGGGCGGGGAAAAGTTGAGGTGGAAGGTGTGGAGTACCGGAGCCTGCCGATAGTCGGGAAGTTGCACAAGTTGGAAGACGAGACGACGAGACGAGAGACGGGGGCAGAGCACAGCTCTTGCAGACGGACTGGACAGGCGAGTGGAGTTGGTGAGGCACGAGGGAGCAGAAGTGGGCCACGCGGTGCGCTGCTCTTATGTACCCGCTGGCCATGGCTGCAACGTGCCATCACATGGCGGGCGTCGACGATCTGCGGAGCCGATGGGCGCAATAGAGTCCCTACAAGGCGTGCGGCGCAGCAAAGTGGCCCCTGGACCGCGTGTGTCTCGTGCCCCTGAGCGCGTGGTGCTCGCTGCCCGCCTCGCTACCCCCTGAGCACCACGCGCCGCGAGTGCTACGCCCTCCGCGCATTCGGCATCGGCATCTCGGCCAGCGCAATGCGCACAGCGTCAGAGGGCGAAGACACTTGCAGGAGAGGGTGTCATCAGTCGCAGTCACGCCCAAGAGTATGGGCTTGTTGCCCGCCGGCATCCGGTGCGGGCCCGCCGAGGGGCCAGGGCACCACGCTGCCGGCGCTGCTCTCAGGAGCCCGACATGGGTCGGCGTTGCTCTTTGCCGCCTGTACCAAAGGCTTGCTTCTCTCTGCTTGCCGTACGTTGCATTCAGCCCATGTCGATAGCGCAAGTTCAACAACGCCTCCTCGCCGCGTTCCAGACTCTCCTGTGCGCCTGGCCGCAGGGGCCAGATCTTCAGCCGACACGGTCGCTCTGCCCCTGGTACCCAGTCCACTTCTCCAGCCCGTCCTCGACGTCGATGGCGCGCCATGCGCCATAGAACTGATGATGCGTAGGGCGCAGCAGCTCGAGCAGCGCCTCAGGAGCGTCTGGCGGGCCGGTGTAGTGGCTTCGTGCGCCCTGCTCCTCTCCCGGCGCCGGCTTGCGCACCAGTGTTGGGCGCCAGATGGACCATCTGTGAGGGGTGACTGTGTGAGCGCGAGACTCTCGCGAAGATGCTGCAGAGACTGACTGGCCCTTTGCGGCATTCCAGCTGCCCATGGGCGAGCCGCACTCGCTGCAGCGCAGCTTCCACTTCCTCTCCTTCATGGCCTCAAACACGTGCGTCTTCTCGCTCCACGCGCCATCTGGGCGTGCTTGCTGCTGCGCACGCTCCTCATCGTTCCGCAGAAGCTCGGACGAGACTCGTGGAGGCGGCGCTGGCGGAGAAGGATGCCACTGCACAGCGGCGTAAGGCAGATGCATGGTATGCACAAACGGCGCGCCGTTGAAGCGTTGGCAGCGCGTGCAGTGGCAGTAGGCAGAGAGCCGCGGTGGTCCAGACAGGGTGAGGGTGTAGCTCAACGCGCCGCATGCGCAGTGACCTTGCGCCGAGAGAGCCTCGCCCATCGCTGCTGTTGCTGCCTTGCGGTCGTCGTCGTTGGGAGAGAAGGGTGAGGGGAGCGGGCGGCGCGTGTGGAGGCAGCCGGCCGCTCCTGCTACGGCGGCAGCCGCATGCAGGCGCCACGCGCCCGTGTCGCCGGCAAACCGCAGGCATGCTAGGCTGCACCGCAGCAGGCGAAGGCGCACATGCTACACACATAGCACGGTACATCGGATGTATTGAGGGCAGCAACCGCTGGAGGCGACTCGAGTGGCTCCTCAGGGTGCGCGGTGATGTGAGTGAGGTAGTGTGGATGGGAGACGCGGGAGACTGTATGTGTGGGAACGGGAAGGCGCGACAGATGGGTGGAAGCGATGCGAGGCTAGCACAGCTGCTGCTCAGCTGAAGTCCGGCGGCGAAGGAGCGGCAGGAAGGTCGAGGTTGAGGCCGAGACCGGCGGTCAGGCCGTACACGATGACGAGGAGCGGGTCCACGAGGCCAGACAGGCCGGGCGCCAGGCTGTTGAGCAGCGCCTCGACGCCGATGATGAGCGAGGCCAGGCCGGGCGAGACTGTAGGGGGAAGATGTGAGCATGAAGCGACGAAGAGACAGGATGTGCGGATCTACTTACGAGCGTCGACGAGGTTCTGCACGGTGCCGAGGTCGAGGTTGGCGGTCAGATGGCGCACAAGCGGCTCGACGCCCGTCAGGAGCAGGTTGTTGAGGTCGACGGTGAGCTGCGCGATGGCGGGCACGAGGAAGGGCGGCGTAGCGACCTGGCGCTTGCTCTTGGCCGCCTGCATCGCGTCGTTGGCCTTCTTGGCCGAGGCGCTGATACGCTCGAACACGGCCTTGACGGCGGCCGGGTCTGGCTTGTCCTGCTTCAGCAATGCCTGAACGTCCTTTTGCTCCTGCTTGAACTCCTTGGACGCGGCGCTGGCAGCCGAAGCAGCACCGCCGGCCGAAGCAGCGGAGGCCGAGGTGGCGCGAGCGGCCACCATGCGGGCGGCGAAGCCGCTCGAGAGGTCCGAAGAGGAGAGAGCCACGTCGCGGGCAGCGGCGGGCGAGCCGATCGAAGCGGCAGAGGCAGAGGCGCCGAAGGCGAGAGCCACGAGCACGAGCGTCTTGGAGAGCTGCATGTTGAGGCAGGCGAAAGGTGTTGGCTGGAGGTGTGTTGGTAAGGTGAGAGCGAGTGAGGATGTGGGATGAAGAATGGGCTTCTGGAGCTCGAGCAGGCTGCCTTATGTACCTTTGCGAGCCGAGCCTCTGCCCGTGTGGCATTGTCTGCCATGACGGCTCCAGTGTGACCGTGCCATGATCCCTCGTCCCATGCGGCGTTCTCCAGACGACCGGTGTCGCCCACCGCAGCAAGCACCATTGCGAGACACCCCCTGGCCATCCAACTCGGCTCAGCTCGGCCCGTCACACACGCTAGCCAGTGCTACTTTCTTCTTACGCTAAGCGACTTGCGGTGTTCTAGCGACGTTGATCCTGCAGCGGCAGCGTAGGGACTCGTGGCCGGGCCTGAGGGCCGTAGCGTCCCAAAGGGAGCGGTGAGCTTTCGCAAGGAACGACGAGGGCGCAACGGATGCGTCTGGATGGCACAGCGAAAGAGGAGGGCAGCCTTAGTCTAGGCGCTAGCAGGTGTTGGCAACGAGAGTGAGCGCACGCTCAGGCAGACAGTGCCGCGGTCATGGCCGATGCTTGCGATGCGAGACGACTGCATGGAGCCAGCGAGCGGTGGTACGCGCGAGGTCACAGCGGAGAAGGTGCGTGCGCAATGAGAAGGGCTAGCGAAACGTGCCATTGGCGCATGCAGCGGCTCGGATGGGGGTGTGCGAGGCGTAAGCTTGCTTCACGGGACAAGACAGCTCGCAGCGGCTCATGGATCCAATGGTCGTACGCGGCGTCCTCTTCTCCAGGTACGCGCCGTGTCGCCTCAGGGAGCGATCTCGCACGAGCCTGTCCTTGCTGGGCGCGGGCACGTAGAAGCCCGCTGACGTGGGTCTACAGCTGAGCAAGCTGAGCGTCCAGCTGCCCGTTGCGCGGCTCACACCTTCTGGCCGAGGCAAGGGTGTGCGCTAGGCTCGAGAGAGGTGATGGGGGTCCCGCTGCTCTCGGGCGCGGGCAAAGTGGCCCCCTGAGCAGGAGCAAGCGCTATACATGCTCCGCCTTGCTGCGCCCGCCGCATCTGGTTGGCCCTGAGCCGCTGTCAAGCGTTGCGAGCGGTGCAGTTTGCCGCTGCACGATGCGCGCGCGGTGCAAGAGGCCGCGCGGCGGCTCGCGGCCCGAGCACAGCGGCAGGCCGCTCCGCTGCACACGACGTGCGCGCTAGTCGAGTCGCCCCCCCGAGAGCGACACCTCGCGCTGCGCCATCTCACACCTCCCAACGTGGCCTGAGGGTGCATCGAGAGATCAGCCGACAAGCTTCGCTCTTGGTCTAGCGCCATCGGCGCGCATTGCATCGACCGGCCGCAGGGCACCATCGGCGCAGCATCCGCGGCTCATGCGCTACCCGAGGCCGAGGGAACGAGCCAGCCTCAACCCTGCATGCAGAATGGCTCGCTCTCGTCGCCGAGGAGAGATCAGCGCAGCCGATGCGCCAGATGCCTCTCTGACCACGCCCTCTGGCCCCTCCACTGGTGCAGTTCGCAACGCACGGCCCGCACCCGAGCTCGCAGCCGCTGCGGCCCACGGCTGCGTCACGTCCTAGCGTCGTCTTCGCCCCTCTGTCCAAGGTCACCCCTTCTCGAGGTCCGCTGCAGACAGCACAGCACTCCACGGACGCCTGCAGCCGCACGGCGATCAAGCCTTGCGCCCGCTGCATCCTACTCCGCCTTGACCGCTGGATGTCGCCTCTATTGCGGCAGGACCGGTAGTGCAAGACGCCGGGAGCCGGCGGCAGCGTGAGCATTCAAGGCGGAGCTCCGTCATGCCTGCTGCAGCCATTGGACGACCATCGTCATGCCATCGTCACCCTTGCACATCTCAGTGCGCCGCATTCGGAAGCATGCGATTCATTGCGGGGTCGGGGATCGGATGGGGTCAGGCGATGGACGAGGAACCAGATGAGTTGGTGAGACGTGCATGGCGCGAGGCGTGAGATGGGGTCGGAGAGGGGAACTGGGCGATATGGGAAGTAATGCTGAAGGGGCAAAGGGAGAGGGCCGTCCCGAGACGCGCAGCGTCAGAGACCGCTCAAGCGTTCTTGGTGCTGTCCGTGGCGTTGTTGAAGGAGAGCAGGTTGACTGCGAGGGTGCATCAGCAAGCGCAGCGCACGTCGCGCAGCGGATCACTCACTCGTGCCCGTCATGTCCGAGAGGACATCCTTGGTCGCCAGCTTCTGCAGCGCCTTCTTGAGGTCCGACGGCGCAATGACGCTGCCGATGGGCGTCTTGGGGATGGGCGCCACGAGGCTCGTCATCTCCGTCTGCACGCCAAAGAGGAAGTCAAGGAAGTTGGTGGCGAAGCTCGGCAGCGGCAGGCTGTTCAGCACGCTGGCCAGCGGCGAGCGCGAAGCAGCCGCATCGGCAAAGACGGAGGCCGACTGGCCCTCGTAGAACTCGGGCGTGCCGTACACCGAGAGCAGATACGCCAGCAGGCCGACAATGTGCGGCGTCGCCATCGACGTGCCCGAGATGGTGTTGGTGCTCGTGTTGCCCGTGTTCCACGTCGACAGAATGTTGAGGCCGGGCGCGGCAATGTCGACGCACTTGCCCTTGTTCGAGCTGCAGCAGAGAGTGAGACAAGGCGGGCAAGCTCTGTGCGGGGCGACTCACAAGTACGCGCGCTCGTCAGTGATCGTCGAGGCGGCGACAGTCACCGGGTTCTCGGCGCCGGCGGGGCTGGTGTTGCACGCATCGGCGTTCTCATTGCCGGCCGCAACGGCAAAGTGCAGGCCGGCATCGACGGCGCCATTGACGGCCTTGTCGAGACTGGGGCTCTTGCCGCCGCCCAGGCTCATGTTGGCGACGAAGCCCTTGTGCTTCTTGGCCGCGGCCGTGTGCGGGTTGAGCGAGTACTCCTTGGTGATGGCCGTGGCGTTGTTGGCGGCCCAGAGCACGCCGCCAGTGACGTCGGACATGGAGCCCGAGCCGCCGGAGCCGAGCACCTTGACGGCGACGAGCGTCGCCTTCTTGGCCACGCCGTACTTGCGCGAGCCAATCGTGCCGGCGCAGTGGGTGCCGTGTCCGTTGCCGTCCTCGTCGACGTCGTTGGCGGGCATCGTCTTGCCCCAGATGGCGCGCCCCTCGAATTCGACGTGCTTGATGTTGATGCCGGTGCTGCGGGTGCGGGTCAGCATGGCGGCGCGTGCAGCGCATCGCCGCGTTGCAGCTCACTCAATAATGCTGCAGGGCAGGGTCAGCAGCTGCAGGCGTGCGCGACACACACGCCAGACTCACTACGCCACGGTGCCCTCGCCGCCCTTGCTGTTGTAGACGTATTGGCCTGCGCGCGAGCGGGTCAGCGGTGCTGGCGCGCGCAAAGCCCGGCGCGCGCGCTCACCGAAGTTCTTGAAGCCGACCTGCTCGCGGTGCGAGATGCGCACGAGGCCCTGCAAGGAGGAGCATCAGCAGCGTACTATGAGTTGCTGGACTGGCGGAGGTGCCAGAGGGGAGCAGGGGCCACGCGGCGCGCGGCGCACGGGCCGCATGCAGCCGCTGCGCACTGGCGCCGCGCCGCGCCTGCTTACGCGCCGCTCCCTATCTTTACCGCGCTCCGAGCACTCACCCACGGCGAGCCCTTCTCCACCGTCTTGAGGTCGAGCGACGGAGCGCCCTGGACGGCAAAGGCCTCCTCAATCGACTGCTCGTACGGCACGTCCCACTGGCGAGGGTTTGTGGTCAGCTCTGCCGTGGGTCACACGCTGCGGCATACGCACCACCTGGTCGTTGTTGTGCGGCATCTCCGTCGTCGAGACGACGGTGTCCTGCTCGACGTACTCGACGGCGGGGTGCGCGCGGATGTAGGCGAGGACGTCGTCGGAGAAGGCGCCGGCGTAGCCCTGGAAGCGCTGCTCGAGGTCGTAGACGTGGCGGATGCCGGCGCCGGGTGCCGCGTCGAAGCTGCTGGCCTGCGCCGCGGCGACGTCGGCGCGGTGAGCCAGCACGGTGGCGGCGTCGACGCCGGCCTTGAGCACGACGATGAAGTGGCCGGCGATGGGCTGGCGCGCGGGCTGGGCGTGCAGCGGCGCGGGCACGATGCCGTCGTAGTGCAGGCGGCCGGGCGCAAAGAAGGGCAGCTGCGTCGTCGGCGCCGCGGCGACGGTGACGAAGCCGCTGGCGACGGCGAGCGAGAGGAGGGCAAGGAAGCGCATCTTGGGTGCGGAGAGGGTGGGACTGTCGGGGTGGTGCGACAGGGTGGTGGTGGGACGAGCAGGAGCGGCGCAGGGTGCAGCACGCCAGATGCGCAGCGCCGCGACGGCGCGGCGTGGGGTGGGCTAGGCGGCCCGTGAGCGGCCGGCGCGGGGTCTGGCGGTCGGAGCACGCCCAGCAGGCACGCCAGCAGCGACCGCCGCGCGCGCCCTCCACGCGCGGCGGCGCGATAGCCGTGCTGCACCCCTGAGGCGCCTTGGCTCTGGCGCTGCGCGCTGACGGCAGACGCGCAGCCCCGCCCGCCGCAACGGGCCGAGCGCCGCGCCGCGCGCTCGGCCGAGGCCGCACTCCGCCCGCCGCCAGCCATCTTTCGCCTTGTGATGCTGCCTGCGCTGTGTGGCTGTTGCTGAGCCATCCGCATGGGATGCTGCGCCGATGGTGGCGCGGTGGGGTGCTCGGGCGCTGCCGGCGCCGCACAAGAGATGTGCGAGAGGGGCCATCGCGCGCATGACACGAGAGAGAGATGATCAGCGCGCGTCGCGGCGGCGCAGCAGGCACGCCGCCTGTGTCACTCGCGCCGTGCCCTGATCGGCAGGGTACTCCTCCACCTCGGATCGCTCTCGACGCACCGAGCATGCGCCGTAGCGACACAGACACGGAAGGAGGTCGAGAGGCAGTCAAGAGAGGCAATGCTGTCACGGCGGCTGTGCAGCTGAGTGGGACAAGTCGCTGCGTCGGCGGGGCAGCGGACCAGTCCAATGACCTGCGGGGCGCTCGCCCTGCTGAAGCAAGATGAGTGCTCAGTCTTTGTCACCCTCTTGTCGCCGACAGAGGGCCTGATCCAGCTCGCAGCACACCCAGGCTGCTCGAGCGACTGCACATCGAGATATCAAGCGCAAACGCAGCTCCATCGGTGCCGCAACAGCGGTCAGAGGCGCACATCAGCGCGTCGTCGAGGGGGCCTTCGGGACACGTCGCGCGGCTCGCGTGCTCCATGGCGCGAGCGCGACGCAGCGAGCACGCGTTGGCCTGCTCAGAGCTCGCCTCAGCGATGGCCGCTCTGCGCCCTAAGCACAGCAGCAGCAGCAGCAGCAGCAGAGTCATCAGAGGATCCGCCAGCGGTGCGCAAGTGCTGCTCCAGACGAGCTACCTGGCTGCGAGATCGAGCCCATCGAGAGTCGAGTCTCCCAACAGCTTATCACGGAGCGCATGCGGCGCGTGGGGAACAGGCGTCGGGCTGTGCTCGTGCGGGTGCTGCCGGCGTGTGGCCGTCAGCCCGCAGCAAGAGCATCACGGCAGCGAGAGCAGCGCAAGGAGGGCGCGCGCGCCGAGCCAGCAGCGGCAGATGCAGCATCAGGCGGCCGGCCCAGCGCCCGCACCGCACCCGCCGCCCAGCGCTGGCTCCCCGCTCTCGCACCGCGCAGCGCGCCCCTCACTCTTACTCCACAACCACGTCTCCTCGCCGCACTTCCGCTCGCAGCTCGCAAAGCTCCAACGCACGTCTCAGCCTCGTGCAGCTCGGCCTCTCCCGCCGAGCCGCCGCCTCACCTCTCCGACTCCCCTGTCTCGCACAGCCAGCTCGCCCCGCCCGCGCCGTATCAGCGCGCACCACCTCCACCTCGAGAGAGCCCCACAGCCGCCTCGCCTCGCGCACGCCGCAGCTCGCCCAGCATGAGGTGTGTGCCTGTCGCACCCCTCGCACTTTCCTCCAGCTCATCCTTGCACGCCGCACAGCTCGCCCAAGCGCCGCATCGAGACGGACATGATGAAGCTGTGCGTGCGCGCGTGTGCTGCGGCGCACTCGTCAAGCGCTGCCCACTGACCTCGCTCTGCGCACAGCCTCATGTCCGACCACGAAGTCACGCTCGTCAACGATTCGATGCAGGAGTTCTTTGTGCGCTTCCACGGGCCCGAGGAGAGTGAGTGACGCACGTCGCGGGAGCAGTGCGGCGAGAGGAGATGGTCAGGGGCAGGGCGCGAGCAGCCGTGGGGGTGCCACGAGGTGCAGTGCGAGGTGGTGGAGCAGCTGGGGATCGCACGCACGCACGCGCTGTCAGGTAGCACAGCGGCTCGCTGCTACAGGCTAAACCCGCTTCGCTGCGGCTGACGGGCTTCTGCGGCGGCGAGCCTCGGCGGCCTGATATGGCTGGGCCTCGCGCACGTGCGCTGCTGGTCACGAGAGGGCTCGAGCACAGCCGCTCTGAGCCTCGTCGTCGCAGTATGAGCGTGCCGCACATGCCTACAGCGAGCATCGTGCTGCAGCTGTGTGCGCTAGGCGTTCCCATACTCCAGCTGACACGCGCAACCTACAGCACCCTTCAAGGGCGGCGTGTGGAAGATTCACGTCGAGCTGCAGGATGCGTACCCCTACAAGTCGCCGTCGATCGGCTTCATGAACAAGATCTTCCACCCCAACATCGACGAGCTCTCGGGCAGTGTGTGTCTCGACGTCATCAACCAGACGTGGTCGCCCATGTTCGACATGGTCAACATCTTCGAGGTCTTTCTGCCGCAACTGCTGCGCTACCCGAACCCCACCGACCCGCTCAACGGCGAGGCGGCCGCGCTGCTGATGCGCGAGCCAAAGACGTACGACGCCAAGGTGAAGGAGTATGTCAAGCGCTATGCCACCAAGGAGGCGGCGGAGGACGCGGGCGAGGAGGAGCACGATGAGGATGAGGAGGACGAGGAGATGAGCGACGTCGGCAGCTTCAGCGACGACGACGAGCCGCCGATGGACCTGTGAGAGCACGTGCACCGCACTCTCGAGTCAGGCGATGCCGGCCGGTCGGCACCTCGAGATCTCCGCTCGGCAGTGCGGCACCCTCTGCCGACGCTAGTACGGCATCGCTCGGACCTCCCGAGGCAGCAGCCCGAGCGGGTCATCCCGCGGCTAGCCTCTTCGTGCGCCGGTGCATCCCACAGCTAGCCTCTTCCACCTCGGTCTCGTACAACAGCTAGCGCCCTTTCCCGCTCCGGCAGCTAGCGCTCCTCTCTCGCTCCGATGGTCCGAACTTTCTCGTCTGTCGATCTCAGCACGCGCCAAGCCTGTTCCATCCTCCCGACCCACTCTCCTCCACCACTCAGCACACTCCTCCTCTCGGTCCAGCGCCTCGCACTCACAGCCCCCATCACGCCGCCTCACTGCACACTATACACATTGTAGCTCCACACTCATCGTCCCCGTCCAGTCCATGCGCTCGTGCCATCCACGCCTACGCGCGCGTGGCATCTCGCATGCACCACCAGCGTTTCCCCTGCTCCTCACCCCTGACGCGTTCCCTTCTGCGCCCGTAACTTCTCGCCGGTCGATGTCACATTCCCAGCTCAGTCAACACGATGCATATCCCTTGACGTTCGACTGAAGGGCCCTGAAGGGAGAGGAGGGCCGAAGGGCGCAGGGGGATCTGCCGCGGGTACTCGGCATGCTTCTCGTCCGACCTCGCTGTTGCACAAGTCGCGTCTGCACAGCCCAGCTCAGCCGCCAGAAGCAGTGTGCCGACGTCTCGCGCGAGTATCGTTTCTGCGCAGGCTCGGCACGGACGGCATCGCTCCGGCATCGCATAGACAAAAGCCGACGCCAGAGTCCGGGATGCCCGTGCGGCTGCCCGGGTGAGGGCCATTGCTCAACAAGCGTGGGACGGCGGCATGAGGAGTGCGTCGGAAGGAGCGCATGGCATCGCAGCGGCTGGGGTTTGCGAGATGGGGCACCACATGGCTTGCGGCATGCGAAATGGATCGGCACTCAGCCTGTCCCAATGAGGCAGGGCACAGGGTTCGGCTGGCGGAGGGCGCTCGGTGCTGCTGGTACGGCCCAGCTGGGCAGGCGGTGTACCAAGCTGCGGACCTCTTGCGCGCCGAGGCGAACATTGCGGCGTGCAGCGGCCGGAGCAGCACCGATGAGGATATGCGCGACGGCGTCGAGCTGCAAGCTGCGGCGCTCGGAGGTCGGAGGGGCACTACGGCGGCGCCGGTCGCCTTCCATGCTAGCATGCGGCACCAGTGCCGGGCGCCGACGGTGCCTTCGACACCCCATGACGCAAGCTGCTAGCTGTCTCGCCGTCGACGATGCTGCGTCAACGAGCCGGACCGGGACGCGCGAGTGCGCGCATGCACATGCAACGTCTTAGCGTAGGACTCGTGCGTGTGCGACACGGGCAGGCAGGCGGGAGCGGCCTGCGATGCCGGCCTGGTGGACGAGCTGGCTCACGTCGCCGACGACAGTGAGCCAACACTGGGCGTGCTGCTGGGCGTGCGGTGCGCCGGGCGGCGCGAAAGACTCCGAGAGCCCCTTGCGCCCGACATCTGGTGCGCCGGGCCCGATGCCGGCGGCTCGGGACGCTGCTGCGCATGCGGGCGCTAGCCGTGCGAAGTGTCCGGCCGGGATGCGCTGGGCGTGCATGTGCGAGGCGAGTGAGGCCATGCCCATGGACGCCAGGGGGCAGCGCGCGCGACTCCGGGGCGCGGCAGCGCTGCGCGCCAGAGCGCAGGCCTCATGCCCGGCGCGGCGCGCGCTAGCGCCGGGCGCGGCATGCGACGCGGCGCGTGGCCGCCAGCAGCATCTCTCTCGCCTTGCCTCCCCACCGCCATCCTCAGCAAGTCATCTCGATGCCGCACTCTTGCCGCCAGAACACCACGGCGCTGCACACGCACGCCTAGCGCACCTCCTTAGCGCCCGGCGTAGCGTCGTTGTAGCGCAGCCACATGTAGCACACTGGTACAGCAGCTCGGCGCCGTTGCTGCGCCCATCCAGCGGCCCCGACGCGCGACGGGCCGCGCTTCTCGTGTTTGCGGCAGAGGAATGGATGTGCGATGAGGGCAGGTGCGGCGCCATCTTGCCCTCCGAGGCGCACCAGGGCCGACGCCAGAAGTGCAGCAGCGCAGCAGGACAGCACGCCAGCGCTGCGCCATGTCGCCTGCCATGGCGTCGACGTCGTCCGACGCTGCCCCTTGCCGCACAGGGATACATAAGGCGGCCGCTTGCAGACCCCACTCCTCCTTTCCATCATCCTCTCCATCTCGGCCTCTCCCCTTCCCCGCCCTAGTCTCTCACTACCTACTACTACCTTACGCCTGCCTCTTCTCTCCTAATCCTCTTTTGCCCCCTTCTTCAACACCCTTCGCTCGTCTAATATGCGCTCCTCCACTCTCATTCCCCTGGCCCTCGGCCTCGCCGCGCTCGCGAGCGCCCAGGACATCACCCCCGAGGTCGACAGCATCAACGCTTCCGCCTCGGCCGCCGCCCAGGTCGCCGCCAGCCTGGTGTCCGACCCGACGCAGATCCTGAGCGCCGTCGACTCGCTCGGCAACGTGAGTGGCCGCGCTCATGGTGCCCAACTGCATCTTCTGACACCTTGCAACTCAGCTGCTCCCTCGCCAGGACGCCGCTATCACGGCCAGCGCCACTGCTGCGCTCGTCGCCGCCCTGTCCGGCCTGGACCTGCCCACTCTGCCCACGCTCCCGGCTCTTCCGGCGCTCCCGGCCCTCACGCGCCGCCAGGACTCGGCTGCAATCTCCGCCAGCGCCGCCGTTGCGCTGCAGGCTGCGCTCGCCGGCCTCAATCTGCCGGCTCTGCCCGCCCTCCCGACGATCCCGGCTCTCCCGGCTCTGACGCGCCGCCAGGACGTCGCCGGCATCAGCGCCGACGCCGCTGCAACGCTCGCCGCGGCTCTCTCGGGCCTCAACCTGCCTGCGCTGCCGCAGCTGCCCGTCAACCCGCCCACGCTGCCCGTCCTCCCGATTGCGCGCCGCCAGGCCGCCGCCGGCCAGCTCGCCGCGGCGCTGCAGGGCTCGCTCGTTGTCACGCCGCAGCTGCTCTCCGTGCTCGGCCTCCAGACCGGCGCCACGACGGCCCAGATCGTCGCAGCCCTGGCCATCCAGGCGGGCATCACGCTCCCTGGTGCGGCCGTCTCCGCATCGGGTGCCGGCAGCGCATCGCTCGCCACGCGCCAGCTCGGTCTGAACGCATCGGCCGCTGCGGCCCTCGCTGCTCAGCTGCAGGGCCTCGGCATCGACGCGTCCGTCCTTGCCTCGCTGGGTCTGACGGTCGACGGTTCGGTCCAGCGCCGCCAGCTCGGTCTGGACGCCTCGGCGGCTGCGGCACTCGCTGCCCAGCTGCAGGGCCTCGGTATTGACGCGTCCGTCCTTACCTCGCTCGGCCTGACCGGCACGGTGGGCGCTGCCGGTGCTCAGCTGGCCGGCCAGGCCGGTGCGGCAGCTGCGCTCTCTTCGCGCCAGCTGAGCATCAGCGCGGCCGCTGCGGCAACCCTGGCCGCGAACCTCCAGGTTCTGGGTATCAATGCCAACTTGATCGCTGCCCTGGGCCTCAATCTCGGTGCCGCGCAGCCCACCATCGACGCCTCCGCGGCGGCACAGGCTGCTGCCGGCCTCACGCGCCGCCAGGCGGACGGCTCGGTGGACATCGCTGCCACGCTGGCTGCGCAGCTCTCTCTGCTCGGCCTCGACGCTGGTCTGCTCGCCCAGGTGGGTCTGAGCATCAGCGGCCTGCTCGACCTGGTCTCCGAGCTGCCCAGTGTCGACGTGGCTGCTGCTGGTGCCGCTGCCGCATCGGGATCGATCGCCACGCGCCAGGCTGCGGTCGGTGCGCTCGACATTGTTGCCGCCCTCGGCGCGCAGCTCTCCGTCGCGGGTCTGGACGCCTCGCTGCTCGCCTCGCTGGGTCTGACTGTGGATGCAGTCGCCGCAGTGGTGGCCAACGTGGCCGTGCCGGACTTCAGCGTCGCCGCAGCCGCAACTGGCAGTGCCGCCATTTCGCGCCGCCAGCTCGTTGCCGCTGGCAACCTGGCCGCCGCTGCCTCCATCAGCGGCCTCTCGTCCATCGACGCCGCAATCGTGGCCGAGGCGACGGCGGCCTTCAACAACGTGATCCAGGGCGCCGCCTCGGCCTCAGGATCGGGAAGCGTGAACACGCGCGCCATCAACCTCGATGCCGCCGCCCAGGGTGCTGCGGCCCTCGCTCTCCCCGCGCTCGTGGACATCACGGAGCCGATCACGGCTGCTGGTGCCGCTGCCGCCCAGGCGTCGCTGGCTAGCTCGAAGCGCGACGTGACGCTGCCGCCGCTCTCGGTGGCGCCCGGCGTCGGCCCCGTCGCCAACGAGATCGTGTCGGAGGTGCAGGCTGCCGCTGCCAACCCGGCCTCGCTGGCCGGCCTGCCGGCACAGATCCTCGACACGGTCGCGCCGCTCGCCTCGGGCCCCGTGCGCCCGCCGGTGGAGAAGCGCTTCCAGCGCCGCCGTGCTGCGCACTGGTAGAGGGTGATGCTCCACCTCTGCCCTCTGCCTCTTGCCTCGCCTCGCTTCCCTTTCCTCTACTACTTAGTCCCGCACATAATTACCCTGCGCTGCCCGATACGAGCCTCTCGCGCTGTGGCTGCCAGCCAGCCAGCCAGCCTATTACTCTACCTACTACTATTTGCCGCCGAGCTCAATCCACATTCCTTTGGACTACTTGCGAGAGTGAGCCAGAGAGAGGCCGGCAGGGGGAGGCGGGTAACATGGGAACAGCCTGCGCACGAATGCTCTGGAACAACGACTCTGCTAAGGTAAGCACCCGCCGCGCCCCGGCGTTCGCAAATCCGCGGAGAAACGGCGGGGCAGGCCGCCCGCCGCGCAGCGCAACACACGCGCCACCAAGATTCAGATTTCAGCGCCCCACGAGCGAGATGGCCGACGCGCGTCAGGCCACCCTCGCCCTGGAGCCAGGCTGTGCTGCGCTGACAAGTGGGAATGGCTGTGCGCTGGAGCTCCGCTCCGTTGCGCCTGCGCTGACGCTGCACGATGCGCGCCAGAAGCGATGAAGCTCGCGAGGTGGCGGCGTGAGTCGCGCGAGAGGGATCTGCCGGGGCGGCGCGCCCAAACGCCTGATCTGCGCAAGGGGTTCAACGGCGGTGCGCGAAAGTGCCGCGGCCGGCGCGCCACCGCCGGCGCGCGTGTCAGGCGGCAGGCGGCGGCAAGCTTCGCGCGTGCGTGCGGCGGCGCGCGTTCTAAGGGCGCATCTCGCCCGGCGCTGCGCCCTCCCCACCACACCACCACCTCCCCTCCTCACCATGGACGTCCTCGCCTCCTCGCAGGCCTGGGTGAACAGCACCGTCGCGGGGCTCATCAACCCCGCCACGACGGCCTGGGCCGCCGACCTCTACCAGGGCACCGACGTGACGCAGCTCAACTGGGCCGAGCGCGCCTGGATGGACTGGTACCTGTACTGGGGCAACCCCGTGCTCGCCACCGGCGTCATGAGCTTCGTGCTGCACGAGGTGAGTTGCGCGACGACAAGGGGCTCTGGTGCTGTGCTTTGCGTTGTCGTGTGGCCCGCTGTGCTGCGTGGCTGCCTGACGCCACGCAACGGGCTGTGGCGCCTACAACGCTGCTTCGAGCGCCGCTGTGAGCGCCGTGTCTGGCGACATGCAGCGCCGGCAGTGCTCTGCAAGCTCGCGAGCCTCGCCGCTGCTTCGTGTCCGCATGCCGCTGGTACTACGCTGCAGCGGCCGTAATGTCGCGCCACTCGCAGCACACTCGCACCCGCCCCCTCGCGCCTATGCTCACGCCCCACACACAGCTCGTCTACTTCGGCCGCGCCATCCCGTGGGTCATCATCGACTCGATGCCATCGATGCGCAAGTACAAGATCCAGGACGTGAGTGGCGCCGAGTCGCAGATCCGCAGACTGGCCCTCACACATTTCTGCAGGACCGCGTGGCGACGCCGAAGCAGCAGTGGGACTGCACCAAGTCCGTGCTGCTGAGCCACTTCACCGTCGAGCTGCCGCAGATCTGGTCCTTCCACCCGATCTGCGAGTACTTTGGCCTGGCGACGCACTCGGTGCCGTTCCCGTCGATCCTCACGATGGCGTGGCAGATCGGCCTCTTCTTCGTGTTCGAGGACACGTTCCACTACTGGGCGCACCGCGCGCTGCACTGGGGCCCGCTGTACAAGCACATCCACAAGAAGCACCACGAGTTCAGCGCGCCGTTCGGCCTGGCCGCCGAGTACGCGCACCCGCTCGAGGTCTTCATTCTCGGCTCGGGCACCATCGGCGGGCCGTTCCTGCTGTGCGCGCTCACGAAGAACCTGCACATCCTCACCGTGTATGTGTGGATCGTCATGCGTCTCTTCCAGGCCATCGATGCGCACTCGGGCTACGACTTTCCCATTTCGATGCACAACTGGATGCCCTTCTGGGCCGGCGCCGACCACCACGACCACCACCACATGGCCTTCGTCGGCTGCTACTCGACGAGCTTCCGCTGGTGGGACCACCTGATGGGCACGGACCTCAGCTACAAGCGCTACCGCGCGCGCCAGGCCGAGCAGAAGAAGGAGGCGGCCGCCAAGGGCCTCTCGTGGCCGACGAAGCCGCCGACGAAGAACGCCAAGGGTGCGCTACTCGAGAGCAAGAAGGCGCAGTAGGCGCTGCTGCAGTAGTGACATGCTCTGCGGCCTCCGGCTTGAGACACAGCACCTAATAGTACCCCCTTGCCCGCTGCCGTCTGGCCGCTGCTGCTGCGGCCACAGCTGCTCTGTACATAGTGACGCGATCGATGCTAGATGATCTATGGATATTGTGCCGCCTCTCCTCTGGCCCTGCCTCAGTTGCCCTGGTTGGCGCCGAGCTTCTTGGCCAGCGCGGCCAACCGGTTGTGCTCGAGGATGTCCCTGCGTGCACAGCGTCAGCAGTCACCCTCCGCTGCCCTGGCCTGCGCACTCACTCCTGCTCCCAGGGATACTCGATCCACAGGTCCGCCGTCGTCTTGGCCGCCCAGTAGAAGCAGCCCTCGCCGATGCCCGACTCGGTGATGGGCTCGTTGGCGCGCGTCGTGTCGGCGGGGTAGATGGGCAGCGCGCCCTTCTTTGTCCGCTCCTTGTTGTTCACCACAAAGATGCCGAAGCGCGTCGGCGGGAGCGCGGCGCGCTCCTCGGGCGTGAGGGCGGCGAGCGCCGTGCGCACGTCCTTCGACAGCTGCGGGAGGCGTGAGTGTCAACTGCGACGGTGCACGCCAGCGACACACGCACCTCGTTGTATGCGTACTGCAGCGTCGTGCGGCTGTCGTCGACCTCATCCTGAGTGTGGGGTCAGTGGTGCGCCTCGGCGAGTCTACGCATCTCCTTCGCATCGCCTGCAGATCCCCTGCGCACTACCTGCACATCTGAACGCTGCCGCGCATCTCCAGCACATTACTGTCTTTCGCAGCTCCCGCACATCGCCGCTGCGCCCGCCCTGCCACTCACCACGATCAGGATGTTCTTGCCCAGCAGTCCCTCTCCCTTGCCCTCCTCAACGCCGCGCGCGCCCCGGATCGCCTTGGCGTCGAGCCACTGCGTGCGCACCACCTCCTTGCCCAGCGTGCCTGCCGTGCTGGCGGCCGACTCCTCGTACAGCGCCAGCGAGACGACGGAGATGGGCACGTTGCGCATCTTGGCCGGGTCGATGAGCGACGGCCGCTTGAGGAAGGTGCGCAGCACGCGCGCCGGGAAGAGGCCGCCGCCGGCGACGGCCAGGATGACGTCCTGGTAACAAAGAGGCAAAGAGTGGCAGAGCGGCAGCGTGGCGGCGTAGAGGTGGACCCGTGGCAGAGCATGACAGAGTAAGGCAGAGCAGAGGCAGAGCAAGTCAGCGCTGCGCACCACTCCTCAGCCCACACCGCACAACGCACCGGGTCGAACTCATCCTTGATGCGCTTGGCCGCGCCGCAGATGTGCTCGTGCACCTCCTCGTATGTGATGCGGTAGTGGTCGTCGGGCAGCGTGTCGGCCATGCTGGGCGGTGAGGTGTGGGGGTGGGGTGATGACGGGCGTGAGAAGGTCGCTCGCTATCGCCAAATTTGAGGCCGCGCGCGACTTGGCCGCCGAAAGTCCCACGCGGCGGAGCCGGATTCCGCGGAGCTGCGCCGCGCGCCCAGGAGGCGCCCCGTGCGGCGACAGTGCTGCAGGTGATGAGCAAGACCGGGTGTCCTCGCGTCGGGCCTTGGCCGCTTAGTATAGATCGAGATGCTGCGAGGCATGGTTGTGCTTGCTCAAGCGAATCGTAGATGGCGGCCTGCGCAGGCCTGGCCTAGGTGGTCCTGCGCTGCTTCGCAGCGCGACGCGTGACACGCCCCGCTGCACCCCCTCAATCGGCGGCACGCGCGCGTCCCTGTCGTCCCGACCACGACATCAAGAACCAGCAAGTCACACAGATGCATCGAAGGCTATGTGCGCCTCTCGCACGAATCGCAGACATGCGCACGAGAGCAGACGGCGGTCACCTTCGGCCGGGAGGCACCCAGAGCTCGTCTTAGCCGGCGGCGCAAGCCCCTCGGCTGGGCAGCGACGGCCCGTGAAGCCAGCACGGCGGCGGTGTGCTAGGCTATCGCACCGCGACTGTGCTTCGCTGCCGGACGAGTAGCGGCGCAGTCTCGTCCGAGAGACGCTTTTCTCGATGCGGTGTCGTGGACGGCAGCGCTGTGGGCAGCGACGCACGGATCGCGTGTCGCCAGCTCGTCCCGCCACGGCGGCCCATGACGAGATCGCTGCGGCCACCTGCTCCGCCGCCGTCGCCGTCGCCGCTGCTGCTGCGCCGACCTGCAGCGCAGAGCCCGAGCCGAGGCGATCTGGGCCGGCCTCCTCTCGGGCCTTGTCGCTTCGGCCTCTCACTGCGCCGCCTGCATCCTGCCGCCTGCCGCCCACCTGCAGGCGCCCGCATACCCGGCTCAACTGCACGGCGGCGCAGAATGAATGCGCTGGGCGGGGAGCGCAGCGTAGGGCGACATGGTCGTGTGGCCCAGCGTACCGGCGCTGGACGCCACCTCGGCGTCTGCCTCGCAGCTCGGCGGGCGCAGTAGGAGGCCTGTGGGGTGGCGCCTGCAACACGTGCCGCCTCGCGCCTCCCGCTGCTCATGCGTAGTGCGCCCGAGGCTCAACGGACCGCTGTATACTCGGGTGGCGAGCAGGCGATCGGCCAGTCGTCGCAGGGCGCTGTCCCAACGGATGTCGAGCAGGCGATCGGCCAGTGGTCCGGCCAGAGCAGGCTGTGCTCCACCCGGTGGCGAGTCTCGCGGGTAGTAGATAAGGTGCTCGGCATCGACAACTCAAGGCCAAAGCACCTTCACGCCCCCGACACGACCTCTCTCTCTCACGACTCCCCCAACACACCTCCATTCATCGAGACACTTTCGCTCCACCGACTCGCCTAATCCCTCGCTCTCTCTCTAATCCCGCTCCGCGAGCGGAGCCCACATCTCGGCGCCGCCGCGCTTGGACCGCGCCTGCGCCCACTTCATTTCCGGCACGGGGCCCCAACGCTGCCAGCGATCTTGACGATCACGCCCGGCAGTAGCCCTGCGTCGGGAACGCCCAGTGTGGCCCGCCGCATCGGTACCAAGCCCTCCGCCCTCGCCCCTGATTCTCTAATTCTCCGACTCTCACTCGCCTCCCTCTCGTCTCGTTAATATCAGCTGTCACGTCGCAGCTCTCTCTTCTTCTCTCCCACCTCTCGCACCACTCTCGTGTCACTCCATCTCGCACTAGCACTTCCTCGCCGACGCTGGACGTCGCCTCGCACGTCAATCACGCTACATCTGTGAGTCGCACGCGTCCAGGGGGTGAACCGTCGCGCCTCATCAACCGGCATCCGGCTCGCGGGTCAGCGCTGCTGCTGTCCTGTCTGCGCAGCACGAGATTGCTTCCGCATAGTGCCCGTCGACGACCTCTTGACGGGCTAGAGCGGCGGTCCAGCGAGAGTCTAGCGTCGATCCAGCGGCGGCCCCGCTCCCGCCGTGTGCGGTCAGCCTGCGTCTCGCTGTGTGTGCGGCTGGCCTGCGAGTCGTTCTCTGTGCGGGTGGCCAGTGCTTCGCCATGCGTGCGGCTGACCTGAGAGGCGGCTCGCTGTGGACGTCTCCGTGCCTCTTATCCCTCTCGCCACCATCACTGACACATCCTTGCCCGTCATGCCACGCACCCGTGCTCAACAGCGCTCTCAACCCGTCGTCAAGCCTAAGCGTAGCTCGCCTCAGGGCTCGCCTCGCAGCTCAACGGCGCGTACATCGCCTCGCACCTCGCCTCGCAGCCCGACGGTGCACAGCTCGCCGCGCATCTCGCCGCTCGCGCCACTTCGCTCGCTCCTTCGCGACATCTCGATCGACCAGCCGCTTCCGCCTCGCCTACCACCTCTCGCCAACATGAGCGAGCGCAACTTCCTCGGCGACGCAAGCCACGGCACGGCTCTCGGCCTGAGCTTCCCGACGAGCGAGCCTGCGCACGACTATTCTGCGTGGCCGCAGCCGCCGCCGCCGCCGCAGCCGCATGCACTGCCCTACTCGCACAGCTACAGCGGCCTCGGCACGCCGATGATGCCGTCGATGTCGGCACGCAGCATGTCCGACTCGCACCTCGGCGGCAGCGGCACGGCGTTCGAGCAGCACACGCATCTGCTGCCGCCGAACGTGGCGTCGGGCGTGGCGCCCCATATGGCGGCCAGCCTGTCGGCGACCTCTGCGGCGTCATCGCCCATGCCGATGCACCGCCGTCGGCCGTCGGTCTCGTTTGACGGCGGCTACATGACGTCGTCGCCGCTCAGCATGCACACGCACTCGGCACGTCCAAGCCCACGGCACGACGGCCAGCTGCTGCTGCCGCCGGCGACGCTGCGGCGCGCCGAGAGCTTCAGCAGCTTCATGGCCACCGACCACTCGCCGGAGAGTCTCTTCAGCAACCTCTCGCCGTCGCCATCGAGCAGCCTGCACCGCAGCCCGCTGCACACGTCGGCGCTCGACGCCCTCGCCGGCGTGCCGAACCTCGTCGGACGCAAGCGCACGTCGCCTGGCCGCCCGGCGCCGGCGGCACTCGCGGGCCGCAAGCGCAACAAGATGTCGCGCGAGCAGCTCGCGGCGCTCGAGGCCTTCTTCGAGAAGAACCGCAACCCTGTCGGCGCCGTGCGCGAGCACCTGGCGCGCAAGCTGGACGTCAACGAGCGCAGCCTCCAGAGTGAGTCAGAGGAGCATGTCACTCCGGCAGAGCATATGCTGACCCTCCTTCCAGTCTGGTTCCAGAATCGGTGAGTATTGTACCAACGCATCGGCGGCGGGCACGGCAGAGGCGGAGCCGTGCCCGGAGGGGGACCACATGGCACCTCACGCGATGCACGCCCGCGCGCTGGGCGGAACTGTCTGGTGCTCTCGCTGACATCGGCCCAGCCGCATCCGGCATCCCCTCAACAACAGCCGTGCAAAGTCCAAGCAGGCGAGCGACAACGTCGAGGCGTACGCGTGGCAGCTCGATGGCCGTGCCATGAGCTTCGACGCGAGCGACCCAAGATTCGACGGACATGCCCGGCGCATGTCTGCCGAGCCGCGACGCACCGTCGCCGACAGTGAGTGCAGCTAGCGCGAGCACTTTGCATGCGTGCTGACTCTTCTCCAGCGGCCGTCGAGCTGCCGGCGCACTATCTGCGCGTCGGCGAGTGGCGCCGCATCGCACCGACTTGCTACTTCTCCCTGCGCAACCAGTTCTTTGCGTGGGTGATTACGAGCGACAGCCTCGGCTACAAGCTCGAGCTGCCGTGGAAGGCCGTGCGCAGCGTCTACTTTGACGCCGTCCAGGCGGATCCGGCGGACGGCATTGCCGGCCCCGTCGGACGCGCCGTCGTCGAGCTCGACCGGCCGCCGTACTTCTACATGGGTGAGTAGGCGGCCGCAGCATGTGACCGTCGCAGGGCGGAGGCACATCAATCCGCTTGCTGTCCTTCGCTGCCCGCCGCTGTCTGCTACTCGCCACCTCCGCTCATTCGCACTGCATGCTGACACCCCCTGCAGAGGTCTTCCGCAGCACGGCCAAGGACGAGCGCGAGGGCAAGCGCAAGCCCGCCTGGCGCCAGTGCGACGACTTCACCGAGGGCGCGCAGGCGACGCACTTCTACACGCACGAGCTCGTCGGCCCGTATCACGAGCTGCGCAGCGCGCTCATCGAGATCTCGCGCACCGAGGGCGCCGTTGGCAAGCTCGTGCGCTTCGGCCCGACGGCCATGATCGACGGCGCGCCGCCGCTCGTGCGTCCGAGCATCGCTGCGGCTGCACCGCCAGGCTACCCCGTCGCCGGCCAGGCGCCGCTCGAGTACCAGCAGCCGTATGACGGCATGTACGATGCGCCGTACCCGAGCGACGCGCTGCCCATGCGTGCCGAGCCGGCGCCGGCGTGGCACTGGCAGGCGGGGCAGGACGCACAGCCGCCGCACGCCCTGCAGCACTTTGCGCCGCCGCCGCAGGTGTACGAGCCGCAGGTGTACTACTCGCCGGCCGACGTCGGCACGGCGCATCTCGCGCCGCCGCCGACATCGCACTCGCGCTCATCGCCGGCGAGCGACGGCTCGCTGGACCCGCAGCTCGTCACAGCGTCGCTGTCGCTCGACGCGGCGTGAGGACAACGTCTGCACATGCGTCCCCGCTGTCGCTGCTCGACCCCCGCGCTCGACGCGCTAGCTCTCCCAGCACATCTCTCTCTACCTTGTTCCTCTAATACCGCACTAACGACATACACGAGCGCAACGACCATTGACCAATCGAGTGAGGTGTGCGCGAAAAGGTGTCGGCTTGAGCAAGTGGCCCGAAGTCGTGGGCTGCGAGGCGATGGCGCAGATCGGAGACGGTGCATGGCGCTGCTGTCGGCGGCGCGCTCATAGCATGTCGTCTTATGCAGGGGCCCGGTACAGAGCGCGGACCAGCGCTCGACGAGGTACGAGCATGGCGCTGATGCCGCTGCTCGAAGGCCGAGGGCTTGAGCTGCGGAAGTCAGCTGTGGCCGAGCTGACGCTTGCATCCCAGCGACGAGTCCCGCAGAAGCACGATGAGTCGACGGACGAGCTGCGCATGCCAGTTTTGATCGCCGCTGGCTTGTCCTCGAGCGCTAGACCAGCCAGCCGCGGCACTGCTCGCCGTCGCGCAGCGGGCCGGCGACCTCGGGCCACTGCACGACGAAGCGATCGACGAACGGCCGCACGAGGCGCGCCGTGAGGCTGAGCGAGCGTACGCGCGCCCAAGACTCGATGTACACGAGCTGCGGAGATGGTAGGCCGAAAAGCTGCAAGAGAGTGGTCAGCTGCGGAGCATCGAGGCACTGAGCGTGAGCACGGCCGACGTCATGAACCTCGACGCAGAACACTTCGCGCTGGATTACTGCCCGCACGACGGTGCGTAGCTGCTCTCGGCGCATTTGACCAAACCCACAGGTAGCCAGCCCGTCGGCCCTCACATACCGCGCCGACTCATCCGAGCGACGTCTACCTCTCGCTGCGCTGCCATCGCAAGCGACGTGTCTCGCCGCTGGCCGGGTGTCTCCTCCAGCATCTCCCTCTGTTCTCGCCCCCGCCGCTCTGCGCCTCTCGTTCGAGCCACGCCTCGCAGCCTCCCACTCACCCTTAGCACGTACACGCTCGCCACGAGTGGCACGCACGTCCCCGGTCCGTTCATCAGCAGCATCTCCGGCCCCACGCGCCTTCTCCCCGCGCACAGCTGCGGCAGCACTATGGCCTGCATGCAGCCCGCTAGCGCCACCACCGTACTCGCCGGCGCCGAGAGGAAGCTCTGCTTGACGGCCCGCGCGCGAGGCAGCGTCACGACGTGTGCGCTACCGCCGAGCCGCGTCTCGAGTGCTGCGGCCTTGCCGCGCGAGTGCATGTCGCCTGCCGAGATGAAGTAGGTGCGCGGCGTGTAGCGCTCAGGCGGGAGTGCGGAGAGCATGGCGATGAGCTCGGCCGTGTGGCCGCCTGAGAAAGAGGTCAGCAGAGCAGAAGAGGCCACCACTGGCAGAGCAGAACAGTCCATCACCGCTGAGAGCAGCTGCGGAGCGAGGCAAGCTGCCATCTACAGACGTTGGCGAGCCAACCAGCTGCGGCAACAGCATACACGCGAGGACACCCTCGCACGCCTTCGTGCCCATCTGCGCTAAGCACCGCACCGCCTGCCACTTACCGCTGCCAAGGAACGCCGCCACGCTGCACGTCTCGTGTGCCGCCCTCGAGCGCTGCGGCTGCCCGCGCACTCGCAGCGCCGCCCACATGCGCCACAGCAGCAGCGCGGCGACGACGAGGAGCAGGATCATGGCGTGCGGGGCATGGCGAGGTGGAGGTGGGACGCGAAGCAGCGAGCGACGCGCGTGCAGCGCCCAACGGCAAGAGACGCGCACACGCGCCGGAGTAACTCGCATGCGAGCTCCTCCCTCGCAGCCCCAACAGCGTCGCGCCTAACCGAACCACCTCTTCTTCTTCACAATGGCATCGCGACGGATGGGTGACACGGTATGAATGCGGAGGAGTGGTGTTCAGGTGTGACGCAAGGGAGCCATGAAAGAGGACAGTCGAAGCGACAGTGAGTTGGCGGCGAGCTGGTGACGTGGGCATGGCGAGCGCGAGCCGAGTCGAGAGCGCAGTCGAGTCGAGCGGGCCCTCGTGCGCCGTCTCGGATGAGGTCGGGGTTGACGAGCAGCTCCAGAGCGCTGGTGTGAGAGGCTTGCGCAGAGGCGCAAGCATCCGCTCAGCGCCCGGAGCGTGCCTACAACCTCAAACTCTCACAGAGGCGGAGCCATGCCGTTGAGAGGTGGAGAGCCGGCGCCGGCGGCGAAGGCGGATAGCAGCGCAGCAGATGCAATGCGCGCGGCGGTGATCATCTTGAGAGTGCTGGCGAGCTTCGTAGCGAGCAGCCGAGAGATGCTCCATCGTCTGGACGCGCGGCATGAGCTTCTGTTCGCGGTGGAGTCGAGCTGGCGGGAGACACCCACAGCGCCAAGGAGAGGCGCGAGCTTGTTCGCGCTTCTGTCCAGCGACGCGGCGGCGATTCCTGATCGACATCACACAGGCAGAGCCTCGCCGGCCAGAGGCAGAGAGCCGAACGCGGCGCCGGCGTCGAGAATGCAGCCGAGCACCGCAAGCCTTGAGCGCCATCTTGAAGGAGCAGAGGCCGCCGCGAGCCTCCACGGCGCCGAGGCTATGTACGCACGGCCTTACCGGCGCGCATCGCGCCCGCACGGCACCATGCGTACGCAGCACCAGACGTGGAGTGCATCGGCGACCAGAGCGCTGGCGAGAGGCGGAGAAGCGACGACGGCGCCGGTGTCGAATGTTGACAGCGGTGCGGCGAGGTCCACCATGCTGCAGCGATGCTGGACGGCGCCGATGTTGACCGGGTAGCGGCGCCTCGAGCCGGCGATGGCGCTGCTGTGGACGTGTGCTGGAAGGATTCCACCCACCGCCGAGCGAATTGCACTCCACGCGGGGAGCAGAAGGCACTGGGGTGATGGAAGCCATCCGAAGAGACGCGCAGAGCACTGCCACCGATCCGAGGCCGGCCGCAAAACGACGACGAAGAGCTTTTACGCGTGACACAGGACATGGAGTGACTACTGATCGCACCCTATGCGGCAGAGTTGCTCTGCCGGAGAGAGCAGGATGAGAAGTCGTCCATGGCCTGCGACGCGCGCACAAGCGCCGAGACTCGACGATGGCTGCGCTGCCGGCGACCTTGACATTCCGCCGCAAGGATGGCGTCGGCCCGATGGCACAGAGTTCGACCTTACGACGAGGCGCGTTCAGCTCGCTCAAGCTGAACACGATCGACGAAGAGCTCTGCGACATCGAGTCACACGTCGCACCTCGCGACGGACATCGAGCGAGCCGAGCAGCACATCGTAGATCGGCGACAGACGGCACGATGCACTATCGGCTTACTTGAGGGTTGCGATGCTGCACGTCCGAAGTCGTGGGCGCGTCGGCATTGCAACCTTCAAGTTCGCTGGCACTACGTCGTGGCGGCTGTCGGCTCGGGAGACGCGCCGAGAGGCGACTGCTGCGGAGCGCTCCGCCGGGTGCAGAGTGCGGCGTCCTGCATCGCGAAGGCAGAGGGGGCGGATCGGCGAAGATGTTCGCTAAAGCACCTGCTCTGCCCAGGCTACAGCGGACCGCGCATTCATCACCCATCTGAGCGCTCCTCGACGGCTGCCCTAGGCTCGGTGCGGAGATCCATTGACGCTCGCCAATCGCGCGATCGCACGGGACGCTCGACGGCGACGGGGCGAACGCCCAGCCGCAGCTCGATCGTCACGTGCAATGAAGCAGATCGTGCGCCTCGATGGATCTCTGCACCATGTAGCGAGCGCGAAGGCGGTCGAGTCCGGTGATGTACATCGACCGAGCGAGGACGCTGAATGAAGGCTCAGCCTCATCGACGAGTAGCTCGTGCAACGAAAGATCCTCGCGCTTGATCGTCTTGGGCGCATCGTCGGTGTAGACGAGCTGGCTAGCCCGTGCACGCCTCGAAGCTGTCGACGCCGGCGATGGCGCAGCGCAAGGACGAAGGGCGAGCAGGCCGATGACGGGCCTCGTGGGGGCACTTGGTGGCGAGGTGAGCACGACGCTGTGCGCTGACGTCCTCGCGCACCGAAGGAAACGTGGCGATCGAAAGCCATGGTGCCCTCTGTGCGAGCGAAGACGTCCGACAGCGTTCTGCCTTCCTTGCAGACCGCATCGCGTGGTGACTGGCGCGAGCTCAGCGCCCGGCGTTCTTGATGCCAATGACAGCGCAGACCAATGGCGAGGCGTGTCGAGGTGAGTGCCGGCGAACGAAGAGATCACTGCGACGCGCTGGGATGTAGCCGATGCATGTTGGGAGCCGACTGAGCAGGCGCAGCGCCGATGACAAGGCGAAAGACGAGCAGAAGTGTTGAAACGGAGCTCGTGACGCGGCTGATCGAAGAAGGCAGGTCGTGGCGCTGTTGGACAGCGAGCGTGAGCAGCTGCGCCAAAGAAGAGTTGGATGTCACTTCGACTTACATCACGCGATGGAGCGGCAGACGATGACGGGCTCGCTGACTGAGCGGCCGACGGCTGTATGTGCCGCAGACGACGTGTCGTGTCGAGGCGGATGCTGAGCGTGCGAAAGTGCTGCTGTAGAGCGCTGCGAGCGCGGGACGGCGACACAGTGCCCGATGACAGCGAGGTGCGATGTGCGCGTGGGCATGAGAGAATGTGGGCGTGAGTAATGTGAGGAGGACGACGGGGGCGAGGACGTTGACGAGGAGCCGGAGAGACTGCGTGGGCCTGAGAAGTATGGGCGGGAGAGGTGTGGGCCGGAGAGCGTGGGGCCAAGAGGCGCAGGGTCGTGACGAGGGCAGGATGGAGAGGCGCGGTCCGGGGTGGGAGTGGAGCTGGAGGATGTGGTCGGGAAGGAAGGAGCAGCCAAGGGGGCTGCACCTTTAACCTCTCTGGAGCCGACTGCCGTCGCCGCTCGACCGCCGCCCGAGCGCAGCAACTGCCTCTCGCGGCCTGCCTTCGACGTTGTTGCGGTCGACCAGAGCGCAGATCGCCTTGACGCTGCCGGATTGCTTGCGGCGCGCCCTCAGCGCGCAGCAATCAACGGGCAGGTCAGGCACTCGGACGAGTGTCGGCACGGCCCGTGTAGAGCGGTCTCCTGCGCGGCGCGCTGGAGGTGCACAGGCGTGGGAGCACGCTGACGAGGTGGTGTGCTGCGCTCCTCGGCGTCAGTCTTCGCTTTTCGAGGGCAAAGGCAGCGGCTTTGGAGCTGATTGCTGTGTGGGTAGCAAGAGCGCAGTATGCCGAGCAACGAGGCGCAGCGCTGCGCCAACGTCGCGGCGCCGGTGGCCCTGTTGCCGCGCGCAGCACGGTATGTGACGCGCCGTAAGCGGCGACACGGCCTTCAGTGCAGCTACCTGCTACGGCAACATTACTGCCAGACGCAGGACACATTAGGAGGCGCCAGGGTAGCATTCAGCGGATGGGGAGCGGTAGAGGAGACAGGTGCAGGCACAGGCTGTCAGAACAGAGCGCGGCGCCGTGGGGCGCCGACACGCGCGCGGCGCGGTGGCATCGCGCGGCGCGCGCGACACGCCGTCTCAGGGCTCTGATCACGGCCACTCAAGCTTTCTGTCTTCTTGCAAGCACATAGCAAAGCCGAAGAGCCCCGGCAAAGAGCCAAGAGACAGGACGCGGCGGCGTGGTGAAGAGAGAAGCGGAGACAGCGCGAAGCCGAGGCAGAGAGAGTACCAGCAAAAAGCTGAGCAAAAAGAATTGATCGAAGCGAGGCTCGAACTCGCGACCTTATGCGTCCACTGATCAACAATCTGTGTGAAGCATACGCGCTGACCAACTGCGCCATCCAACCATTATTAGTGTCTGGGCAAATTGGGGAAGGGATACAGCACGCAGAGGACAGATGAGTGTCAGCACTAAGTACAACAGCCATGGCTTCCTGAACTGTTCAACAGATGCGCACAAGCATTCTCATGTGCTGCTTCATCTCATTATCTGTATCCAGAAGTAGGGAGCAGTTGCAGGAAGGCTCAGGTCAGGAAGTGACATAGACCTGCACAGAGAGTAACCATGGCAGCAGCCTCAGGAGGTGTCTAGCAGAGCACTTTTCCTGACCTGCCTAGGCTTCTCACTTGTTTGCTTTGCTGAATACCACCCGTGTGTTCAAATCTCGGTGGCGTTTGTTTGTATGGCCCGCGCGGCGAGGCGATGTTGGTTGGTGTTGCCCCGCGACCTGGACACGCGCGCACCGCGTCTCCCTCCACCACCACCACAACACCTGGTCTCGCACCACTGCCTCTGCTCTGGCCCCTCTTTGAGCGCGGCGATGCGGCTCCTCGCCGAGCTCTTCGGCTGCACAGCCGCAGCGCCGGCGGACGCGGCGGCGTGCATCTTCTGTCCCGACTCGGTGCTCTCGCCAGCAGCGGGCAACCGCTTCGAGGTGGTGCACTCCGACGCACGCTTCCTCGCCTTCCACGACCGCAGCCCGGCGGCGCGCGTGCACCTGCTGGCCGTGCCGCGCGAGCATGTCGATGATGTCAAGGTGCTGCGAGGGGCCGAGGGAGCCGAGCTTGGTGAGTGGGGCGACAGAGGTGGAGGGACGCGACACTGCAACGGGCCCGGGAGTGATGCACGCTCAGCCGCGAGAAGCTGCAGCGAGCGAGAGCCGCAAAGAGCGTGCGCTTCGAGGCTCGAGCCCTGTGAAGCAGCGCCGGGCTTCCATGGCTGTCATGTGGCGTCCTGAGGCTGAGCGTCCCCGCGCGACAGCTGCGGTGAAGCACTGCGAAGGGCTGAGCAGGATCAGGTGCACGCAATGCTGGCGAGGCCGACTCGCGCGGAGCAAGCCTACGCTGTGCTGCGTGCACCG